GAAATGCTTATTCCAAGCAGAGACATGTTTGCTCAGAGAGAGGTATCTCTAAAAATTGGATTTTTTTTTTTTTTTAACAATGGATTGTTTTCTTTCATGTTTTCTTGTTATTAAAGATCTGAAATCTTGTGAAATGTGAAAGGTTGAATTGGATATAATGGTGCTTGAATCAGACGATGTAGCCGACGCAATCTCTAAAGCGGTTCAAGATCATGGAATCAGTGAGCTAGTCATTGGAGCTTCCTCTTCTATCATCTTCTCATGGTAACATATCCAAATTAACACTCTTTTGACTTTCGAATTCTCTGAGCTTATAATTTATATTCGTTCTATTCTTTCTTGGTTCTTTTGCAGGAAGTTGAAGAGAAGCAACTTGTCTTCAAGAATTTCAGATGTTACGCCAAGATTTTGCACCGTTCACGTTATCTCTAAAGGAAAGCTTCTCAATGTTCGCAAATCCGATATAGACATTGAAACTAGCATTGCAGATGATAGAAGCGAAAACCAGTTCTCTTCAAGTAGCCATTCAGGTACTTACCTAACTCTGTTAGAACACACAAGAAGTTCTTGAAAACCGGTTTAACTTGTTCGATTGGATTGGTTCTTTTTTTGTAAATTCTAGGGTCAGTAAGTTCGACATCGAGTCATCAATTCTCATCCACACCTTTACTGTTCCAAAGAATACAAGCGCTTTCAACTGTTAACCAGAAGGTCGGTACAAATATGGGAACAAAGAACCATATTGATACGCACCATAACAGAGCTGGGTCTCTTGATGTGGATGATATAAAGAAACTTAACCAGAAGGGTTATTACCGAACAAACAGCTCGGGAATTGGGTATGGTGGAAGCGATATCCACAGCCGGAGAAGCTCTGTAACGGAGGATGGTTCAAGCTCAAGTTGCTACAGCGACCCTACTTCATCTACTAGTCAGGTATACTTTCATTTCAAAAAACAAATGGCAATAACTGGAGTGATCCTTTTAAGTATCTTATAATTGGGATTCTCAACACGCAGAAGAATAAAGACTTTGAGCTAGAGAAGCTGAAGATTGAACTCCGTCACATTAAGGGAATGTATGCTGTTGCTCAAAGCGAAGTCTTGGATGCTTCTAAAAAGGTTCATTCTTTGTTACAACATTTGGGCGTTGAAGAAAGTTTCTTTTGTTTCCTCCTTGTTATAGAAAGTGATTTGTATCCACTGTTTTCCTTTTTTAATCAGATGCAAGATCTGAACCAGCGTCGGTCAGAGGAAGCTACAAGGCTCAAGAACTTAACGATAAGAGAAGAATACGCGGAAGAAGTGGTGGAAATGGAGAGGGAGAGACAAGAAGAGGCGGAAAACGAAGCTGAGCTCGTGAGAGAATGCGTTGAGAGAGAAATTGAAGACAGACTTGAGGCGGAAGCAAGAGCGGAAGATGTTAGAAAAGAGAAGCAGAGGCTAGAGGATGCGCTTGAAGGAGGACCTCTTCAACGTCAACAATACATGAAATTCGAGTGGGAAGAGATCGTTGAGGCCACGTCATCTTTCTCCGACGAACTTAAAGTCGGAACCGGCGGGTACGGAAGCGTGTATCGGTGTAACTTGCACCACACGATAGTAGCAGTCAAGGTTCTTCATTCAGACAAGAGTAGCTTAACCAAACAGTTTCACCAAGAGGTAAATAAAAACCTTTTCTTTTTAATCTTCCATGTAAAATTACTATTCTTCTAAAACGATGCCGTTTTTTTCGTTGATACTCTCGTTCAGCTTGAGATTCTAAGCAAGATTCGTCACCCACACTTGCTCCTCCTCTTAGGCGCGTGTCCTGAACGCGGTAGCTTAATTTACGAGTATATGCACAACGGAAGCCTCGAGGAAAGACTCATGAAACGCCGACCAAACGCTGACGCACCGCAGCCGCCGTTACGGTGGTTCGAGCGGTTCCGAATCGCTTGGGAGATCGCTTCAGCTCTCTATTTTCTCCACACAAACGAACCAAGACCAATCGTCCACCGGGATCTGAAACCGGCCAATATACTCCTTGACCGGAACAATGTGAGCAAAATCGGAGACGTAGGACTTTCCAAAATGGTTAATCTCGATCCTTCTCATGCCTCAACGGTTTTCAACGATACCGGTCCGGTAGGAACGTTCTTCTACATCGATCCCGAGTACCAAAGAACCGGTGTGGTGACTACAGAATCTGATATCTACGCATTTGGAATCATACTCCTTCAGCTAGTTACGGCAAGATCCGCGATGGGATTGGCTCATACGTTAGAGAAAGCGTTGAGAGATCAAACCGGGAAATTTACAGAGATCTTGGATAAGACTGCTGGAGATTGGCCGGTTAAGGAAGCGAAGGAGATGGTTATGCTAGGGCTGAGATGTTCGGAGATGAGAAAGCGTGACCGTCCCGATTTAGGGAAAGAGATTCTACCTGTTCTTGAACGGTTAAAAGACGTTGCTTGCAACGCACGTGACCTGTTTGCTGAAACCCTAATCGACCATCACCACCATGCTCCAAGCCATTTCTACTGTCCCATAACTAAGGTAATGAAATTTACGCCAGATTTATTATATACACATATATATATATATTTGATTTTGATCATTTTTAGTATTGTATTTATTGATAATATTAGGATGTGATCGAAAATCCATGTGTTGCTGCGGACGGATATACATACGAGAAAAGAGCCATTAAGGAATGGCTTCAGCAGAATCGTAAATCTCCAATGACGGATTTGCCCTTCCCTAGTGATTCTCTTCTTCCTAATCATTCTCTTCTTTCTGCAATTAAAGAGTGGAGATCACATCTAATTCAATAGAAAAAGGGTCAAAGTTAATCACAAGGCCAAACTCGTCACTTAACATGCATCATTGTGTTTTTTTTCTTTTCTTTTCACACCACTCTTGCGCACACACATACACACACACGAGTAGATATATGACATTATAGTTTTTGTATGTAAAATGTACCTTTATTCAATTTAATGTACAATAGGTTTGACTGCTTCGTATGTTTTCACGTGAGATAACCATAGACGGAAAAAAGCATTCCACTCAATTTGCATTTGAAAAGTAGTTATTCTAAATATTATTTGTTTATGATTTTGTACAATTATATGATAGGATCGTAAAGTTGGCCTATGGTTCCCACTATGAAGATACCCATGTCTATCTTTTATAATAATATTCTGTATTTTGGTCCAACCACTCTTGTTTTCTCTTACCATCTATGATCTATCCGTCCGGCGGTCCCATTAGAAAAAGAAAGGACTTAATTTAAAAGTGTTATTATGCTTAAAATATAATTAATTAGTTCGTATGTTTTGTCACGTTCGATTCTGTTGATATAAATGTTACCTAAGTTAATATATATAGTACACGTATACTGATCTGATTATGTGATATTGTCAAGACACCTAGGCCATTAAATGGTGTGGGTTCTATATAACTTATTTTGCCAATTAGAAAGACATAAATATGATATTAATTAAGTTAATGAGTTGCAAGACGGATACTGAACTCTAAAACTAATATTTGAACATTTTTAAAATTTAATTTAACGCTTCATCTCATTTATCTAGCCGGGATGAGCTTGTCACTTGTCAGGGTATTTTTTTTTGTTTTGAACTATTTCAAGTATGATGATGTTACCACGACGATACATTTGTATTGAGAAACTTTACATAATACATGAAAATCATTTAACTAAAATATACAGACCAATAAACCCTCATCAATCCTTACATGAATTGATCAGATTTCCAGGATGGAAACTATATAATAAAGTTGAATAAACGAAAATATTGTAGTACAATCTCTACGAATTGTTCATAAACCAAAATTTAGAGTGAGTTGTGAGGCACGTGACATGAAAGGGTCCCCTCACTAACCTTTGATATGTCAGTATGGCAATTGTGGTGGGAGTGGGACTATAAAAGGACTATTCGTTGTGGGGGAATAATTTTGTCATTAATTAGATTACTTAAAATTTTCTCTAACTGAACTCTACACTGTTGTTTTTTTTCTTCTTGGCTAATTAATTTACAACGAGAGTAATACTTGTGTTCTTCTACATTGATAAGCTAGTAATTCTATTACTTTTTTTTTCTTCTCATAAGTATGTAAATATTATTAGGAATGAAATTTTGGTGTTCACTAAAGCTTAACCATCTATGATTGTGTCCTTGCCAAAAAAGAAATAAAAAAAAAGTTTTCACATGGGTTTTTAGAGAAAGAGCTCCTTTAATTTTTTCACATAACTTTTTTTATATATAATATTGTTACAAATTATGTTTTCTATGATTATATTACTTTTTTTTTGTTAACCTATCATAGTTTAATTGTTGTGTCGAGTTTTAAAAGTCTATACAGAAAAAAGGAAAAAAATAAACACGAATTAATTTCACATCCTATAGATACTTGGAAAACGGATCTTTATTAAAAGAAAAAAAAAATTTGAGGAAAGGAAACTATATGAGACAATATAATCGGGAATGTAAACGTATATTATTAGTAGCCAGTAGTCACACACGCATTTCAACTACCATCACTAGTCAAAGTCAACCCCAACTCCATTATTATCGTTTCATTACCATTCGCCACCCTCATAAGTCACAATGCTTCATTTCTTTTCATCAAGACCTAATATTTACAGTCTTTTTGTTTTTAATAGAAATTTGTAATCTTCTGAACTGTACATTTTGTATTCATAAGATATTATTTTGCAGGTTTATTTGTATTACTTTAAAATAGCGTTCTCAACGTACAACACCACCATAATGGCCAAATCTATTTCTTATATGATGAAATTAAAATAGTCCTTCCAATAAATTGACCTATACAATTGATTTCAGCACGTAGGTCATTAACTTTATAATTGGTTGAGAACTTGGGAGGAGCATAAAAAAACACATTTCAATAATAGCGAGGAAACGGCTCATAAGTTCCACATTTGATACAACATACAACTATAACATGTTTCAGATCTCTAGATTATTTACATCATCTCCATCACTCACCACCGATATATCTCTCTGTATCACTACTGTGAACAAAAAAATTTCATTTATTCTCATACCTAAAAAGGAAAGTTTCCCTAATAAGATTCCAGCGTTAAATCTCTCACTCAATACCCAAAATTCGGAAAACAGAAACTTTTCTACGAGATGAGAAACAGCCATTTGCTAAAACTGATACTTGCAGTATCTCTACCACCAATATTCTTGCTCGGAATCGCCATAACCGTGATCTTCATCTTCTGCAGAAGATCAATAACAGAGACCAGTGAATCCCAATACGATGTTGAATCTCCATATGAGAAACAAGAATTATCCGATATCGGATCCGAAACAGAGGAGGAGCTCGTCCTTTTCGACGGCGGAGAAGATCTCACGATCTGCGACATCCTCGAAGCTCCCGGAGAAGTCATCGGAAAATCAAGCTACGGAACATTATACAAGGCATCGTTGCAGCGAAGTGGGAAAGTTAGGGTTCTTAGGTTCATTCGACCTCTGTGTGCAGTGAGATTAGATTCGAAGGATTTTGATGGCGTCATCAAGTCGCTTGGATTTGTGCGACATAACAATTTGGTTCCTCTGTTAGGATTCTACGTTGGGAATAGAGGAGAGAAGCTTATGGTTCATCCCTTCTTCGGTTCCGGGAATCTCTCCGAGTTCATCAGATGTAAGTCTCTCTGTTTTTTTTTTTTCTCGAGAAAATGCGGGAATGTCGGAAAATATTAAAGGAACAAACTTTTACTTTTCCGACGAAAACGAAATAACTTTTTAGCTGTCTGGATTCGATTTCGGTTCCGGATTCCTTATTTTCTTGTGGAATCTCGCTGATTATTGTTTTCTGGGGTTTCTTGAATAAACAGAGTCTTGTGTTCTCATTTCCCGGAAAATTGGTTAAAAGTTTTCATTGCATCTTACAAAAAAAATTACCGTTACCAAAATACCTTCAATTCTCTTAGCTGTATTCGAAAATCTGTATAGAAGCCTAGAAGGTCTCTTCCTCAGATCGAATCATATTGTAACTCCGTAAGTGTAGTCATTTGATAAGAAATTATCTTATCTTTACATTTTCGTATAGCATAACATGTAATTATTTTTTTCCTACTTGACAAAAGAAAAACAATTGTTTTTTTGTTTGTTTGTTCCTTAGCATCACCATTATTGATCTATATTTTGTCGGTAACTACTTTTTTTTTTTGTCACTTCCCACTTCTTATGCTCACCATGAAAGACAAAAACTTTATATATCTCTTTTTAGAACATCAACATCAGCAAAAACTTGGCATTAATTTTCTATTATATTCAGCATGTGTCTAAGATATAGCATAATTTTGGCAGGTGGAGATGTTGAATCACACAAATGGAGCAACATTTTGAGCATAATCATCGGAATAGCAAAAGCTCTTGATCATCTACACACAGGAATGCAGAAACCTATCGTTCACGGAAATCTGAAGTCAAAAAACGTTCTTTTAGACCAGAGTTTTATGCCTAGAGTCTCTGATTTCGGCTTGCATTTGCTCTTGAACTTCGCGGCTGGGCAAGAGATTTTAGAAGCTTCAGCTGCAGAGGGATACAAAGCGCCTGAATTGATCAAGATGAAGGAAGTAAGCAAAGAGAGCGATGTGTACAGTTTTGGTGTGATCATGCTTGAGTTACTCTCTGGTAAAGAGCCGGTAAACAAGAATCCAACGGGGTCTGTTCTTGATCATAATAAGTTGTTGGATTTGTACCGTACTGAGATTCTTAGGAGAGGTGTAAAAGATGGAACTGGTGTGACCAAAGAATGTGTCCTCGAGTACATTCAGCTTGCGATGTCTTGTTGCTCCCCATCGACTTCTCTTAGGCCGAGCTTCAAGCAAGTATTGAGGAATTTAGAAGAGATCAGAAGATGATGCATATCAACCTGACTAATTTGTGGAACAGACATGGCAGAAATGTTGAATCTTTCTAGCGATCGCATACTTTTTGCAAATGCAATTAACAGGGGAATCTTCTTCTTCAAATGTGTTGCAAATCCAGAAACAGGGGAATCCGGCAAAGAGACGATATATTTTCAAAGGAAAAACAGAGGTTTTCGTCCAACAAGAATTACCGAACCGAAAACATTGAACAAGGAAATCAGGATTAAATTAACGCCTTGATGTGCTATCAGATTTGTTAAGAACGGCATGGTTTTCCTTTTTGCGTCTGTCTTTAGTCTTGTCAGAAACTCTTTTTTAACTGTCCCCTAATTTACCCAGAGTAAAACTGTTGAATTACTCTTTGTATATGTATATTTTGTTATTTTATTGTCTGATAACATTTCTCCATTGAAAACAAAACAAATTTTAAGGAAGAGTCCTACTCTCTGATTACTAAGCGTCGAGATCTCTGCTTGAATCTTTCAATCCCACAAATTCGGATTTGTTCTCTTTACATATGGAAGCTTCGATTTCGTTGCTTGGGTCAACAAAACCCAATCTTTCACCCTTTGTTCCTTCTTCGAACGTCCTCCATCGTCGTCTTCGGCGAGATTTTCCAGTTCCCGCTTTGAAATTGAAGAACGTTTCAGGCTTACAGCGAATCTCGCACCAGAACCGCCTGCTCAGAGCTCAGTGCTCCAATGGATTGGGACCAGTGGGAGACGATGGGTTTGTGCTAGAAGACGTCCCTCACTTGACAAATTTTCTCCCTGACTTACCGGTAAAACTCCCTCCTTTTTTATTCTCCCTGTTTCTTTCTGGTTAGTGCATAGAAGCTTATAGAAGTTGGAATGAGGAGATAGGAGAATTTTAGCTTAAGGACTTGATTGGTTTGATGGTATGTCTTTCATGTGTCAATCTCTGTCAAATGATGAGTTTTACATTAAAAGGTAATAATTTTTCTCTTGATTCAATTCGTGATTTGTTTCTGGTATCACAGTCGTACCCAAATCCATTGAAGGAAAGCCAAGCATATGCCATTGTTAAGTAAGTTACATTTTTAAACGGCAAATTAAGTAAATTACTAATGCCTGTGAGGGTGGTAATGTATTGATTGCTCATTCGATTTCTGTAGGCGAACCTTTGTCAGTTCCGAAGATGTGGTTGCCCAAAATGTAAGCTTTATGTGTTTCCTCTATACTTCCTTTTTTTCGAGTTGCGAGTGTTTTGCTTGCTTAAGTTCCCTTCATCTTTAGATTGTAGTTCAGAAAGGAAGTAAGCGAGGAGTACACTTTAGGCGAGCAGGGCCTCGAGAAAGAGTATGATTTCTTCGTAAAGTCTTAAACTTTTGTAAAGATTTTCACAACTGAAACCTGTTAAGTTGTGGCTTCTCAGGTGTACTTCAAATCAGATGAAGTGAAAGCTTGCATAGTGACATGTGGCGGTTTGTGCCCTGGGATAAATACAGTCATACGGGAAATTGTATGTGGATTGAACAATATGTATGGTGTCAATAATATTCTTGGCATTCAGGGAGGATATAGAGGCTTCTACTCCAAAAACACAATGACCCTGACACCTAAAGTAGTCAATGATATCCATAAACGCGGTGGCACTTTTCTTCAAACCTCAAGAGGAGGACACGATACAGCAAAGATTGTTGATAACATACAAGATAGAGGAATAAATCAGGTAGCCAACATAAGTAGTTTCCATTTCTTTCCAGGTTTCTTGATCGTTATGCAGTTTAGTTAGTCTTGAAACTGAGTCATCCTAATACCTTCTGGAAAATGGGTGTTTCAGGTGTATATTATTGGAGGTGACGGAACGCAAAAGGGTGCAGAAAAAATATACCAGGTGATTCATATCACATATTAGTAATTGTAGCATGTATATAAGGATAAAGTAATTCTATTGATACTTGCTTTGTATTCTGTGAAGGAAGTTGAGAGGCGTGGTCTTCAAGTGGCAGTTTCTGGCATTCCCAAGACAATTGATAACGATATTGCTGTAAGTATGCATTGGTATTTTTCAACTAAAGTTTCTCTCAGATGGAGTTTCTTATGCATCTTCTTTCACCCATTGCTCTAGGTAATTGACAAATCTTTTGGATTTGATACCGCTGTTGAGGAAGCTCAGAGAGCTATTAATGCTGCACACGTAGAGGTCGAGAGCGTAGAAAATGGAGTTGGTATTGTTAAACTGATGGGCAGATACAGCGGTAAATGTTCTGTTGGCATATGTGGTCTACGTTCTTTTACGAGTCGCTTACGCAAATATCATCTTTCTATAGGTTTTATTGCCATGATTGCAACTTTAGCGAACCGTGATGTGGTAATAGCTTATACTTTTGATTTGACATATTGTCACTATATACTTCTCTAGCGTGGCTTAAGAATGGAAAAACCATTGTTTGAAATGCGACAGGATTGTTGCTTGATTCCGGAGTCTCCATTCTTTCTTGAAGGAAAAGGTGGACTCTTTGAGTTTATTGAACAACGACTCAAAGAGAACAGGCACATGGTGATTGTGATAGCTGAAGGAGCTGGACAGGATTATGTTTCTCAAAGCATGCGTGCATCTGAAACTAAAGACGCGTCAGGAAATAGACTCTTGCTTGATGTTGGTCTATGGTTGACTCAACAGATAAAGGTATTGGTCGTTAAGAAATGGGTTTCTAGTTGTTTTTCCCAAAAATTTAAGATGAGTTTTGTAAAAACAATGTTGCAGGATCACTTTACAAATGTTCGGAAAATGACCATAAATATGAAGTACATAGGTATATCTTCAGATTCACTGTCTCTGTCATGTTGATGCTCCTCTGTGCATTTCATTGACATATTTACCTGTCGAACAGATCCGACGTATATGATAAGAGCAATACCGAGTAACGCATCAGACAATCTCTATTGCACTCTTCTTGCCCAAAGTGCAGTTCATGGAGCAATGGCCGGGTTTTCGGGTTTCACTGTGGGACCAGTTAACAGCAGACATGCTTACATCCCAATTTCTGTAAAGCTTTTCCCTTATTACTTCTCTAACTATTCTTTAGACTAACATTAATCATTGAGGGGTCTTAAACCTTTGTTACTGCCATGAATTTTCCTTTTCTTTAACTGTGTGATAATTATGCAGCGGGTGACTGAAGTGACCAATACGGTGAAGTTAACGGATAGGATGTGGGCTAGACTCCTTGCATCGACAAATCAACCGAGTTTCTTGACTGGTGAGGGAGCATTGCAGAATGTGATCGACATGGAAACTCAAGAAATGATCGATAACATGAAGATCTCTTCTATCTAATAACAGGTCAGCTCATCAAATGTATATTAGACCATATGCATAGAAAATATATCTTCAACGACAACCACGATGTATTTCATTGGGTTTATAAAGAATTATTTTGTTTACTTATTCGTAATAATAATACTCATCCATCCATCTCAACGGTGGGAATGAGATTGAGATTGAGATGTACATACATATCTTTAGTCTCTCTCTCTCCCTCTCTCTTTCTGTTTGCTTTTTAAAAATTGCAACTTGTGCATATCTCCATCTTTAATTGTTGCGTGTGGTCCATCCAATTCCTTGTCAGATTTGCAAACGAATGATGACTTGTACCCAACCATGAGACAAAACTTTGGCTGCTACATTTTTTAAATCTGGTCACTCTTGCAACTTGTTCATCTACTCAATTCATTGATTCACGCTTTCTGGACATGTGACGTAATTAATACTGATTGTGTCATTGGATTACAGTTTCTCCTTTTAGGCTTATTCAGGTCGAAATACGATCAAGTACCACAGAATTAGATAAAGAAACAGATGTAGTTCGATTGATTTAGGTTTTTTCTCTTCGGTTTCACCCTCCCAATCTAACTAGGAAGTTTTAATCTCTGAAAAACCGAATTTTGAAACCATTCTTAGACAGAACTTTGTTTCCATCTCTTTAGGACGTGACAAAACACACAAGTTCCATTGTTACAGGAACTCTTCAGTACATATTTTGCAAGACTTTTTCACTATACTAATCTAACATTTTCTTGGCTCTATACATCATTCTTCACATACTTGAATACTTTACCTATACTAAATAGATATAAGCATTACTAGTCCCATTAGTTCGATGACGATGATGAATTACTCGTAGTTGTTCCTTGAGGCTCCGGTACATCACTTCTCCTCCTCTTCCGGCATGAGTTGACCGGAGCATCATACTTTCCGGCATCCAAAGGAAAGTTGAGCACAGCTTTTCTTCCCCTGAGCTTAAAAGCTGCATAGTCATAGGCTCTTGCAGCATCAATATCACTCTCAAAAGTGCCTAACCAAATCCTGGATCCTTTCTTCGCCGGATCTCGAATCTCTGCTGCAAATTTCCCCCATGGCCGCCTTCTCACGCCTCTGTAATGTCTTGTCTCTTCGAACCTCTTTGGTCTTTTCCGGTCTGAGACAGTCTCAAACTCAGTAGATGTTGTTGTTGATGATGATTCTGCTTCCGTTTGCAGAAATTGTCGGACATAGGAATCTGGATCAAGAACCGGTGAACTGGGTTCCATTTTAGGAACTGGGTTTAAAGGTTCTAGAGACCAGAGTCCTGAGACAAAAGCAGCATCATCAAAGACAAAATCTTCCATGAAATCATCAGGGATCATCAAGTCTTCAAAGAGATGCTTCTGCATAACCTCCAAATCAGAGCTTTCCTCAAAAGTCGCCATTTTTAATTTTTTTTCTTTTCTTTTCTTTTGCAGACAAGACAGGAAGAAGAAAAATCTGCTAGTGATATTTTGAAGAAAAGTTTTGATCATTTTTAGGTATATAAAGAAAAGAATCCTAAACATGTGTTTGGCAGCCATGGGTGTAAGGTGTCGAAAGTCTCTCTCTGTCTCTCTGGTTAACTCTGTGGCCCCCATTCTTATCCATTAACCATTTATGGAGACAAGTTAATATCTTTTTGTTAGGACTCAATTTCAAGTTTGCCAACTTGATTTTGTCTTTGATGGTGACTAATTTCACTATCATCCTAAGTTATTTGCCAACAAATGTGGGTGTTAGCTGTTTAGTCGTGACTATTTTTCTTAACTATCATTTGATTCTTGTAAAAGAAATTGTTCCTCTTTTAGTTTCCATTGCTTCAGATGCTATTTATGTGTATACATGAGAATATATTTTCGTAGTTTCATTTTTGAAATTAGAAAAACAAATAAACTGCAAATGGGAACGCCAAACTCAAAACAAAAATTTGATTGAGTTCGCTAATGTTATGGGTTCATTTAATAAAACATACACATTAGATGTAAATTCATAAATACAAACAAAAAAAGAAACAAACAGTCGAGACCTGAACTACTCGGCTGCAATCCAAATTTAGTCTCCAAAAGCTAATGTGTTTGGATAAATATATATGATTTTCTATCCAGTCAACAACAACAAAAATTGATTTTCGTAATAGTAATGACTCGCCAGTTTTTTTTTGGTCGGAATGACTCACCAGTTGAACTCTAATATCAACAGATATTTTGCATTTTCACCTTTTTTTTCCTTTGAAAACTTGCATTTTAGCTTATTTTTTTCCTTTGACAACTTGCATTTTAACATTCGAGTAAAGCAATAAGATATTATGCACGATAACTATAACCCGAAGAGGAGAGACAAATTCATCAAATTGCTTTTCTTGTAGGGTTCTCTTGGTAGCTACTTGCTGGAATATAATTTGAGGCAACTTGATTTTTCTTTGTTTCTACTTAATAGTATAGGGCTCCACATATTTATAACCAAACCTTACCCTCTTGCTCAGTTGCTTAACAATTATACTTTTGATCAGTACTGAATATTAATTAATCCTCTTCGTTAAATAGTAGCATCTTAGATAATATTGATTACTTATCCTTTTATGAATGTTCTGTAGATAATCCTAGCTAGGGGGCATTATTATTCATTGGTGTGTTCTACTATTGTACTTTTGAAAATCTTAACTTTTCTTTTGGAATAATGTGTAATTAATTAACTAATTATTATATTTTTCTTACATAACCTTTCTAGCTCCTATTTAATTTTTCTAATCCAGTTTTATAATCTATTGACTATTATTTTAGCAGGTAGAGAGTTGAATAAATATGACTAAACGAAACTAATTAATGACCAATAATTTTTCTACAATCATCAATTTTATAAGAACATCGACAAATACAAAATACATTTCAGAATTTCAACATCCATATTTTTCCTATAAAAAACAAATGAATAAAATGATTGGTACTACACTACTAATTTGATATTTGTACACTACCGCTAACACTTAAATTATTATAAAAAATAAAGAAATTTATGAGAGTGACGCAAGTGAAAACGTCATCGTCCGTTGAATTTTCCGAAGGTTCAAGTGACGGAGATAACGGAGAAGTCGGGAGATGTTGGAGTTAATGGAGGAACACTGAAAATCCCATCTCCTGCTCCCACGTCCCAAACTCCCATCCAACTTGACGGCGTCAAAGGCACCGCCTCCACCTCAGCCTCCGTTGTATCACTCTCTTCTTCCTCAACTTTAACCCTAACCGCTTCCGCCTTCTCCTCCTCTTCCACCGCCGGAGAAATCTTGATTCGTTTCCGTTTCCCTAATCCGATGACTCCTTCCTCAAAATAACTTTCGGACGCAGCCCTAACATCGAGAGGGAAATTCAAGATTGCTTTTCTTCCACGCAACTGAAACGCCGCTTGATCGTAAGCTCTTGCAGCTTCGACGGCCGTGTCGTAAGTTCCAAGCCAAATTCTAGAACCCTTTTTGTTCGGATCCCTGATCTCCGCCGCGTATTTTCCCCATGGCCTACGTCTTACTCCTCTGTAGTGCTTCTCCTCCTCTTCTTCCCTCACCTTTGTTGTGCAGGAGACCGTTCTCGGGACGGATAGATTTGGTAAGGGCGGTTTACGCCGGTTAAGAGTCGAGTTCGGTTTAGGGTTTTGGTTATTGATGGTTCTAGGGCTTGTTTCTGAGCGAAAGTGGTGAACTTGGTTGGTAAACAGAGGTGGGTCAGCTTCCTGAAGGGTAAAATTGGAAACTTTGGTTTCCATGGAAGCAAAATCTCTGAGAAGGTGTTGGCTTATGAATTCGATGGCTAAAACTTCTTGTTCGGTTGCCATAATCACTCCTAATTAACACTCTGATTGATCTTTGTATCTGTGTGTATGAGTGGAAGTGTGAAGAAGAGTGACGAGGATAATAAATAGTAGTGATAGCTTTGGAAAGCAAAGAGAGGATGTTCGAGGGAGTTTCGTGGATCGGACCGAGAAAGATCATACGCCTTGTGTTGTTTGGAGTTGTAGTGGACTGCTGACTTGTTTTCTTTATCTTTTAGATTTCGTTTTAATTTTGTTTTCTTTTCTTTCTTCCTCCTTTTGTCTTGTTCATCTACATAGACTTTTATCACATAAAAAGTACTTATCAAGTTATCATGATGACTTCTTTTAGACTTTTAAATATACAGATCTAGTTAAAGTTTTGGTCTATACTCAAGATTTATTGAGATTTTAACTGTAGTTGTTTGATTGAGACTATCAAATTTTTAAGGACTAATTGTATTCTGAAACCTTCAATTTTTTGGGGGAGAAAAAAAACTGAATTTAGCCACAAAAGGGTTTTCTTTTTAAAGGTTTGGCTTAGCTACTGGTTCCATTAGATTTTTTGAAAAAAAACTTTTTTAAAAAAAACTAGATAAACCTACCTCAATAATTAGTGTTCTTTTGTAAACTAACGCTATCGAGTCATATATCAGACTCAATGAGGGTTATTTTCTAAGAAGCATAAGAAAATGAGGCGCACGTACTTTCTGTGTCTAGTTTTAGATACGTTCATTCATCATATGCACACGTACTTTTTGTGTCTAAAAAAAGAAATAAAAATATTTGTGCCTATTTTTCAGATATTGTATATTTGTATTATAGTATATGGTAACTTAGAAAGCTCACGTATTTTGAGTGTCTAATTTTGGATACGATTATTTATCATATTTATTATTTAGTCAGGTAGTCGGAGACATACAATTACTCGCGCGGTCCCTGCGAAAGCATTTATTACCTTGTATCACCAGTCGAATATAATTTTTTTTAGAAGTATAAACGACAAGAAAAATCATCCATCAAGCAAATATGGTTGCAGAAAAATCTGGAAACTTAAATATAATGGAATATCAACATATTGAAAGGTTAATTTGTTTCATACAAGAAATGAAGTTGAATTGTCTGATCATTGTGACTAAAGGAGCGACCACTCGTCAAAACCAATTAACCAACTGCCACGGCTAAATTATTAATTAATTTGTTGGCTCCACGAAGGAGCTTACACTTCAACTTGTCAAAAATTGACATTTTCTTGTTTTCTATGAATCAATACAAAGGTTTGAACTTGTTTTTTTTGCCATACCTCGAAACAATTTCCATTTTGCTTAATCTATTATACAACTCAGGAATTTTGGGTTCTTCGGATTTTTTTTAAATAATTCTTGGACGTGGATCGAAGCACTGTGTATGTCGTATATTTAAAGCGTTGAAGTCGTTAACCTTAATTTGATATCATAATAGATTTTTGTTTGAATTTTACCCGCAATCAGAGCAAAACAACAGTTGACTTAAGTTTGCTTGCTCTACTTCAAATGCTCGATTAAACAATTTATGATTGAGAGTGAATATTCATTCATAATTAGAATACTCTTCTGGAAAACGATGTCGATACGACGATACCTACGAAGTTCACTTACTAGCTAAATAGTATCGAAAGCGATACGACATCATACTCCAAGATTGAGTAAAATCAAAACTTTGGCAAATTTGGCTAGAGAAAAAGTGGTTAAGAATATTGATTTTTTTTTTTTTTTGGGAAAAAAATCCAAGATGAAATTGAGATCCGACATATTGGGTTGAAAGAGAGGCAAATTGCGAATATACGCAGATTGTCTTAGCCAAAAAAAGAAGAAGCAGATTGCGCATAACTAGTTAACTACTCACTTAGATATTCAAACAACCGACTCTCAGTTTAACACATATTTGAGACTTTTGAGTTAAATCAAATAATCAATCTGATCTTCAGTATAATTTTAGTTTTAAAGAAGAGAAGGGGGAGAAACGAGTTAACGTGACGTAAGGCAACTTCATTGGCAAAGGTCACAATTGCATGCATGGACAATGACATCTTCAGACACGTGTCCTACAAGTAGACCGTATTAATTGATTTCTTCCAAAACTGGACCCACTCTTTTCGTTCAGAATTTCGATTACTAGATGCGTTTCGTCGGCACAAAAGATAAACCAGCTGTTTATGGCAGTATAGCCGCCGTATCCCTTATGATCCTCACCGGTTTAACCCTCGCCGGTACGGGCGTGGTGTTAATCGTTATGACGCCGGTTTTCGTATTTCTTAGCCCGATTCTCGTACCGGCGGTTATCACTTCGAGTTTCCTGGCCACGGGGTTCTTAGCTTCTGGGAGCCTCGGAGCATCGGCGATCGCCCTCCTCGTCTGGCTCTACAAGTAATCAATTAAGTAATCAAGATTATTTTACCCTGAAAAAAAGTAATCACTTAGCTCTTTTTAGGCCGTTCGATTTTCCATCAATACGTACGTTTTGTGATTAATTCAAATGTTTTGAACAAGATAAAAATGTTCAAATGTGTAGTTAGACTGATGCATCTACGTATGGACTACATATATTATGTTATCTTTTGAACTCGTAGATTTTGAGAAACAATAATTTTTTTAATGAATATTAAAGCATGTTTTTAAAATAATTAAAAGTACAATGTTCATCATTATCTTTTCCTTAACTATCGTTGACAAAAAAAAAAAAAACAATTTCGTTTATTATTATCGATTTGGCTTTGCTTTAACAATGATTTTAGTTACCAAATTAGGATTTGGTTTGGAGTTAACATTAATATCTTTAGGAAAGAAGAAGAGCATTTTAGATATAATCTGCATGCGCGAGTTCGGCCTAAAGGGGATATAGGTGGCAACCTGTCGGGAGGAGATAGGCCGCCGGAAAAAGATACGGTGGCGGGGGAAATTAAGCCGGCAGAAAGAGAAAAGCCGGTGGAGGAAGAAAAGCCCTCAGAAAAAGAGAAATTGTCTGAAAGAGATAATCCGGCGGAGGAGGATAAGTCTCCAGGGGTAGTTAATCATGCGGAGGAAGAGCCAACAATAATCCCTGAGATCTCAAAGGTGCTCTAGTTTTGATTGATATTCAGGTTTTTTCGTTTTGACATTTAGAATTCACTGATTTTTTAATATTTATATATACATATAAATTAACACACACAAATTAAATATATAATGTGCATACTCTAAAATAAAAATTGATTAATAAAGTTTATAGCTAAGCTAAAAAGGTTTTAGCTGTCAACTTGTTAAAACTTCCAACAAATATAAAAACTTCACAACTTTGTTCAAATCCCGATATAATCAGTTTATTACCTAGCTGTTTATTAAGAGGTTCTAAATACGAAAACTATTTAGTAAATAATCCTGCACAAGTGCACATTAGTTACGTACGCGCGCGCAGCTTTCTAGATCGACCCTAGTTTGAGAGTTCCTTTAATTTTGTGTTATAATAGGTTTTGTTGGCGGAGCAAAATACAGTTGGCCCCCAGCGTTACGGTTCAAGTACTTCTACTCAAAGATCGCATCATCAAATTCGTTTGGCCATGGATCCTACTAAAGTAAGATCCCTTTTTATGAAAGAATGCCAAAAAGTCCCTCGTGTAGGAGCGTCTGCATATAAATACTTTACTTCACGTGACAAAAAATACTTCTATTCACACAGTTAAAACCATATATGCATGTATATCCACATTGTTTTAAGTAACATTGTAATACCCACAATGATGCTAAATCATATGCAATTCAAGTATTTTTTTTTTAATTTTTTTTACGCCATGGATCCTTCCCGCCTTCCATACGACTGATTAGTGATATCTTATGATTTTCTTTGATATATATATACGATTTGAGAGAAATATCTAGCAGCTCATTTTTAGTATTCATACCAACTATATACGATCGAATACATATATACTGCTAGGCAGAACCGGTTTGTGAGATTTTACTGCTTAAAACCCTGTTGCTCATAATTAAAAAAAAATCACAATTCTGCATCTATTAGAGTCAAACTGACGACCTAAGGTATATTTTCTGGCGCCTAAAGTAAGGGTTTTAACAGCCTTAACTCCGGGCCAGCCCTGCTAGGGATATTTGAGGCTAATAACATGTATACGCTCTTTTTGTTGTTCATTGGTTTTGGGTTTGTAATAAGTTTTTGATGATCAGTCGTTTAGCATATTTTTTAGAAATTGTGTCATGGCTTATTACACCTTCTCTTGGGTGAGGCGAAGTGTCATGGACCTAATCAAATGCCGCCTTGTTCTGCTGTTAACTAGGTCCAAAGCACAACGCCCTTTTTCTTTATATTACTCATTCAATATGAAACATGTCAGATTTACCCATATATACACCCTTTGTTATATTCCTTTTCATTAATTTAGTGTTGTTTTTTTTTATCAATTGGTATGTATGCCAATACTGATTTTTTTACATCTAGAATCCATAGATCAGAATAGTTACACCTCGAATTTGACATGTACGAATACTCTAGAATTTTGTGATATTTTTTAATCCATGTACCACTCTGCCGATACCACTAAAACTAATTGAACCGTACACAACGGATTAAAGAAAACAGAGTTGTACAAACTATGGCTATAGAAAATGGTGGAAGACAAAGCTTACTAATTTAGACCGATCGATGACGATTGAGTGCTACAAAAAGAGCGTTCCTACGGCTCCCTGGTGACGATGGTAAACGACAAGATGCGTAACTGAAAGAGAATAAACAGCAGATTGAGACTGCTCAAACGGCTTGGTCTGTGGAGACAAGTTGCCGCTCCTAGGGTTCCAAATTGTTAAATTACTTTACAACTTTGTACTTTGCAGTATTTTTTGTAAAAATAATAAATAAAGATCCATAACAATCGGAAGACCAAGGTAATAAGGTTCCTAATTAAAGAAACGATATACAGTATTTTTTTCATTTTATTTATAATTCAGATGCATATCCAAGCATTCATTTGGATCTCAACGTACGCGTCTAAGCTGCCGGCTGGACCATAAGGATAAGTGTATAGGACAGTTATTTTCTCGCTGGTAAAAAAAGATATAGGGATGCTAATTAATTAAGTTTGATAGGCTGTAATATAAATTAATTTTAGTGCTCAGAGATATAAATTTGGTCATAATTTTTAAGGAAACCACTGATGTGCAAATTCCTTTTTGACATTGTCATATCATATGTACTTTTTTTCGGATGATAAGAAAATATATGTGGATACTGAATTAATATAATCGAATTTGTCGTGTGCGTGCTAAATAGACTTTGCCTAGCTACATTTTACATATATTTTTTAAGCAATTTTTACATATCTCAACGAATGTATTAAGATAAAGGTAAATTCCAACTGCATTATAGATTGGGATTTGATATATTGACAAAAACAAAATCCGGGTAACTTAATTAGGAATTAAATATCTCAGCTATATATCCGGAATTAATATCCAGTACATGTTTTAGCTGGCAAACAATCCAATGGCTGAAATCTCCACTAAGCGTAACCTAAAAAATCTAAACCCTTGATTATGATCTTATGCCGATTCTGCTGGATTTTTCCTTATAATAACTATCCAAATAAAACAGATGATAAATAAGGAAATGCTTTATCTCTCAAGGAAAAAAAATGGTAAAACACCAAAGACATTCACCAAAACCAGCTCACGCATATTCGGATAAATATCGTATATATAAAATATCTATAATTACAAGCAAAGATTAAAGATATAAATACAGTTCGTGAGATCTCAAGAAAATTCCAACGTGCCTGACCTAGAGAGACCGGAGAGACAGAGAGAGAGATGGTGAAGGAGACGGTTACGTCGGCGAAGACGTGTTCACACTGTGGCCACAATGGTCATAACGCACGGACTTGTCTTAACGGTGTTAATAAAGGAACCGTTAAACTGTTCGGCGTTAACATATCGTCTGATCCGATTAGGTCGCCTGAGGTAACGGCGTTAAGGAAGAGTCTCAGTCTAGGAAATCTCGAGTCTCTTCTCGCTAACGATAACAGTAACGGTAACGGTGATCCGATCGCTGCCGTTGAAGATACCGGCTATCATTCCGATGGTCAGATTCATTCTAAAAAGGGGATATCCGCTCATGATAAGAAAAAGGGTAAATTTTTCTAAATCTCAACCGATCTGATGAAATCATAATTAAGAACACGTGTTACAAGTTAAAATAGTTTTCTTTATATAATTTAAAAATCAAATTATCAGGGAAGCCATGGACGGAAGAAGAACATCGAATTTTCTTAGTCGGATTGAAGAAACTGGGAAAAGGAGATTGGAAAGGAATTGCAAAGACTTTCGTGACGACAAGAACACCAACACAAGTCGCGAGTCATGCTCAGAAATATTTTCTTAGGTTAAATGCTAACGACAAGAGGAAAAGACGTGCTAGTCTCTTTGACATCTCTCTCGAAGATCAGGTTTTTTTGTCTTGCTACCCAAGTAATCCATTACTCGGAATTTTTATTTTTTAATAGATTTTTAAATTTTTGGTTAATTTAATAGAAGGAGAAAGAGAAGAACTCTCAAGTGATGAAGACAGATGCATCAACTTCATCATCGAAGACTCCATTTAAACAACCAGTAACCGGCCGATCTCAAGAACCGGTACAAGTTCAAACTCAAACCGAGATATCAAAGCGGTTTCAGAATCTATCAATGGATCAGTACATGCCAGTCTACCAAACCGTACCACCTTACTACAACATTCCACCTTTTATGTTCCATCCAATGTACTACGCCAATCCTGAACCGATTAGGTTTGTTCACCCTTCTGGTATACCTGTACCAAGGCATTTACCGATTGGTACGCCTCAACCTGATCAGTCAAATAAGGCTTCTCAAATGGCAAAGAAAGACTCGTTGGAGCTTGATATCGGTTTGCCTTCACCTCCTTCTCCTCCACAATCTACCGGAGCAACCGACTTGACGGCCCATGGCGTCATTCATGTGAAATGAAGTCGCATTTTTTAAATATTTTTGTTTTATAAATATTATATAGGTTTATCAGTTTTGTCTTGAGTTTCCATAAGAATATATACATATATATTCAAAAGTTTTGTCATAATCGGATTTATGTACAAGTTTTTCTCAAATTAGATTAAATTAAATAATCTATACTTGGTTTTAAATGTAGCTGCTCCTTTATTAACCAAAAAAAAATCATAGTTATGGTGAAGCGTATACAAATTAAAATAAAAATTAATAAAAAATTTTGCTTTGATTGATCTATATATTATTATTCACTAGTAGACTAGTAGAAGCCTTTAATAAGCTTCCTTGAAGCTCGTCTCTTCCGATTAACATGGTGTGGTTTGTCAGAATCAGCACCGAGTTCTAAGGCGGCGCCCAAGAAACCAGTCTGAGTTCCATCGCTGTCGTTGTCCATGTCTCCTTCGATCGTCAATCCTTCAATCCTAGCCGCAATAGATTCCTCTCTCATCCCAACATCCACATCTGCAATATAATGCTCGATTTTATTTAATAATAGTACTTATCGTTTATTTATAATCTTAATAACAAATATCACATGTACTCTATGTGACTGTACATCTGTGTCGTGGTGGATTAACCTAATACACAGTTCACTAATTGTATGTGTATACATATATACTATTATATATATATATATATATAGAAACCTGGATTTGAGAAGAGCCAAAGGACGAGAGCGCATGCAAGAAGGACAAAAGGAATGATGTGAATAGCGTTTTCTGCGAACTTGGCGCGTGACTTGTCCTTCTTAACCATCTCTTCTGGTGGATTTTTGTAGGAAGGTGGTTCCTCCTCGTCGAGTGGGCCGACCATTGAGCCCATCCACATTCCTTTTGGCGGTGCAGACGAGTAGTCTTCCGTCGCACGGTTCCAACTCGCGGATCTGTACATATCCTTCTTCTTAATTTTTTCAAATATTTTGATTAGTTTGTTACAAAAAAACTCTATAGAAAGTACTTTTTGTGAGATTATTGGTGGTTATGTAAACGAGCTTGATCAGTTATTCTCTGTTAGATGTTTTTAGTATTCGTTAATTCACAATTTTTGTTTTCTTTGAATTAATTAAAAAAAGACCGGATTTGATTGCGAATTTAGAGCCTATGGTTTTGGTAGATATGGAACGAAATTAGGACTTTGTCAAATCGTTCATCAAAATGGTATCTTCCTTCTTTCCATGGTGACGAATGTAATTTCTATCAAATTTTGCAATAATATTTGATTATAAAATGCGGAATATATGTATATATATATACATATATCGATGTTAAAACCGACGTTTTCAGAACGATTTCATTTTTTATATATAGAAGTTTCATAACGCTTCATTGCACTTCCAAAATTACAGTATTTCTTGATTCCAAAAATGGAAAACGGACTTAAATAGATTTTTTCGTGCAATCTAAACTAAAACTGCGATTAAGCCAATTTCCTTGGGTCCAATATCGCTAATTAAAAAGCTGAAGCCCATAAACGCAAATTTTGTTCCACCTATGCAATTAAATAAAAATAAAATAATTAAGGAAATCCGAAATCTTCAGTTACCCAACCCGGAGCATAAGCCGAGGCATCCTCCTCTCCACCTAAATCACTCTCCTCTCTTTCTCTCTCTCTCTCTACGAATTTCGCCATGAACATACTTAACAAGCTCGGTTTGGGGTCTAGTAGACAACCCAACATGGATCCTTCTCCGATCGCACAGGGTCCCGACGACGACGCTCCGGCGCCGGGAAACCAGTTTGCTCAATTCGGCGCCGGTTGCTTCTGGAGCGTCGAATTAGCGTATCAGAGGGTTCCGGGAGTGACTCAGACAGAGGTCGGGTATTCTCAAGGGATCATTCACAATCCGTCTTACGAGGATGTCTGTTCGGGCACCTCGAATCATGCCGAGATTGTTCGGGTTCAGTATGATCCCAAAGAGTGTAGCTATGAATCACTCCTTGATTTGTTCTGGTCTAGGCATGATCCCACCACCTTGAATCGTCAGGTACCAATTTTTCTCTTTTGATCGCCTGATCGTTTTGGGTTTCACTCGTAATTTTGGAGATTGACGAGTATTTCTATGGATTTCTGATGTAATCTATTTTCCTGAAACTTAATATTCTCTAGGATTTGTTTGATTTTTGGATAATTCAATTACTTTTTTTTTCTAATTACATCAAATACTCTGTATTATCATTTAGAACATTTGTCATCCATTTGGAATATGAGGCTGCGAGTTAGAGAAGTAGCCCTAAATAGCTTAATCTTGAATCTTGATTATTGTTGTATTTACGTAATAGATATGGGAGTTCTCTGGTATCTTTCCCGTGTTTTTGCTGGTATAAATTTCGGTTTGATGTTTGAAGCTGAACAGATATACACATATATGTTCTCCATCAATCTTGTGGATATGAACTTGGCCATCATTCTTGTCTATCTTTGGTCACAGAATCGTTGTCACGTGTTAGTTCATTGGTAATTTCCTAGAGAGCACTTAACCAGCTCTTAGTTGAAATATATATGACTTAGTTTGGTAACTCTGCAGATTTCTCTAGACTAGAGCGGCTACCTTGTTTTGTTTTGGACGCGGTTAGTTTCAATGTCTTTGATCTTCTTATGGTCGTTGTTCTTGGAGACAGCTTCATGAGCATAATATTTCTTTCTCTGAAAATGATTCTGACATTCAACGGTACACAACCCGTATACTGAGCGAATATCATGCCTATATCCCTATCTATAACTTCTTAACTTTCATACGCTTACTCGGTTTGAGCATTTCTGTCTTCTGCAAAGCTTATGAGGTTCGATATATATATGGTTTCTCTGTCTTAATGATTTATTTTTAATCCAAAACTGATCAGGGAAACGATGTGGGAACCCAATACCGATCAGGGATATATTTCTACAACCCGGAGCAAGAGAAACTAGCACGCGAGTCACTGGAGCGTCACCAGCAACAAGTGGACAGGAAGATTGTGACAGAGATCTCACCGGCTAAGAAATTCTACCGAGCTGAGGAACATCACCAGCAATACTTGTCTAAAGGAGGGCGGTTCGGTCTCAAGCAATCCACTGCAAAAGGCTGCAACGACCCAATCCGCTGCTACGGGTAAAGCCCTGCTTCGACCCAAAAGCAGAGTACACTTTCACCTATCTATAGACTATAGCTGTTGTGTGTAGAGATTGCAATTCTAGTTGAGAATAAAGAAGCTCAGGCTACGTATGTAACTTGTCTTGTGCAACAAAACTTTGAATGTTCAGATCGTTTAGGTGTAATGGTATTTGTTTGGATGATTCGGTTTTTGCCACTGTTCTCGCTTGGATTGTTCCTCTTTTCCAAACCAAAGTGACTAAATTTAAAATTGATCGAAAACACATTATTTATCCAAAAAAAATTAGAACCCAAAAAAGGCAAACTGTTTTGCTAAAGTAAACTGAGAAGTAAAAAGTTTAAAACCGATAGATTAATTATAACTAAAAATAATATGAATAAAACAATTATAACTAAATAAGCACCGTTCATGCCAAAGATATAAGAATATAATAATCGACGAGGAGTCAAACAAGTGAAAAAGACAGAAGCGACAGTGATCTAATTTTGATAGCAAAAAAATCCTACAAAATCTGCTGCCCTAATAACAAAGGAAAACAATTAGAACTACGTGTTGTTCATTATCTCTGTAACGTGAATAGCACGAATTTAGTTCAGGCTCACATCTCTCTAGATCACGTGGCTTCCCCTCAATCGCCTATAATTCATTTCCATTTCAGTTATATGATTGAAAGTTCATCGGTTTTGTCCCATTCGTCGAACATAAAGACTATCCTATTAAGATACGATAGAAAACTGTATATCTGAAGATTCACGAACGTCAACTAAAAACAACTATCGTGGAAAAAGATGTTTCATATTATATCTTACACGTATTTGAGAATTTACTTTTTAATTGACGATGTTCGTGAATCTTAAATCATATATTTTTTTGAATAGTTTAAAGTTTTGGACTAGAAATTGTACATCTTGCAGTCTTGGAATCAAAGTATGTAATATGATCTCGTTCAACTATGACTCGATAAATAATTGCTGTAAATCAAAGATAAATTGTGCAAGTTTCTAATCTTTTAATTAGTGTATTAACCGTATAAGCAGAGTCGTGCCTGAAATTTCTTTAATTACAAATGAGAAAAAAAAATTAGCCCCTTAAAACTTTTTTAATGCAGCTTAATCTATAAATAATTGGCAAAAAAAAGAAAAAATGACATATACATTTGGGAAGAATTGAACCCAAGCAAACTTTTAACTAAACTTGCTTTCACCTATCACAAACCATTTGGACTAACTCCAATTCTAGAAAATTGACCCCAAAAAAATATTTAATTCCTCCGGCCCTGAAACACATGCTTCATTAGCCTGTGCTTATGCACGGCTCTGCGTATAAGTTCACTGAAATTACTACAGTATTTTCTTAGATTACTAGTAAAAGATTATCTCAATATTTGTGCATACACACACATAACACATTCTAGTAAAGTTTAAGAGAATAGAACAATCTGATGAAAAAAGGATTAATGGGCAATTAGTTTGGTGGCGTAACCAATATACCTCCTAAGGAAAACCAATTCTTAAGTTACTATTATTGTATGTTCTTTCTCAAACACACCCAATAATCATATCCTTCGAATGCCAAAACTTAAGGTTATGAGTTTTATTTTTCTATTTTAGACAAGTTTAGCTGCAGCAAGCAATTTTTTTTAATAATAAAGTAAAAGTACTTGCAATCATTTCATTTTTTTAAGAAACAAAAAATATGCATTTATACCTCACATTCCTTTTACTTGATTAGGACTTCATTGAGGTTTTTTATTAATGATAAAAATGACTTCTTTGTTGCCCTATATCTATTATATTAAAACAGAAGCACATTTAGTACTTGCTTCCAAACACTTCCAAAATTTTTTTTTAAAATACTTTGAGAAACAGATTTAAGATTATCCTAAATTATTGTAATATTATTTAAAAACATATTTTCTTTTTTTATATAAAAAATCCGAAAATTAGATATGAATTTAGATAACTAAAGATTTCCTTAAATATATGTCATATTTAATTTAAAATTCAAACTATTTTGTAATTAAATTTAATTCTAAAAAATAATATTAATTTCAATTATTTTATACTTCTTTAATTATAAGTCAGATTTAATTTAACATTTGAACATTTAAATAATATTTTAGAAAAACAAATATGATTAAGAGAATATCTTATTGTATTTTTTAATCATATTTAATCAGAATAAAATTTCACATATTGAAAACTAATAAATATTAATATTATATGGTAATTTGATGGGGTGGATTAGTTATTTTTTATAATTACAGTTGTATATTCAAAATATGCAAGATATTAAGATAAATATGATTTCAAAATTAGTAAATAATTATATTATATAGTAATATGACAGACGGGTTAGAATTATGGTTTAGTAACTACAGTTTTTCGGATTAATAGAATGAGTGAATTAAAAATATATTTTTATAATAACGGTCTATTTCGATTAATAGAATGATCGAATTAGAATTATGTTTTTATGATCATGTTCATAATATAGTAGGAAAAATTAAAAAATAAATTATATATAAACACAAAAATAAATCTTTGTTATTTATTAAAAAATTATATCTATAAAGAAAACATAAATAATATTATAAATTTTAATTAAAAAAATTTCCTGTGCGGATGCACGGAGTAAAATCAAGTTTTAATTAAAGTTCAACATATAAACACATAAGAAATCTCAGTTGTCGTTGACCAAAAAATAATTTCAATTGTTATTTAAGAATTGTTTCACCGTCAAACATTTAGATAACCGAAACTATAATTAAAAAGAAAATTAATCAAGAAAAGGCAAGCCCTGTACCTACATATATATTTTATTATACGGAGTTTATATCATAAAAGCCCACGTATACGCAGAAAAACACATTCGAATTTAGACCTGTAAAGTGTAAGAAGACACCACACTCTTGTGGTTTCTATGTGTATGTATATGCGTCTATCTTCAAGTTTCAAGTCTTTATTTCCACTAGATTTTTCATTTTTCTTCCTTTTATTCTTCTCAATCTTCTTATATTTTCCCTTGTTTTAGAAGCTAAGTTAGTTAATTACACTTATAATAACCACCAGAAGTTTGTTAAATTAATGTTAATTTTCTGGCCCATAGTTTAAGTTTTAACAATGAGATTATCATAATCACCAGCTATATTGTAATTTAATTTCAAAAGTAATCTTGAGTATCCAAATGACACTAAAATCAAAATCAAACATAGAATGCGTGATTTGTGAACAACCACTTGATAATAATTTTATAGTTGAGAGTTTTCACGTTTGGTAGGGAATATATGTGTCCAAGTTTATGTTTTCGAGGATGTACATGCAGCGTATTTCACAAGAGCAATATAAGAAAAAACGTAGTAGAGATACTGTTAACTAAAATGTGGTTTGTATATTCAAAGAATAGTGTAGACAAAATATTAAATATATCTAGTTTTCAACTTGATAGTAATAGTGAATTTCTAGATTTTTTTGGCGTGTACAACTTACACACATACGGACAGTAACATTAGTACAAACTAATATGGACTATAAATCTTAATTAATTATGATTTTTCTGTTCAAAAAATTAATAGGACTTATGAGATCTTTTAGAAGATGAATAAAAGGTACAATATAATAAAACAAAATTTACCGAAACAGTTACTGTAAATAATTTGTATTACTACATATAGAAATGGTTTTAAAGTTCTAATACAGTTGCAAATAAAAAAGTTATAAACCAAAATAATGATAGAATATATTCAGCTACTTGGGTTTAGAATATGTTAAAAGATTTATAAACCCAAGTAGCTGTATTAATCTATTAATAGAGAGAAGAAAAACAAATCAATGTATATAGTAACTAAATAAAATATGAGTCACGACATTATTTTTAATTCCTTGTATGTATATAAACACTCCAAATGACAGGCAAAAGACAGAAACCAAAACACGTAATGTAATAAAGTATAAACTCGTCAAATAGAGCTCTGTAATCTGTTCTTCCTTTCTTCCAGTTCCATCCACAGAAAATCGAATGGTTGATCAGATTCAGATCCAGACGATGAATCAAGTTCTAGAAGAACCAATGGCGGAGTTCATGCCAAGTGTCATAACGGCAATGTCGTATCTCTTGCAAAGAGTGTCAGAGACCAACGACAGTCTGAGCCAGAAACAGAGGATCTCAGGCTTCCATGCATTAACCAAACCCTCGATCTCAATTAGAAGCTATCTCGAGAGGATCTTCAAGTACGCGAATTGCAGCTGTTCGTGTTACATAGTCGCGTATATATACTTGGATCGGTTCGTGAAGAAGCAGCCATTTTTGCCCATCAATTCCTTTAATGTTCATAGGCTTATAATCACAAGTGTCTTGGTCTCTGCTAAATTCATGGATGACTTGTAAGTAAATGATCCGAGGCTAATTTGTCGAAACTCACTAATTAACAGCTCCTTTAATTCATTTTAAAATATTTTTATTTTCAAAAACAATTTTAGGTGTTACAACAATGGATATTATGCTAAAGTTGGAGGAATCAGCAGAGAAGAGATGAACATGCTTGAGCTTGACTTCTTGTTCGGAATAGGGTTTCAGTTAAACGTCACCGTCTCTACTTTCAATAACTATTGCTCTTTTCTACAGAGAGAGATGGTGATGTTGATGAAGATGAAGTCTCTGTTTTTAGAACCTTCTCTCTCATTCAGAAGCTCTATTAAGACGAAGCTTGTGATGAATCCTCTCGAAGAAGACTCATTATCCACTCATCACAACAAGAAGCAACTCGCTGCTGCTTGATCTTATATTATGCATAGATCAGGTTAATATCACGTTCTGATGTAAACCAATTCAAATCTATCGTTATATTCGAATATAAACCTGGTAAAAACGATACACTTTTCTAACCAGTCGAACTTAATGCAAATCTACAATATTTTGTTTTCTTTCAATTATCTAACACGCGTTTAGAGACATACACATTTAGAGACATAAGCAAAGACGACATTATAGGATATGTCGAGCACATAATCCATATATAAAGAGCATACAAGACAAAGGAAGTTACATTTTAAAAAGGGTACCAAACCTAAGAACCTTAATAGTATTACAAACACTTATAATACCTCCTCCCAAAACCTTTTAGTTGGGAGAAATTACTAGAACTTCATTACGGATGAGACTTACCACCGTGGCTCAAAGTGGTAACTGCACCATTGAAACCACCACCACCGCCACCACCACCACCGGACCGACCATTTCCGCTTCCGTAACCATATCCACCACCACGTGCTCCGCCACCTCCAGAACCATATCCATATCCGCTACCTGATCCGGATCCGGATCCATATCCATATCCAGATCCTCTTCCCCACCCCGTCGGCGATCTACCCGAACCTGACCCGTAACCCCATCCGGATCCTGGAGCAGAGCCCCAACCCCAGTTGTAATCCCAATTGGGCCCATGGCCCGACCCACTTGCGCCAGGGTAGTTTTGGCCTGGTGGCATGTTGCCCCTCGACCATGCGAATGGACGGGAAACCGAAGTCTTCACAGTGATCAAACAGAACAAAACAAACAAGAGCACCTTTATCATTTTCTAATTTTGTTCTTAAGGTCTTATATATATATTTGTTACTTCTAAATCTTGTTTTGCTATGAAGTTATTGTAAGAAAGCTTCTCCCACCATTTATATAGGCAACTACAACATGAAGCGTTATTGAAATGCAACGGTCCATGACTAGTGGGTTTAATAGTGTAAGATGGGCCAGAGTCATCCTTTTATCAACACCAAGCAAAGAAAAAAAAATCCTTTTGAGGAATAACGTAAAATAAAATAAAAAAAGAAGAGAAATACATTCATTGCAATTCTATCTCCTACGCATGTTGTGAGCTATAAACTTCTCTGTTATATAATTTTTTACTTGGGACTTGGCTGACAAGTTATCCTGTAAATAAGCACCACCGCCCTCACAATATAGTAAGAAGATCAAATGATCAATCATGAAGTCACTAGCTAGTCTCACTAGCTATGAACATCTTTTTCAACTTTTTAGTTTGCTTCTAATACCAATTACCATTACCATTATTAGTCAAGAAAAATAAAAAAATTACCAATTACCACACATTAATAGTCAAAGAGTTTATCTTTTATTTTTTTTTCTACTATAGTCGGTACTACAATTATTTTTAAAAAGTCAAAAGAAATGATTAGATATTTGATATTGCTGAGTTTCTTTAAAGTAGAAAATATTATCTTCACGAACCCCTTCGAGATGCGTCTCAACGCCAATCCCACTTAGAAATTATACTAATTACAGCTTGTGATCTTGAAATGTTCAGCAGCATCATCATCATTATTAATTACACCAAAAAGACATCTATAAACACGCATATAGACATCATCACTATTTACTGTTGTAATAGGAATCACTAATTCATCTTTGAAAACTAATATTAGTCGTGCGACCGCAAATTCCAAAATTAATCGTACAATGATGAGCAAATCAGATGAACTGTATTTATTGAAAAGAATATAGAACTCGTGAGTTGTCAAAAAAAAAAAAAAAGAATATAGAACTCGTGATAGAATACGCTTATCATCTAGATAAGATCTTATCAGATGACTAATCAAACTTAATTATAAACCTTCATCTAGCATTTGCTATATCAAATTCAACTGGTCTTAACCTTTTCTAAGACCTTTGTGTTTATTCAGACACTTAAATCGAAACCCAGTCAAGCTTGATCACGTGTGATTCTAATTTTGTTATTACAATAATTTATTTGTCACTTATAATAATAATCATTTAAAATTGTGATTTATTACATATGTACGAGGTCATCATATGACCCTACATTGTACCTGTTTATTTGTACATAAAATTTGTATATGAATGACCAAAATATCGAATATTATTTGCTGTGTGAGCTCACTGTTTTTTGATGGGTCTTTTTGTATGATGATATTATTTCGCAAGTTTTCAACAATAACAAAAAAACCGTCTGTGCATAGAAACTAGAGAGATCTCCTCATAGGCAATATAAACATATATAAGTAAATGACGCGAAAGAAAATAACGAAGTTAAATTAGTTTTTGTAAATTGATTCATAATGTGCAACAAAAAAAATTAATCTAGTAAATGAAACACAAAGAAATTGTTTCAATTTTTTTTTATAACATTAATAGATCTAAGTGTTTTAAAAAAAACACTCAAAAAAGAAAATCTTCTACATTTTCGCTCTATAGTTTTTATATTTTAATTTGACTTAAACTCATATTTATATTCTGTATGTGGTGTGTGTTATGTTTATTTTGCACTAACTAACTGTAAGCGCTCTATTGAGTGTATCCATTCCAAATGTCGTACACAGTTTTTGTTTTGTTTTCCTGCAACGATTTAGATCTGTAGTGCCTACTCGGAGTTATTTGGCTCTAAGAAATATCTAAAGAATCATTTTTGGAATGATGGCAACCTTTAATATATTTTCAACGGTGAAGCGGTCCACACGCACAACTTCCTACGGTGGAGCAACATACCATATGTTATGTCTCTTTTAGGATATGATCGAATATTCATATTCATAAGATATTCGCTATGCATACATATACATGTAAAAGACTACCCCCCAAAAAATATCTGAAAGCTCTCACAATTCACTTCATCGATATTTCGAAAATTCGGAAATAAAAATGAAAATTATAAGTGCTTTTGTATGGATTACATAATAGTTCGACTATAACATTTAGTTTAATGATTTGTATTAATATTGTTTGTTATGATATTGTTTGTTATGTTGTAACTAATTCAAACCTATATAGTGTATGTTATTGAAAAAGAAAAAGATCACATAGTGTTTCTTACAACATTCCTCTAATTTGGTTCAAAATATCTAGAAAATGGATTACGTATATGTGATGTGAATGGATCAATTTTTATAGTGGAGTTAAACAGGGTGGCAATTAAATCCGGACCTATACGGAGCATAGTCCAATCCATGTTATTCCTTACAAAAAATGTCTCCTGAATATGAACTCCGTAGAATTCATATAAATATGCATCCCTATTTCCTAAAAACTAAGTATGGCATTCACTGTCTCGCACGACCGGTTCACATTTTCTTTTATAAACTGTATAGTAAAGCAAAGATTGGAAGACAAAAAAAATTACTGGGAATGAATATTTTTTTATATAGAACGGGAGAGAAATTTAGAAAAAAAAATCATCGAATAAATAGTGACATATTATTTATCAAAGTTATTGCATCATCATTTTAGTTTCGATTTGGTTCACAGGTTCAAACTACTAGTATGTTACAAATTAACAAAATTCTGTGACGCTTAAGTAGTGCCACGTTCTGGGCCCTCACTAATCACTACTATTCCCACCCACTTACTCTATTATTAGTACACTCAACATCATATATGCAAGCATTATAATGTTACATGTATGTATATACGTCCATACAAACGTGTTTGAAACTGTGTATTGGTATGACAAACTACAAGTTTTTTTGTCAACATGTTATCGTTAATATTGAAAAGAACATTAACGTGATTAATAAACCAATATAATGCCCAACACTATATTACGCTAACACAACTGGGTAGTACTTGCCAAACGAAGTAAAACTTGGTTCATTATCCGTCCATGTTCTTCGTAATATTTCACTAATGTTTGATTTTATTTCTATATTCATTCTTGAATAACAAGGAATCGGTACGTTCTTAAAATAGAAGGGATATTCTTATATAGTAATTTTATTTTTTGAGAAATCTTTTATAGTCTATTGTTGGGAAACAAACATTAAGAGATTACTCAGTTGCGGCAACATAAAAAATTATGGTTCGATTCTGCCAGCCAGTTTCTTCAGATCAAAGTCAGAAGAGGGAGCTGCAATCTCATTGTAGTCTCTATATTTCCCCAACACTTATAACCTCAAAATAGAGAAAAAACAATTCCCAGATTATATCGGCAAATCCAAAAACGTGACAGAATAATTTATTTTGGAAGAGAACATCGCTCAGTTCAGCGGGAATCTCGACACGCAAAACTTTTCATGTAAAAATACAAGAAAAATCCTGCATTCCGGTCTGTTGAGCTTGAATATTACGAAGTCATCACCACGATATTCTCTTTCAAAATCAATATATTAAATACAAAGGAAAAGAAAAATTTGGAAAAGACGGTAGGTTATATATATAACCCTAGACTTGGAATGCTTGAGAAAAAATTGGAAAGGACGGTAGCTTATTTATAGGAGGGTTGGCTAGGGTTTCTCCGGAGTTGCCAACTTGCCTATACTCCAACAGCCTCAGTTTTAAAACATTTCGTTTGATTATAAGTTAATTGGGCCAACACATTTAAGTGGGTATTTTTAGCTACAAAATGTTTGCAAAACCCATCAAATATTTTATTTAATTCGTCCCGGCCCACTTTTGCTACACTAATCTTCACCTAAGATAGTAATTATCAAAACGTCTTTAAACGTAGCTTTGTTGTGAAAGCTGGACGTTGAAAAAGGTTATTTGCTCACACGTAATTACAGTGTAAAGCTCATGTATAACAATTTGACTATTGTAAGCTTGTAACATACTTCTTATTCAAATGAATAGAGTATCTTATTATACAAACACAGGTAGAAACAAAAAAGAAAAATTATATGTTCCTATCATAGTAACCAGTTTATATTCATGAATTATCCATATAAAAAAATTTCCAAGTCAGGAGAAAAAATATCATGCCACCACAAGTTTTCTCAATAACAATTTTATTTAATTATTTAATGAAATAAATAAATATAAGAACCACTGTAAACTCGCCACGTACAAACCTTTTTGTCAAACAGTTCAGAGTAGAGTGCTCTCTCTCTCGGTCTCGATTTCTGATTTCTCACTGTACGACCATATAATCACATAAAAGAGCAGACAAATTAATTGATCTTCTTCATCTGCTGTTCGAGATTTTCGAAAGGATGTCATGTTTGGGTAGGATTTTGTCGGTTTCCTACCCACCGGATCCGTACGTTTCGCGCTTTTCAGTGTATAAGCTGTCTTCACTACGGCGAAATCGGAGATTGAGATGGCGATTCTCGGCGTCGGACCCTGAATTTTCTCCACCAGCTTCCTCTCTCGACTCAGATTCTGCCGATAGATATGCTGCCGGGTAATCGAATCAGCTCCGCTTCATCTTCTTTATATGAAAGCTCTGTTCTGCCAATGAGAGTTGAGTCCGTATAATTACAGATTTGGGTTTTAATCGTTTTGTATATCGCCTTCACTGCTTCCAATTTCTAAAAAAAGAAAAAAAATGTGTGAGTTAATGATCTTGAATTTTGAAGTTTCTACATTTGATTTTAGACACGTCCTTGATAGGGAACATAATCGGTTTTGGAAAAATCATGTCTTGTTGAGTTCGACTTCAAACGAGAATCGTTTGGACCTCTCTATCTTAGTGTTGCTATAACTTTTTTTGTTATTTTTGGTGCAGCTTTTGTATCATAGAAGGGCCTGAAACAGTACAAGACTTTGCCAAAATGCAATTACAAGAGATTCAAGATAACATTCGAAGCCGACGAAACAAGATCTTCTTGCACATGGAAGAGGTGCATCTTTGTAAAACCTTTATTACTTTCTAAAAGTGGAAACCTTTTTATTAGTTTCTAAAAGTTTGACTGTTTCATGGATTATCATATAAATATAGGTAAGGAGGCTGAGAATACAACAACGGATTAGAAACACTGAACTTGGCATCATAAACGAGGAGGAAGAACACGAATTACCCAATTTCCCATCCTTCATCCCATTCTTACCTCCATTGGTGAGTTTCCTATTGAAGAAATTGGATTCTTGTTGCCTTTGCAAGAGTTTTTTTTTTTTTTTATGTTTTGAATTGACCATAAATAACATTTCAATTTGCAGACTGCTGCCAATTTGAAAATCTATTATGCTACTTGTTTTTCACTCATCGCGGGCATTATTCTATTTGGTGGCCTTCTTGCGCCTACGGCAAGTGCTTTGCTATACATTTTTCACCTTTGAATTTTTTGTTTTTTTTTTCAAGATTGGCATAGATTACTTTGTTCTCTGTAATATAGTTTATGTTTGTAACCTCGGCAGCTAGAGCTGAAGCTAGGTATAGGAGGCACATCATATGGAGATTTCATTCAAAGCCTTCATCTACCTATGCAATTGAGGTTTTGATACTTTTTTTTTATTTTTCTTGTATAACTATCTATACATCTGCGTCTTTGTTGAAACGTTGCTTAATCTGTGTCTTAACCTGAATGACAGTCAAGTAGACCCAATAGTAGCGTCCTTCTCTGGAGGAGCTGTTGGTGTGATTTCAGCATTGATGGTTGTTGAAGTTAACAACGTAAAGCAGCAGGAGCACAAGAGATGCAAATACTGTCTAGGAACTGGTATTATGATTCCTCTGCTTTTTCTTGCTTTCAAAAGAAATGAGATTTAGAATCAGGTTTTAACGTCGTCTTATATTATTCAGGGTATCTAGCATGTGCTCGCTGCTCTAGCACAGGTGCTCTGGTTTTAACTGAACAAGTCTCAACCATTGCTGGTGGGAATCATTCGCTATCACCACCCAAAACCGAAAGATGTTCAAATTGCTCTGGTGCCGGAAAGGTAAAAGAACCCAAAAAACAAAACAAAACCTAAACCCAAAACTTAAGATGTGGATGCTAAGTTGTATGTGTTTAATGTTCAGGTGATGTGCCCAACATGTCTGTGCACAGGAATGGCTATGGCTAGCGAGCACGACCCTCGGATTGATCCCTTCGATTGAATCTGCAACACAGTTCACAATCTATTTCTGTCACTGTAACTAAAAATGGTATGTATGAATAATTAGAACTGCATCCTTTTGATCTGTATATACATACACAAGTGAAGTTTTAATACAATGTTAGATTTGTATTCTCTAAACAACAAAGCGACACTGGACCAGAGAAACCAAAAACTGTAAACTGGCAGGTTTTCTACGTCTTGTAACATAAAACGGCATGTCGTAGTGTTTGGTTTCTGAGCTCTGAATGTATTATTACATTTTGTTTTGTTTGTTTCTGAGCTCTGAATGTTTTCAGTTCTAACAATGAGAAGGAAAAAAGGATGGAAACAGGTGGAAATGTGGCTCAAGCTTTCCAGCCACGCAAGAGAGCGGCACGAGCAACTTTAGTTAACACTAAGAGTGAAAGCTCCTGTACGCAAGACTCATGCTTCTGTATGTTTACTTTCCCCTCATCCACATGAACCCTTGGATTTTCTGAACCCAACCCTCTCAGAATAGCTAACCGTCACTCCTCCTGCGTTGTGTACAAGTATGGAAAAACCACTGACTCCTTTTTTCGACAGATTTGCACATAGACACAATTTAAAAAAGAAAAGGAGCTTTAGAAACCAAACTCTTTGAGTAACACAGCAGAACAGAAAACAGAGCTTTTTGTCTGAGATACACAGTAACCTTGGTTTATATCGGAAGAAAAGAAACTGGAAACCGGGATTTCAGTTGTACCCGAATAATAATTGTCAAACCCTTACCTGACAACACGTACTCAGCAAGAAGAATTCCAGTGGCGTAAACATAGACATTTGTTATTAGCGAAAAAAAAAACGGAGACATTTGTTATTTGTTATTATAATAAACCGATGATTCTTATTCCTTGTAAAAGCGAAACAGTATACAAGCCTCAACTCCTCCAAATTTACAATATCAGGAAAAGTGCAACGTTATATGTATATATATATATATATATATATACACGTGAAAAGAAAAGGTAATGTAAAAAACGGAGAGGTTGATTAAGTTTGGTAGTAATTAGACTACAGAGTAGGGGGCGGGAGGAGCCAGCTGGATCCTTGGATGTAACCAAGCGAAATAAAAGAGTTAGCTTCTATGTTGTCAATGTCTTGTGTATACTTAACTCTCTTCTCCTTGTTCGATCCTGGTCCTGAGCACTTATACTCTCCATAGAACACTGTCCTGCTCATCAATCCGTGTAATTTTACATAAATAATTATATATACATATTTGTAATTAGCGTGTTGTTATTGTAGTAGATTTCAAATGGTTTTGGATTACATACTTGTCACGCTCGGTTTGGCCATTATCTTGCCATCCGGACGGGTTCACGACACTTGACATGTCGGTGTATGCATACACAACCTTGGGGTGGCTCATCCATGCTCTACCCAAGTAGACCCCTGTTCCAGTCCCTGTAACCTTGCAGTGCACGAAAGAGTATCCACTTTTCTCTGCCGCGCTTTTTCCCGCATGAGCTGTGATCACTCTCAGTCCATCTCCCACAACGTTTAGTTGTGTACGCTTTTCATTACAATAAAGGATCACCGTTAGAAACCATCATGAAAACATGCATTGAAATAATTGGATAAGCAATGATGCTTATATAAGAAAAAGGATTATTAGGTTAGGTACGTACGAGGTATAAAGAGCGTCCGCTTCCAAAGATAAAATCAAATGTCCCTTCGATGTAACAGTCTTTGAAGAAATGGTTTCCGGTGTCATCGCAGATCGTGTCTTGATAACCGTAGAATTTACAGTTGTAGAAAGCTGCTTTGTTGCCAGAGATTCTCATAGATAAGGCTTGAGCTCCTTTCCTTTTCCCATCCGGCATCGGAGCAGAGTTCTAAAACCAAACACCCACATTAGAAAAATATACATGAATATAGTGTTTGGTGCAATAGGTTTTCGGAAGAATCTAGGGTTTGATGATAAAACTACCAAAATCTATATATTAATAGGTTTTGAGATGAAAATGTGTACCTTGACAATGATGTTAACGGCCATGAAATAGTCAGACAAGACGATGAGAGTTGCGCTATCGACAGTCCCGTATTGAGCAGCGGTGCCGTCGAATGTCAATACCGGCATTGCATTTGGATGACCGTACAAAGTGATGAAGGGTTTGTTTCTGTCGATGGTGATCTTCTCTTTGTACACACCGGGACCTAACTTGATGATCACGCGTCTCGTGTTCCCTGCGGGTACACTCTTTATCGCCTCTGTTAAGGTCTTGAAATGGCCTCTTCCATTTTGTTTCACCTGCATGCATTCAGAGATACCCCCTAATCAATATTCATTAATTAAAAAAAAACCCAATCTCCAGTTATTTATCATGCATTATTTTGCGGCCGGCTAGATACAAAAGATCGTTGACTTTCACGTTGACTTGAATTTCTTAGAACACTGAATAGAAAGTTATGAATTGAATATTTGTTATGCCTTGATGACACGTGGGGATGCCTCAGCGGTCAATAGAGCTGGATCTAATGTGCCTTTTCTACTAGCCAACGAAGGGACGTTGGTGTTGAACCACTGCTCGATTCGGCGTTTGTTCTGCGGAATTGGTGATGCATCGTTACCCGAAACTATAGGCGATGTAATCACAACGAGCAGGATTGTTACTATTAGGGACACGTATTTGTATCCCATTTTCTATAATTCTACTTTTTACTACTTTTTCTAAAATATAGATAAATAACTTTTTAGTTTGTTTTTTTTTTTCATAATTCCTGATGGTATATATATGTATTACCATCGCCGAAAGCGAAAAACACTCGATGCCATTCAGTTTTTTGTTGCTAAATCAGTTTCTGTTTCCTGCTCTTTATTCTTTTTTATCCCTTCATGAGTTCTATATATATATTACATATCTTTTTTAAGCTCTTTAACTTAAACTAATTTAGTTTAAGATATAAACAAACCCTTAGTGTTTTTTTTTTAGTTTAACGACCCTTTAGTTTTGCTATGACGACAAGACATGCATTTTTAGAAAATTGTTTTTTTTTAACATCTAAGTGAAAAGTTACAAAATGAAAAATGAAAAATTATGATGAAAACATGCGACTTACCAAAAAAAATTTAGAATGATTAAAAAGGATTATAAGTGAAAATGTATTAATTTAGAACAAAGCAATAATTTTCGACGACAAAAAGTGAAAATGCATAAAACAAAAAATAATGATAACAAAATATAATCCTATAATACATTTTACGATTATTATAGTTAGAAATGAAAAATACAAAGATTAAAAGAACTGATTTTCCAAAACATTTTTCACACTATTAAATAGTAACTGCCACATTATGAGAATTTTTGTTTACTCAGTCTGAAAGTTTAACCTTATAACGATTCTGTGTTCTCTACTATCGTTAGTCATTACTGTCGTTGGGAAATAATAGCAAAACAGAACAACTTTACTCACTGTGAAAGTTTGATAAAACGCTATAAAAAAAAAACATTGCAATCTCATTCACAGTGGGTCAGCTTCATTGTCATTCCTCCCCTGTAATTGATTTTTTGAGTAAACTTGAGCATAATATTTAATTGTTAAGAGTCATAATCAATCACGGTACCCCGAACTCGTCGCTGCCCATGTCCTAACACCTGTGATGATGGTTCGTATATCACCGGAACATTCTGTGGGACCCGCATCTCCGGCGAGTGTCCAGAGATGCACATTGATCCCGACCCATCTTGTTGCCAGTACACTTCCACCATTATTCCTCGGGGGTTCTCTGCGTTTTCTGTTCCAGGGATACCCACAAATCTTGCTCCCACAGGTATCTGCGCATCGAGTTTGTGTCCATATAACTTTTTTGTTCTTTCTCAGTGGATGTGAAATTGAAAATACGTTGTAGATTTACCTCTACGGAGATGCCTGATTCTAACTCAAGAGTTACCATGGTTCCTTGAGCCGTTGCGCTTTCTAGCTCAGCCCGTCTTGCGATGTTGAGAAACACTTCTTCAAGAGTTGCAAGCCCGAGTTGGATGTCTGAGATACCAAACTCTGATTCTCTGTCTTGTAGCTCCCCGAAAAACCTCTGTTTCATTTTTGGAAAATCATGAATGAAGACCTTAGAGATTTTATTTTATTTATTAGAGCTTTGTAGATATGGTTACCGCCAATAATTTCTCTTTGTCGTGTGGAATAACAAAAGTCATGAAAGCTTTTCTTTCCTCTGTTGGCTCAACTTTCAGATGCTGCAAATGAATATTGGTCTCAGAGGTATTTACTAACTAAACAATGTCGCTTAAAAAACTTGAGTGTACATATACCTCTTTAAAGAACCTTTTCAGTGGCTCGCGTGATGATCCAGCACCCTCGTATTTGTTTTTGTTTTCGACGAAGCTAACTGTAGCAACGAAACCCGTGCCAAAGCGGGATTTTAACCTGATTGAGGTTCCAATGCAGCGGAGCCTGCCTTTAGCCATGATCCCTATTCGGTCACCTAAAATATCAGCTTCTTCCATTGAATGCGTTGTTAGTATGATGGCACGACCTTTCTTTGACTCTTGTATAATGTCCCACACATGCCTCCTTGTGATAGGGTCCATACCTGTAGTCTACAATCCAGATATGTATGTGTGTTAGTGTGTATGTATCCACACATGTATAAAGAAGAAAGTAGCAAGTTGCAGACATACCGGTTCATCTAGAAAGACCAGCTTGGGATCACCAATGAGTGCAATTGCAACACTGAGTCGGCGTTTCATTCCACCACTGTAACTTCCTGCTCTAATTTTCGCTGCTCCTGTCAGCTTTACATCTGCAAGTAACTCCTCTGCAATCTGTATAACGGAAAGAAATTTTAGTAAGCAAAAAATGGTCCACATCAAATATACATTTGTAAAATTCATGATGAAGTAAATATGAAGTTATCCAAGGATGACATTACCGATTTGATCGATGACGGTGGCAACCCTTTAATGCTAGCAAAGAGGTGGAGGTGCTCTTCACTGGACAAAGCATCCCAAAGGATATCAAACTGTAAAAAAAAAAGGTGATGATGAAATAAACCATTTAAACAGAGCAAAAAAACCATTGTGTAAGAAGGGAACAAGAAATTTAACAAACCTGAGGACAAACTCCTATCATTTTTCGAATGTTGGACATACCAACAGAGCTTCTTATTGAATGTCCATAAATTATCGCTGTTCAAGTCGATCAATTATATCAGGTTAGAATGGTTAAAATGTCTTGAAAAAACAAAGGTGAACAAGCTTTCTTACCATCCCCACTAGTAACTGGATTTATGCCAGTCAAACAACTGATAGTAGTTGTTTTCCCTGCGCCATTTGGTCCGAGAAGACAAAACAACTGATCTTTGGCAATATTCATCCACAAACCCTGAATATATTCCATGATTTAGCTGAGGAATAACTTTGGGAAACAGCATACATTCCAAGAGATCACTTCTTTTTCTTCAGTGTTTTGTTATCAAGAAATGAAATACCTTTACAGCTTGAAAAGGGGAAGTTTTCTTGCATTTGCAGCAACCGAGCTTTGTGGTTCCGGGATATGTCTTTGCAAGACCACGTATCTGAACTGCAATGTCAGGATCAACAATTCCATCCATTGCTTGCTGTTTAACTACGATCTCCTCTTGGAGCACATCTTTATCCTCTGGCGCAATATGCTCTACCAGAGGAACCGAACCAACACAGCTACAAATGCTCCCTTCTGTAAAGAATAGGAACATGTTTGGCTTACATTTTTCCAGCACACTGAATTTTTACAAGTGCAAGAGAACATACCTTCCACATTGTTGCCCTCTTTGCCAGTCCAATAACTAGGCTTTAGAAAGTAGAAGATGGATTTTCTTACACCGGATTCGTTGGGAATAATATTGTCAAAGTAGATAGCCAGAACAAACCAGAACAGGAATGTACCCACAAGCCATATGTAGATGTTATTCTACCAAAAATTCAAAAGAATCATTATTTTGGTCAGAGAATAGTCTTAGATGAAATCTATCTTGAAAGGTTGAGATACCATTGTAAGAAAGCAGGTGGCATCGTCCATTGCTGCGCATACTGTTGTTTTACTCCAATTAATTCCAGAACCTTGGTGATTCGATGTCGCTTCAAGAAGCAGCTGCAGACCCGCAGAGAAGGTATTCGGTGGAAAGAATGACCAAATCACCCGGCTATAAATGGAATATGTGCTTGAATAAGGGAAATCAGTACTTGATACCATCTGAAATTACAACTGCAGCTAGTAAGTATACATAATTAGAAGAACCAATTTCAGCTACTGTTTAAGAGCAAGAGAGGGGTGAGGACACACCAGTGTTATAAAACTAATCAGAAACACAAGGAAACCAACAGTTGTTGCTGAAGATGATATGCTAATGAAAGCTGATAGCACGAATGCTAGGCTAATCTAGCAACACAAAATAATAGATAAGTACTTGAGTGATGCCACAACCAAATAAAAAAGAGAAGGAAAAAAAGCAATAATTAGGAACCGAGTCTTACCATGTTTAACTGAAAAAGCAAGAAAAGTAGGAAGACAACAACAAAACTGTTGTTCAAGAAAAAATGAAATTGGAACATCATTCCAAAGAGGACTAAGGAGAGCGACGAGATGACGGTGAGGATTGCTTCCCATAAGAGCCATGATAACCAGTAAGCGGTATCAAAAACTCCCATCATTGTCATTGCCTGTTGGAAAAATCATGATTGAACAATCTAATACACAATGGTAATATACAATATCTCAGTTACAAAAAGATAAGAAACCTGGCGAAGTTTCAGCTCTTTCTCAGTAACAAGAGAACTGAGTTGGAGAACAAAACCAAACATAGAGAAAGCAAGAAAGAACACTGGTCCCATAAGATTCAGTGCAGAAATTGTTGCTCTCCCACCAATAGCTGGGCGCGCAAATTCCTTAAACCCAAAATCCCAACCGAAATTTGGATCTGAAAATGTATATATAAAGACATTTGATTTTCCATGTCTCAATGCCACATTCCAAGTCAAAGAATTCAAGATGGTACCTCCAATTAAGGACCTTGCTATCTCACGCTCTGCAGCGATTTGAAGAGGAACAAGGAACTTAAACGTCGAGTCTTCAACACGACCACGTATTTTCTCCGAGGAAGAATTTGTCTGAACTCCATAGCTGATTACTGTAGCATTCCTTTCCACAAAATGCAAAGCTCCTGGGACTTGCAATGGATGTGACATAAACCATGCATCTACCTCCTCAGGCCCTTTGAATGATTGAACCTGAAAATTAGACCACACACATTCGGCTTCCTTTTTAATCTAATTTCAAACAAACACATCACATTCACGTTTTGGTCTGACATATTTTAAAAACACGGTAAAAACCCATCGGAATATTCGTTTTTAATGAAAAAATGATTTTTTTTTCAATACATGAGAATTGCTGCTCATAACTAGCTCGGAATTGCAGAACCAAAAGAATTTCACTAAAATTCGTTTAAAGCACTATTATTGAAGGGAAAAGAAAAGAAAAAAATCTAACCTTGTTGCTCGGAATTGGTCTTCCCGGATTGTTGCCCATGATTGCAGAGACAATGTCAGTCACTCGACGGCTCTGGTTCCCACTCCACACGAAGTCGTAGCAGGGAAGCTTCGCGAAAAACTTATCTTCACAAGGCGGAATCGGAGGCGAGACTAATGCCTTAGGATCTGTGACGTTTATGTGCGCCGTCGAGGTTATGTCGCTCGCCTTCATCGCTTCCTGGATACAGAAGATGAGAAGGATGAAGAAGAAGGAAGAGAAGAGATGAAGACACGTGGCTCTCTTGTTCCGCCATGATAGCAGCAGATTCTTCCTGAACAACGCCGTGAACTGCTGATAGAGAAGCGGCAAGCCTTCTCGCAGAGTCATTATCAGAGGAAGAAGACGACTAGACGATTTTTTTTCTTTAATTAAATTAATTACGTTATTTTATTATTTACGTCTGTGATAAAATTACTTTAGAAACGCCTATTATTAATAACCATTATAAAGACTGTTGAGTGTTGATAGGACTTACTTAGCACTTATTAAAGTTTTTTTTCACGTATCAAAATTCTTTGAATATGGATTTGAAATTAAATGATATTTTTCCCATTTCGTGTTATTCTACCAATTTCATGAATAATAGAAACGCGTTTTCTAAAATTCTATGTACCTTGTATATTTTTGTTTTTCCGTTTCTACATTAAATTTGGAATGTTTCCAATTATCCTCTGTTGATATGTTTGGCAAAAAATCTCCTTTATTACAAATTGAGCGTGGGTGATGTATGACTGATCACATTGTTACAATGTATTCAACTACGTCTTGATATGGTAAGGGATTTTTATTGGATTATTATCAATTATGATACTCTTGATTTATTACAATTTAATGGCTGATTAAATTCTCTTTAACGTTGAAATCCGTGTGAAATTAAAAGTCCTTGTTTTAATAAATAATCCCGAAAGAAAAAAACAAAATAACAAAACCGAAAAAGGTGGTGTTTAGTAAGAAAAACAGAGGAAGAAAAATTAAAGACTAACAAAGCTTCTTAATTGCATCAATGGCGAATCATGGTCAAGCCAGTTTCTGGGCTCAGGCAAATGCGTTACTCAGAAAGAACTTAACCTACCAGGTATGCGTACATGTCTCTGCGAATCGGTGAAAAAACTTGATGGACCATCATCTCTATTTCTCAGACGAAATTTTGACGCAATTTTACAGAATTCGGTATAGGAAATGTTCGAGACCTGAAATATGAACCAAAAACGTTCTGCTAAAATGAGATGGCTTTTTTTGTGTGTGTGGAAATCTACATAAACACAAGTAAAAATACGATCTTAATTAGTCTCGATGTAATAAGTCATTTTTTTGGTGCAGAGGAAACACATATGGACAAATGTTAGGCTCGTCTTGGTTCCACTCTTCCTTTGCTTATTCCTCCTGTCGATTCAACTATTGCTCGATGCTGTGATAAAAAAACTCCCAGATACGACTAAGTGTGGAAGTGAAGTTGATTTTCCCGGCGGTGATTGTCCCATCCCAAACCCTGCACTGTTGCCTCCGATGTTACAGATCCCAGAACCTGAATCACGTGCTGTTAAAGCTGATTTCTTCCCCTACGGAGACCTTCCTGACAAGTCTTGTAGAAAAACAGGAACTTGTCCTGTAACTATACTTCTTACTGGGAATAACCATTCCCTTGGTAAAGGTACATAATTCTTCTACCATATACACTATACTCTTATTCTTGGTTCTTATCAGCTCCATGCGTGTTTCTCCAGCTTTATCCGCGAATATGTTCGGCGGTTCTTTCGCTGTGAATACCTCCAACCTCTTGCCTAGCTTAGCCGATAATGTCTTGGTATGTTCTAATCGGCTAAAAGTGCAGACATCATCTATCTCTATGTCTCAGAGTTTTTACTAAAAGGTCAATGACTTTCAGGGTTCAACAGTAGCAGCGGGGGAAAACAATTATGCAGATCCAGCAATTGAGTCGGATTCTCCCATCTACAATATCCAACCTCAATGTAGTCCAAACTCTACGTGGCCACTCTCACTCGGTAAAATCAAGACAGGTATGTTTTTATCCTCTTGATGATGTTTAAAGGTGTTAATTAACAAGTCTGAGACGATCAAATGTGTTTTTCTTCACGTCATGTCGACAATTAACTTTGTAAGTTGTTGTGTCTGATAAATATACCAGAGGTGAAGTGTGTTCAAGGATTGTGTCTATGGAGAAATACCTCTGTAGAGGTCAATGATGAGCTTTTCAAGGGTAGTTGGAAGGGAAATCCTGAGCGGATGACAAATGAGATTGCTGCAGGTTGCTTAAAATCTTCTGCCTTTTTTTAATTCCATATAGTTATGAGTGCTTAAGTAGTATCAATCTTCTAACTGTTGATGTATTTTGGTTGCTTTTAGCATACGATCTCTTGAGTACAGATAGAAACAACCTAGATGTCACCATCTGGTATAACTCGACATACAATGACGGTTATTCAAATGGGCCTTTGGTCCGAGTTCCTCGCTTGATCAGTCTGGTATAAAATTACTTCATATATATGCTCTATCACTCTCAAGGCATCCTCATTTCTGAATTGGCAATATAATGTATGGTCTTTTACAAGTTCTGGTCCAATGTTAACACACAAACCCTGCAAAACTGCAGGTATCAAATGCTTATCTTAAGTTTCTGAAAGGCCCCGGGACAAGGATATTATTCGAGTTTGTCAAAGAAGTTCCTAAACACGCAGATCCAAAATACATTCCAGATATTGCGTCCATGCTTGGCCCGCTTTTTTTCACTTGGGTTGTTCTTCTTCTATTCCCCGTAAGTTCCTTTTATAACAATTTCATACTTTAGGCCATTACAAGCACTACAATCCACAAAATAATAATTCCCAATGGCATTTTGTAGGTGATCTTGACATCACTGGTATATGAGAAACAAGAGCGTCTAAGGATTATAATGAAAATGCACGGCCTAGGCGATGGTCCATATTGGATGATTTCCTATGCCTATTTTCTTACCATATCTTTGTTGTACGTTGTTTCATTGGTGATTTTTGGGTCAGCGATTGGACTCAAGTACTTCCGGGTCAATGACTATAGCATCCAGTTCGTTTTCTACTTTATCTACTTGAATCTGCAAATCTCTGTCGCCTTTTTAGTCTCTTCAATATTCTCAAAGGTTAAGACTGTTACAGGTATTAATTAACATCACATTTCTTGAATCTTCTCAAGAATATGTTATTTAAAAAAAAAAATAATCCTAGAGTGAAATTTGAACGGCCTCTTGATTTGTTTTTGGCTTAAATTGCAGTTGTTGCTTACATTTTGGTGTTTGGAAATGGGCTCTTGGGAAACTTTCTATTCCAAGAGCTGCTTGAATCTCCCTCATTCCCTGGTGAGTTAACAAGATCAATACCTTGCACTTGAAAAACATGTTTATGACCACTTACTTGTTAACGAGTATTTTTACCTTGACAGAAAAAGGGATTATTGCCTTGGAGTTGTATCCAGGCTTCTCCTTATACCGTGGATTGTATGAGTTCTCGCAATCTTCCTTCCGTGGAAGTGGGATGAAGTGGGAGGATCTCAGCGAAAGTGGAATGGATAAACTGTTCTGCATCATGTCAGTGGAGTGGTTTGTGATTCTCATTGTGGCCTACTACATCGATCAGGTTTCCTCATCTGGGAAAAGCCTCTTTTTTTTCTTGAAGAACCCTTTCAAGTTATCTTCTTCCCCACCAGGCCCTAGTGTGCAGAGGCAAAGCTCTGAGAACGTCCTCATTAACATGGAGAAGACAGATGTCGCTCAGGAGGTACGCAGAAAAAAAAGAATCTCAAAATGTTCTAATAAATTTCCATGATTTGAAAGTCCTTCTGATAAGAAAAAAAGGGAAAATAATCAGAGGGAGAAAGTTGAGCAACTGAGGAATGAAGGTAGCGTAGGGCACGCAATCTTGTGTGACAACCTGAAGAAAGTGTATCCAGGTAGAGATGGTAACCCTCCAAAAATAGCAGTAAGAGGGTTATATCTTGACGTACCTTCAGGGGAATGCTTTGGCATGCTTGGACCCAATGGTGCCGGCAAAACATCTTTCATCAATATGGTCAGTTAAAACGAAACCACTATCTTTACACTAAAACATCATCAATGTTTAATTGAGAGTGTAAAATTCTTCTGCTGTGCTAGATGACTGGGCTACTGAAACCGACATCTGGAACTGCGTTGGTTCAAGGTTTTGACGTATGCAAGGATATGAACAAAGTGTACACGAGCATGGGCGTTTGCCCACAGCACGAGTAAACTTACTCTTAACAATTAATACTTTTGCATTTTCTTTCATTACCAAGCAAATAAGGAACAGCTTTGTTTTATATGTCATTCTCTTGGTTTCAGCTTGCTCTGGGAGACGCTAACAGGAAGGGAACATCTGCTCTTTTACGGGAGACTAAAGAATATCAAGGGCTCTGCTCTAAAACAAGTATGTTTAATTAAGCTCTTTCTGATTTTCTTTTATACAAGTGTTATTACTCCACAAGGCAACGCTAATTCATGGCTATATGATAATTTTCAAGGCTGTGGAAGAATCTCTCAAAAGCGTCAGCCTCTTCGATGGAGGAGTTGCCGATAAACCTGCTGGGAAATACAGTGGAGGTATGAAAAGGCGACTTAGTGTGGCTATTTCGCTTATCGGGAACCCAAAGGTACATTAGGGTCTCTCTCTTGTAATGTGATTGTTTCAGCAATTACTCAAATTTATTAACAAATCCATTGTCTGATTTGTTAAAAGGTGGTTTACATGGATGAGCCTAGCACTGGACTTGATCCAGCCTCAAGAAAGAACTTATGGACCGTGATCCAGCGTGCAAAACAAAACACAGCTATAATCCTCACAAGTATTTTTCATTCTCTTTCTCACTCTCTCCTACATCTGAATCTCATTGATACCGGCGTGAACTGAACACAGCCATAATCTCATTTTGTTTCTTATCCCCTTGAGAAAGTGAGGTTTTTAACCTAGAGAAGCTTGTCTCTCACGGTTTACAGCTCACTCAATGGAAGAAGCAGAGTTTCTTTGCGACCGATTGGGGATTTTTGTAGACGGAGGCTTGAAATGCATAGGAAACCCGAAAGAGCTCAAAGGAAGGTACGGTGGATCGTATGTGTTCACGATGACGACCTCGTCAGAACACGAGGACGATGTAGAGAGAATGGTTAAACATATTTCACCAAACGCCAAGAAAGTATATCATCTAGCAGGAACACAGAAATTCGAGATCCCTAAGCAAGAAGTCATGATTGCGGATTTGTTTTTAATGGTAGAGAAGGCCAAAAGCAAATTCGACGTTTTTGCTTGGGGACTCGCCGACACGACTCTCGAAGACGTCTTCTTCAAGGTTGCTACAACTGCTCAAGCCTTCAATTCCTTGTCTTAATATTCGTATGATTCACCCTCTAGGGTATCGTTATTTTTATGAGTCATATTAGGATTTTTTTTTGTTGGGTATCAAATCCAATAATGCCTTGAGAGTCACGTTAACTACACCAAACCAACATATGTCCCAAACGACTGGTCAGACTCGTAAAATCGCATACATATCGAATTTGTTTTGGTTCAACCTTTTTAGCATGATAAGAATTTTCAGTCCGACCGGTTCCCGAGTTCAAAATCCTTTATTTTTGCTTTAAGGCTAAAGCGAATGAAACTACAAACTCATATTTGCATAAAATTTGGTCGGTCTCAAAACCCATAGCTTCAAATTAATAGAATTGTGATGAGAGCGAGAAACACTCTAAAAACACATCACGGTCTTTGACTCCGGACCAAGAGCCAGAAGCTAATCAGATATGAATATATAAATTAAAAGGAAAGCCAATAGAAAACACTCTGTTTCTAGGCGAAGTGGCTTAGTGGCTTTTAGAGACAGATATGACATTATGTTCTAAGATTAAAATCGCTTCTAAGTAACGCTTTTCATTGATGTTGACTTCATTACTTCTTCAAGATCTAATTCTATTTCGTTTACCTGAATATGCAAGCTTACTTCCATGGAAATTTCGATATTACTCAAAAGAAAAGTACAGTACAACGGTTTGGTTAGGTAGGTATAAACCAAATTATACAATTGAAGGGGACAAAAGTTTAAAACCCAATTAGCGCCCAAGGAAGGAAGAAACTGGAGATTATTCGAAACATAGTGAGAAAGAAACACGCTTCTCTAGTGCCCGTTTTCAAGCTGGGAAGTGTCGGTTTCAAGAATATCTTGGATGAATTTTATGAAAGAGCAGACTCCACCCAAGAAATTGTGGTCGATGACACCATTTCCATCAAGAACATGAGCGAAATCCACCAGCTTTACTTGTGCCCGAGGCATCTGCGCATCATCCCCTCCTTTCATCAACATCGAATCATTCTCATACACCATCAGAATCGAGCAAGAATTGAAATGGTAGATCGTTTGGGTTTCAAACCAAGCCTTAAGCTCCAACAATTGCGCTAAGATCCCATTAGGACCGCCATAAACCTCTGACGCAAAAGCACAGTTTGGCATTGACTTAGACTCAACAGGAGAGTTCGATGACACAAACTTCTTCAGAGCCAATCTAGCACCATCCACTTTGTACCCAAGAACAACCTTCTTCTCGGGTCTCCAAAAACTCGATTCTTGGTGGTCAAAAATCTTAAAACCTGAAACCCTGAACCCCAACGAAACCGTAGTGGTCTCTCTATCTTTCTTTATGCATTTCTTGAAGTATTCTTCCGACACATCCGGATACCATGTTCTAGATCCAATCTTAACATCCATTATCGACGGATTTGAGTACTCGGAAACAACATCCTCAAGAACCATGTGTGGAAGCTTGCCAGATCCATCAGATGCTTCGACTAACTGAGTACCGTGATACACCGGGAAGTATCTATGGATGTGATCTGGAACATTCTTGTTCGCCGAGAAAGACTCATAGAACTTAGCCTCGTTTTCACCACGAGCATCATCCTGAAGTGGCTTGAAGAATCGGCCTTGGTCGTCTACGAGCGGACCAAGCTTCCCATCTATGGCAATGTGACCAGCAACTTGGTGTTCAGGGACCTTGAGCATCTTTGAGCAACAGGATAGATGATGATGATGATGATGAATCTACAGAATTAAGGAATCAGATTCACCAGAACATTTCTTAGTATCCTTCTTAAAGACATATTAGATCTAAACATTTGCAGATCGTTGATAAAAAAAAATCAATCGCAATTTCAAAGTTAAGTTGAAATCAAAGTAGACGATTAGATCACACGAGCAAACAAGACAGGACTGTGAAGTTTCTATCCTTTAATTTCCAGGAAAAATTCTACAGTAGAATCACAAGCTAACCAAACGCAAAATCTAGAAATATTACGGAATCTGATGAGAGAGCTTTTCAGTTCTCTCCACATTACAAAAAAGAACCCTTACCAAAAAAAAAAAACATTACAAAAAAGAAAAAAAGGCCCAATAATCACTTCTTTTAGAATTCCTCGAGTTCATCGCAGAAGAAGAGAAAACTGAAACCGCGAGAAAGGGGCTTACGAAAGCAAACCCAGAATCATAACATGAAAAAAAAAAAAAAATTTGAGATCTCGAAAAGCGTATCAAAAAGTTAACAATCTTTCGATTAGAAAATGCGTTGAACGAAACTTTAGAAAAGTTCCATCTTTCATAAAAGATAGATAACTGAGTTGGAGCAACACGAAGAACTTGGCTCTAAGATAAAAGATTAATCACAGAAATTTTCAACATTGAGGAAGAAAATATTACCCAAGAAATCTCCACGGAGAAATTTTGATGCTAAAACGATGAGTAAAGATGGAAAATTGTGTAATTTGTTCCTAGAAGAAAAAAAAAAATACTAAGCTACCTTGTCGGGAAGACGAATAAAAAAATAATTAATTAATACTATGAATAAATTCTTTTTTGAGAAAGATTCAATCAGTAAACCGGACCCGTGATAAGAAAATTACGAAACCCAAATTTAAGGGAGAACCGGTTTGAATTGACAAAAAAAAGGGAGAACCGGTTTGAGTATATAGGGCTACATATCCGATGAACAAACTCCAAACATTCCAATTGGCCGCCATCTCCTACCTCAGGCTCTATTACTCCGGCCGGCGAACTTAGGTTTTGGTATTGATTTCTAGTTCGACTATGCTCTTTTATTATCGTTATCTTTGGATTATCAATAGTTCTGGGTATATCTGTTAAACCCTATTAAGAGCACATTCTCTGTTACTATTCTCTCTCAGGGTATCTAAGCGTTAAGTGGTTTTGATTTGCTTATTGTACTTAAATGTTTCGTCTTTGTATTCATGAATACGATTTTTATCTTTCCAGAATCTGTGAAGCTTTGCTGATAAGAAGTAAATGGCTCGTTTCAAAAACGTAAGTGGAAACCGTCTGTGTTGAGTTTCTCTACCAATTCGTGTTTATTTCCAGTAATATCTATTTACGGGTTTATAACATTTTGTGATGATATAGAATAAGAAGGGTAGAGTCGCTGTGAAGCCAATCGTGAAGAAAAATCAAGGGAATGTTGATCATGTCACTGGGGATAAGATCCCCAAGAGTTTTGTGTTTTCAAGGATGAAACTTCCTGGCTCTGTCAAACAACTTCAGATGGATTTGAGGAAGCTCATGCTTCCCTACACTGCTCTCAGTCTAAAGGTCAGTTAATTATGTTATGGTTGGGAGAAAACCAAAATTGGAGTTTCACATGTTTGACCATTACTGATGCAAGTTGTTGCCTTTTTCCATCGCTTCTTTACAGGAGAAGAAGCGGAACACTTTAAGGGACTTTTTGAATGTATCAGGTCCAATGGGTGTTACGCATTTTCTTATGCTATCGAAAACAGCATCTGCATTGTCTCTACGAGTAGCAAGAACCCCGCAGGGCCCAACTCTCACATTCAAAATTCATCAGTATTCCCTAGCTTCAGATATTGCTCAGTCTCAGCTTCGGCCTAGATGTCCCCAAGATCTTTTCAAGACTCCCCCTTTGGTAATCAATCTCATTCTCTCTTACTTCCTATTTGGTTTTTGTTTTGTAATTCGTGGGTTTTTGCTAATACTTGAGAATGTTAATTAATTTGCTTTGGTTCAGATTGTCCTTTCCGGATTCGGTACTCAGGAGCTGCATCTGAAGCTAGCAACGATTATGTTTCAGAACATATTCCCATCTATTGATATCAACACTGTAAGTCTGTTGCCAAGAACAGATAATATGTTTATATTGCGGATTGTAGCTTCTTTCAGCAATCTGATTATGTTCTTGTGATGGTGAAATAATATGTCAGGTCAAGCTCTCCACATGCCAGAGATTAGTACTCTTGAACTACAACAAAGACACAAAACTCATTGATTTCCGGCATTATTCTATTAGGCTTCAGCCTGTAGGAGTGTCTCGTAGGATCAGAAAGTTTGTGCAAAATCATCAGGTCCCTGATCTTAGGAATCTGCAGGATGTTAGTGATTTTGTCACCAAGTAAGGATCTATATAGGTACAAATGTCTTTTCATTTATTCCTCTCTCTCTATATCAATCATTTTGATTGTTATTGGTCTTTTTTCAGGGCTGGTTATGGATCAGAGAGCGAAGGAGATGAAGAAGCGGCAACAGTGACACTATCATCTGATCTGGGCCGAGTCAACCGGAGTTCCACAAAGAGCGCAGTGAAACTGCAAGAAATTGGACCGAGAATGACTATGCAGCTCGTGAAAGTGGAGGAAGGATTGTGTTCAGGAGGAATCATATTCAGTGAATATGGTAAATGTTAATCTTATTCTTACCCCCACATTGTAGTTTTGTTAATCATCTGATTTTTAAGGTTGTATATCGGTCTGTTTCAGAAAATGTGGATGAGAAGAACGCGAAGAGTAACCATGAGGAAGATGGTGATGATAGCGAAGAAGGTGAAGAGGGTGATAATAGCGAAGAAGAAGGTGAAGAAGATGGAGAAGACATGGATGAAGATCTTGAAGATTGAAAAGAATTTAAAAGAAGTAACTCTGTGTGTATCTTCACATCAAGTTTTGTTCTTTGGAAGTAATGAAGCATCTATTTGTCTTTGTTGACCATTCTTACTCACTTATCATCTTGTCGTTTGTCAAAAACCCTATCCTTTTATATTATCAACGCAAACCTTTTAACACAAAATAATAATGATCCATTCGATACTAAACCCAATAATTGTATTTTAGATAACCATATTAGTTGTAATTTTAGAATTTGTTTTAACAAAGTAAACAAACACTTAAAACGATTTATGAAAACCCTAGCTAAATTTGCCTATATAAGTGTTGGTCTCTTCTAACACTAGCTAACATCAAGAAAGAAGCAGGTCCTAAACTGATTATGGCATTGACGTCGGAGGTGTTGAACCTTGCCTATTTGGTGATCGGCGTTCCATTGTTCTGTCTCCTCGGCGGGCTATGGTTAGTTATAGACGAAAGACGTGAGATCCAGAAATCATTGGACTGCATAAACGGCGGCGACCTCTGTCCGGACTATCATGAGGATCTCAAGGCACTCGAGAAAGCACTTGATATGTCAAAGTGCGATCATATCAGAGCAATCTTTACCAGTTTTAAGGATGATCCATAGAGGCCGTTTTTATTACTCCAAGTTAATTTTAACTACGAGAGAACCTTGTAGCAAGTGATTTTATTTTGATTTTATTATTTATTTTTTGTTTCCGTTTTTTTCTTTTCTATATTTTGAATAATTTGATTTTTAACTAATAATTACATTTATTAATTATAGAGCTATTAATTTAAGAGAAATATCTTAGAACAGCATCCACACAAGTTTTTAATCGAAAATTTCATCAAAATTAGAAAAAATTATTTTAAGTTTATGTTCTTCTTAAATTTATTATCTAAAAATCGATTTACTTTATATTTTTCAATGTTTCAACAACAACTATAATAACAATTCAAACTGATTAAATAAGAACGAAAAAAAAACCCTAGCTAAAATTTATTATAATTCTAACCAATGATATACTTCTGCATAATACAAAAACCTAAAAACAAAAAAAAAAAATATTAGAACGTTGAAAAATAGTATCATTTACTCATTTCGTATTTATTAATTTGTGGGTAGGTTTCTACTGTATTTGTAGTTTTCGAAAATTTGTTATTTCAAATTTGTTTTAACGTTTTAGAATGTAAATATTTTTAGGGGAATATTCATAAATAGCAAGCATATAGGTATCGTAATCCTAACTAATCTTTGACACGTAACGAATCCTAACTAATTCCATCGCTGAGTATACTATATATATATATATAGACACTACACATAACTTTCAATAATTTCCCGTAAATTGTAAAATTTTGTGTTGCCTTTCAAATTTTGGTTTGGGGATGGAGACACTTGAATACATCGTGATATCTTACTGGGTTTTCCTTGAAGCCCTCATGACTTATTACCTATACGTCGAACGCCGCTGGTCAAGGATTTATTACAAAGAAGAACAACAAGAAGACATCGAACTTGGAGATGATTCCCGTTGTTACCGTTGTTGCCGCATCTGTCATGAAGATATCAGAGATTTTTCCGATATTATCCGTCGATCAAAGTGCCACCGTATCCGATCCAGATTTTCCCAACTCAAAAGATCTACCTAATAACAATTTCCAGAAATTTTTAATATTTTTTTTTGATGTTTTTTTTGGTGGTTCTTCCACATGTATTTGGGAATCTATTTTACTTTAATTTTATCGTGCGCACTCACTACTTACAAAATAGTTTTTATTTCTTCATTTTTCAATTCAAAATAAATAAATGTTTAGAAAAAAAGGTTCACTTTTGTAAGATGCTCACAAGTCTTACAATTTTACCTCCAACCGTGCTTTAACGTCTGTGAATATTTTTGTTTTTGTTTTTTTTTTTTTTTGTTAAAGAGGCTGAAGCTCTTTCACTTGTGAAGTTAGACGTATAAATATAAAAGCACTTTCTTACTGTGAAATCAGGAGTCTAAATAGAGTATTACAAAGTTACTGCCATATACATTTTCTCAGTAATTTCGCAATATGCCTAGCAAACCTGTTAAGAGTATCTGCATCCGTGTTATTCAACCATGTATCTCTTAACAAATAGTTTAATATTTTTTTTGGAAGAAAAAAAAAAATTAAAATAAAAATAAAAAATATATTTCCAGCCAATTATAGCCCTCCATCTAGTGTAAGAGACAGCCTCTTAGGGCATCTCCATCGGCGGTTTGAAGGAGGAGTTCTTCCCTTTTTTGATTTAATTTAAATCAAAAATATTTTTGATGAGTCCGACTCTTCCCAGAGGATTTATGGAACCGATTTTGATGAATTCTTCTGTGACGTGGCGCGTTATTATTGGATGTTTTTTCTGTCATCACCCTTCTTTCTCTTCTCTCTCTTTTCTCTCTTCGTTTTTTCCAAATTTTTTATTTCTAAATTTTATTAATAAAATAATTGGGATGAACCCTATCAGAAGTTCACCAATAATGTTGCTCTTAGTCTCTTATATATAAGGAGCAATCCATAAAAAAAAAAAATACCTAGGTTTTTGGGCCAAAACTTGGGTAAGAGACTCCAATGGAGATGCTCTAAGTTCGAAAGTGTATTTAGTTCCATCGCAGAAGAATAGCTAAGGAGTTTACTGGTGTCCTTGTAATTTTCATTTCGGCCTCTGCCAGGTCATGAAGTTGCCAAAAGAGATGACCTATACACCTCTAAGGCAAAGGAATAAATATGAAGACCATGCTTTTATCGAAGCGTTTCTGAATCACAGCCGTAAGAAATCAAGAAGACGACTCTCACAGGAGATCTAAGAGTCCAAGAAAGAAAGACGTACTTGCGACTCTCACCAGTATATAAGAAGACCATTTGGCTGGAAAATAATTTTCACTTCAATTCCATTTAACTCAGCACTACCTCTAAAATGAACAGCTGTTTCTTACACATTGAGAAGGTCAGACGACAGAGAGCAATTTGATATTAATTAAAAAAAAAGATTCACAAACCCAGTACAAGAAGAGATATAGAAGGACGGACAGGTTCTCATGCAATGTATATCCAGAAAGGAATTTTGATAACACTTTTATCCTTCTTTCTTCTCTTCTTGCCTTTCTTTCTTTTCCGCTCACTGGGCCTACCTTACTCACCATCATCTTCACCTCTTACATTTGTGAGATCTATGTGGGTTGTTGCTCTTCCATTGTTCCAAGTTCAAAGTATCAAACAGTACTTTTTTTTCTTGAGACTAAACATCGTTGAGAAACCTGGCCTGCATATACGTTGTAATCAATAATAGGAGACCTCCCAACTTTATACGTTGACATCTTTCTTTTTCTACATCTTTCTTTTTCTAGTTTGAGGCGTCTCAGCTCGTCTTCCTGTTTTCTTTTCTCCAACTGACCAAGAGAGGGAACCCATCAAGGTATATCACAGACTTGAAAATCTTCCATATAATTCATCATCGTCAAAATAATTTTGTTGCTGCGAAAGGTTAACTTGCAAGTCCATAGTTAAGATATTTCATATGGTCTTCAGGTTTAAGGCGCGCTTCTTCCGCCAAAGCAGGCTGACGAGCACCTTCTACTCTCTGTCAATTCTGCAGCTCCTCACTCAGCCGCTTCACGGTGAACTTTTGCTGCTTCAAGCAAGTGTGTGAAGTACTGAACATGGTTTGTATTTTTACCATTAAACTCAAGAACATGGAGGTCTGAAGCAGCAGACAACTGACTGCATACACAAACAGCATTCTCTGCTTCTGAAACTTTGAGCACCTGCAGGTTCATCAAGCAGATTCCCTTGTCAGGTAAAAGTCAAGTCAACTACTCCCTACTGGATGATTTAATAATGTCTAACCTTCTTATTATAAAACAAGACGTCAAATCCTATGATCATGTGTAATGGATACTAAAGTTCCAAAGGTCAGCCATTAATTAGCAAGAATGACGAGCACACTATGCTAGAAACATGGCAAAAAGTTCTACATACACAAACTACAAGCTGTAGAAGCAAAGTCATAATCCTATTTAGTCGTAATCGATGCATATTAAATCTGAATGTGTAATTTGAAGGAGCCAACCCTTAATAGTGTCTTTTTGCACTATTGCACTGTTGCCAATGCTCAGCCTCATAATGCGTACTGGCTAAGTATAATTACTTCCGCAAGTAGTTTGATACTGTAGACAACATGGGTAATGAGCAGAATTCATCAGCAAAACTTTGAAATGAACCCAAAAGAAAATGACAAAAATACTATATAAAAATGACAAACCATTGAGGCAAAGTTCCCTTGAGCAAAGTACACACGAGCCAGATTCACCAATATATCATCTGAAGAAACATACTTCTGCTTGCACCTTGTTGAATCTAAAACATTCACAAACCTCAGATTCTTATTCTTCATATTATAAAGCACCAATATCATTCAGGACTTCTATAAGCACTTCTTGCCCTCCCTATTTCTGCAAATATAAGATATAAACTTAAACTAAACTAAACTGGAAACTGAAGCACGAGATGTTGTTGTTCATAACCCCACTTTACAGACTGGAGTTAAATATTGACAGTCTCAAATCGGATATTCTACTGGTTAAAATGAATAGTCTATAGATCCAACCAATAAAATATAGTAACAGTTTCAAATAGTTTCAATTAACGACATTCATAGAAATTAGTCTCAATTAACGACACGACGTTCTATACAATAGCTAAGATTTTACAAATTTGCAGAGACAGGATCGAATTGGAGACTATTACCGAACCAAAAATCCCGATTTTTACCAGGAATCCAAAGATACACTGAAATCGATTCTAGAGCAGCATAACAACCCAGATTCACCCAATTGGCAATTTCACACCCTAATCCATGTCGAGAATAGTTATCGATTCGGTAAACAATTTACATTCACACACAGAGATTCAGAGTAGATTACATGAAGAGACAAAAGATACCTCATGTTCTCGGGCAAGATTAATACAATCCTAAACCAACATCGAAACAGATGCAAACACGATGAAAAGCAAAGCCAAACGCCTCGGCCCTTTAATACGCCGTATTCAAATTCCATAGCCCAGGACCACTAATCGATCTACCTCTCGCCATCTCACCCACTCACCAAAACAGAGACGAATTAGACACCAGTTTCCATGATTACGACGGAGATTGCTTTGATCGGGAGCGCCGGAGAGAGAGAAAGAGTTTAGGGGGAATGTTTTTAGTATCCACTTTTTATTATTACTTTTTTGGTTTGTTATATACTGCATTTTCCCTTTATTTATCCTAACTATGTCTTATATATTTAGATTTTATAATGGAATTTGCAAGAATCGTTTACACAACAAATTGAACGTTTTCTTTTTCCTGTTGGAATCTACTTACAAAGTAACATCTTTAAATCGGTAACAAAGAGAGAAAAAGAAAAAAAAAATCGGTACAATTTCTACAAAAGAACATTTTGTACCAAGAAAAGGAAAAAGAAGATGGAGAAAGAACCAGAAACGGTAAAAACAAAAACAATTGAAAATTGAAAATCATAACCCATAAACGAATCACCTATTCACCACCGTCTTCTACTCTTCTTCACCGATTCACCCGTTTTTTTAATTCCTCTTTTCACTGTGACAACTCGGCCACTCCACTCAAGATAGCAACAGAACCAACAATCACGAGGACAATGGCGTAAAGCGGGATTCTTGACTCCTTTCTGACGAAACCATCGTCCGTAAAGTAAGCAATTCCCAGCCCGGAAACAAGCGCAGTGATGATCGTCATACCAATTATCCTCAGTACAGGGTCGGGAATGATGATTCCAGTGAGTAGTGGTCCCGCTCCACCATAGGTGAAGAGAAGTGCTCTATGTACGGAATCTTTGACGCACTTTCTCCAATCGGCCGAGTGTATAGCTTTGTCTACGAACACCGAGATCAAGTACGCAAAGATTAGCCCCACGAAGATGAAGAAAGGAAATCTAACCGATTGCACCGTCGTGTATACGGCTAACGCCGGTGGTACGGCCATGACTCCCGCAACAAAAGCGGAAGCCGCGTTTCTGAGATCTTTTTCCTCTTTAATGGCCGCCATCTCGAGAAAAGAAGTTTGAGTGAGAAAAATGACTGAGAGATAAAAAAATTGAGACTGGGACACATTTATAAACCCTCTAATAACTAACTCTATCGGGCACGCTTAACGGAAAAAAATTGTTGTTTATTATATAAACCCACTCAATTGTTGTTAATTATTCCAGATACCGTGATTTTGAATCTTGTATAGTGTGATGTTGCTTTGCGAAAAAAACAAAAGCAAAGAAAAAATAATGTTACTTTTTTTTGTTTTCTAAAATAATGTAGAACAATGAACTAGGAGGAAAGTAGACACATGGAGCGAAACAGGAGAGTTATAGAAAATTTATTTGATTTCCGAGTTCTCTTGATTTCCTCAAAAGAAACTATTTTCCGTAAAAGGTAAAACCCAAAATCTACGTATTTTAATGGCATTGAGTCGTAATACATTCGAAAGCATGGGGGTAAATACCTTTAAAGTACTTAATATCCGCTTTTTCGCATGATGTCCTCCTCGTTTATATTTGTCCCACCTCCACTGCACAATCTTCTTCTGAGCTCTCAATATTGAGATCCGTTCTTAATTCTGTCTCCCTTCGATCTCACAGCTTCTCATTCTCTTCTCAGCTCTTTGTTTCAATCTCATATTGAATCATAGGGAATTAAGATTGATTTTCGCGTCTTTTTCCTCATTCTCCAGATCTAGTTTTCCCATCACGGATAAATCCAGGTACGTTCATCGGAATTACCAATAGAATTATCGTCAGATCTATCTGTTTTTTGATCCAAATGGATGTATTAGATTCAAACCTGATCTATTTTCTTTTCGTGTATTGCGATCGCGCGTTTTCGATTGCTGGGAAATTTGTTTTTGGCGATTAGCTCGATCAAACTCTGTGGTGTAGACAGAGGCGAATGTATAGCTTGGTGATTCATTTTGGCTGAGTGATGCTACTTTTTTAATGGATGCATGTTAGGAGTTTTCTTGCGATTCAGGTTTTCCTTTTTGTTGGTATAATTCAATTGTAATTAACAAACCGATCTGTGAGAGAATTCCGAATTTTGATCTTGTTTGTTGATGTATTCGAACTCAACTGAAGTCTGGATCATATAACAGCCAATGCATCATGTTGAAAAGGAACAAAAACTTTTTTTGTTTTTTTTGAAAACTCATCTCCGAATGTTTTAATACTGCTGTCTTTGATTGTGGTGAACTTTTGCAGGAGAATTTTTTGTTGATGATTTTTTTTTTTTGTCTCCTTTGTCTCTCGTGCAGGTCTTAGCCAAGAAACATGGCGTCCGTGGCAGCAACTGAGAACCAGTGGCTCAAAGGGAGAGTGAAGGCTGTTACCTCCGGAGACTGCTTGGTGATCACGGCTTTGACCCATAACAGGCCTGGCCCACCACCGGAAAAGACCATCACTCTATCTTCTCTTATGGCTCCTAAATTGGTGAGCCTAATAAAAAGTCATATTCGTTTTTCAATGAAACTCACCCCACTGTTTACCAACAGACATTGTTAAATAAAAATCTCTACAAAACATTCATAGGTGCTCTATGTTTAGAACGTTAGCTTACATGATTTTTGTTAGAATATGCATTCTCATTGTTTGGTTTGCTCTTGTTTCAGGCTCGCAGGGGAGGTATAGATGAGCCTTTTGCATGGGAAAGCAGGGAATTCCTGAGGAAGCTTTGCATTGGGAAGGTGCTTAGTTGAATCTCTTAGTGACTTATGCTACAGATTAGTGATTGACAATATTTCTCTTCATATTAACAGTTTGTATTTTTATTTTTTCTTGAGCAGGAGGTTGCTTTCAAAGTGGATTACAAAGTGGAAGCTATTGCTGGAAGAGAATTTGGCTCGGTTTACCTTGGCAACGAAAATCTTGCCAAGCTTGTTGTTCAAAATGGCTGGGCTAAGGTGATAACTATCTTATTTCACTATTTAGCGTTGTCTAAGGTATGATGCTCTTATCAGCTTTCTGATACGGTGGAGGAATGCCTGTACTATGGCCAGGTCAGAGAGCCAGGTCAGCAGAATCAGGATAAGGTTAGTCCTTACATTGCGGAGCTGTTACAGCTTGAAGAACAGGCTAAGCAGGAAGGGTTTGGTCGTTGGAGCAAGGTTGGTGTCTCTTCTTCTGTTTCTCTAAGTTACATTTGTCGAGATGTCTTCAGTACAAAGGACAAACTTGTTTGGCAGTCTAAGTTCCTTACCCACTGGGAATTATTCTATTTAATAAAGGGAACCAACTGGAAGTAATTTGTGTTTCTATCTCTGCGAGATTCTCTTCAGTGTTGATCAATCTGAATTTTACTTATGAGAGTTTGACTCTTGTACTCTTTCTTGATTTGTTGATCGGATTTACTTGATCCAGGTTCCTGGTGCTGCTGAGGCATCTGTCAGGAATCTTCCTCCTTCTGCCGTTGGGGATTCTGGGAATTTTGATGCTATGGGTCTTTTAGCCGCAAGTAAAGGCAAGCCCATGGAAGGTATTGTTGAGCAAGTCCGCGATGGCAGTACCATCCGGGTTTATCTTCTTCCTGAATTTCAGTTCGTGCAAGTATTTGTTGCTGGACTCCAGGTGTGTAATCTATTTCTTCCTTTTTTGCTGTGTGAGGAGTTGACATTTGACTTTCATGGTGTAAGAGTGTTGGATATTTTCTATGTAGGCTCCATCGATGGGTAGGAGATCTACACAAGAAACTTATGTTGAGCCAGCTGTTACATCAGCTCCAAATGGGGATTCCTCTGCTGAGCCTCGTGGTCCTCTAACATCAGCCCAGAGACTCGCTGCCTCAGCAGCATCGTCCGTCGAGGTTTCCTCTGATCCGTTTGCAATGGAAGCCAAGTATTTTACTGAGCTTCGTGTCCTAAATAGAGATGTAAGGGGGCATTGCAACAAACTAACTCACAATTATCTGTATCTGAAATTTAGATGATCTAAGTGTCAGCTGGATTTTGCAGGTTCGCATTGTTCTTGAAGGCGTTGACAAATTTAACAATTTGATTGGGTCAGTGTACTATTCTGATGGGGAAACAGTAAAAGACTTGGGTTTGGAGCTGGTTGAAAATGTATGTTTCTAAATTAGCAGTTATATTGTTTTTTCGACTTGATTACATATTGAACTAATTGGCTTATAAAAGTTTGACTTTACGACAACAATGGTGGTATAACTACAGATTCCTGATAATACAACTAAAAATTTTCTTCCATCTATTTGACGTGTACTTACTTAAGATTAAGTTGGTTGGCCCATTGTCATAGTTTGTAGATTTCTTGATAGATTTGGCACATCGTTTCTGCTATACATAATCACTGGAAAATATGATATTTTGATGGAGTTGAATAAAAGTTATGACATTTGTTGCTATTTTTTTTTTTCTCAGGGTCTTGCCAAGTATGTGGAGTGGAGTGCCAACATGATGGAGGAAGAAGCCAAAAAGAAACTGAAAGCTGCAGAACTTCAGTGCAAGAAAAACCGGGTGAAAATGTGGTCTAACTATGTCCCTCCAGCTAGCAACTCTAAAGCAATTCATGACCAGAACTTTACCGGAAAGGTAATAGTTAGTTGCACAATTTCTTGGGAAATATATTGCATTCGCCCTATTCACCAGTTCTTAGTTCTCACTATTTGCACTCTCTTCAGGTGGTGGAAGTTGTGAGCGGAGACTGCTTGGTAGTTGCTGATGATTCTATCCCATTCGGGAGCCCGATGGCAGAGCGTAGAGTCTGTCTTTCTAGTATCAGGTCTCCTAAAATGGGCAACCCACGCAGAGAGGAGAAACCTGCCCCTTATGCTCGGGAAGCCAGGGAGTTTCTGAGACAAAGGCTTATTGGAAAACAGGTATTTATTGCTTTGTGTCTTCTTACTTAAGTTATTGCGTTGTGCTATACAGGAGCAAGATCTCTGACTTCCTTTTTTTCCTTGGTGCAGGTTATTGTTCAAATGGAATACTCAAGGAAGATCAGCCCAGCAGATGGTGTTACTACTTCTGGAGCTAGTGATTCTAGGGTCATGGATTTTGGCTCAGTGTTCCTTCCATCTCCTACCAAGGGTGATACAGCTGAAGCCGCGGCAGCAGCTGCTGGAGTGAATATTGCTGAACTTATCATTGCCCGTGGCTTGGGGACTGTGGTTAGACATCGCGACTTTGAAGAGAGGTCAAACCATTACGACGCTCTTCTGGCTGCTGAAGCTCGCGCTATTGCAGGGAAGAAGGGAATCCAGTCTGCAAAGGATTCTCCTGTCATGCACATCGCAGACCTGACTGTGGCCGCGGCCAAGAAGGCCAAAGATTTTCTGCCATCACTGCACAGAAGTAGGAGAATACCTGCTGTTGTGGAATATGTCCTGAGCGGACATCGGTTCAAGCTATACATTCCAAAAGAAACTTGCAGTATTGCCTTTGCATTCTCTGGTGTCAGATGTCCTGGCCGTGGCGAACCCTATTCAGAAGACGCTATTGCTTTGATGAGACGTAAGATCATGCAGAGAGATGTCGAGGTAATTGGCCATATTACGCCCATGATACAATTTATTTTATTTTGGCTCTCTTTTCTATGTGAGTCTTACATAATCTTTTATAATCACAGATCGAAGTTGAAACAGTGGATAGAACCGGCACTTTCTTGGGATCAATGTGGGAGTCGAGGACCAACGCAGCAACGTTTCTTCTTGAAGCTGGTCTGGCTAAAATGCAGACAGGCTTTGGTGCAGACAGGATTCCCGAAGCTCATCTTCTTGAATTGGCAGAACGATCTGCTAAAAATCAGAAACTGAAGGTAACACCTATAGATATTCTTTTCTTACCAAAAGAATGGGCATCCCGTCCAAAAAAAAAAAAACAGAACTTGCTAAACCGTATGATTTCACAGATTTGGGAAAACTATGTTGAAGGAGAGGAAGTCGTAAATGGTGGTTCCAAAGTAGAGACCAGGCAGAAGGAAACATTAAAGGTGAATTATAGGCGTGTGATTCTATGGACGAGTAGAGTTTTAATACTAAAAGCAAAACCTTAATTCACTCTGAATTGCCTTCCGCTACAGGTTGTTGTTACAGAAGTACTTGGAGGCGGGAGATTCTATGTTCAGACGGTTGGCGATCAGAAAGTAGCTTCGATTCAACACCAGCTTGCATCTCTGAGTCTTAAAGACGCTCCCATTGTTGGATCGTTTAACCCTAAGAGGGGTGACATCGTTCTTGCACAGTTTAGCCTTGACAACTCCTGGAACCGTGCAATGGTAAATCATCAAATCTCTAAATATCACAACCTTTATCTCTATTTTTTCTAACTATCACCTAAGGGTATTTTATTGTATGCTTACTTTGTATTCAGATTGTTAATGCACCCCGAGGAGCAGTTCAATCTCCAGAGGAGAAATTCGAAGTGTTCTACATCGATTATGGAAACCAAGAAACAGTTCCTTACAGCGCAATTCGCCCTGTCGAACCTTCAGTATCCTCAGCACCAGGGCTCGCGCAGCTCTGCAGACTTGCCTATATAAAAGTTCCAAGCCTGGAAGAGGATTTTGGTCCCGAGGCCGGAGAGTATTTACATACCGTAACACTGGGCAGCGGTAAAGAGTTCAGGGCAGTGGTAGAGGAAAGAGATACTTCAGGAGGCAAAGTGAAAGGCCAAGGAACTGGAACCGAGCTTGCTGTTACTCTCATCGCTGTTGACGACGAGATCTCTGTCAATGCAGTAATGCTTCAGGTCAGTGCGTCGTCTCATCTTTTAATCCTCCAAAACTTGCGAGTAGAAGAGTATTTTTCATATATAAACCTGAGGGAAATGTGTTGTTATGAGCACAGGAAGGAATAGCGAGAATGGAGAAACGCAAGAAATGGGAACACAAAGACAAGCAAGCCGCTCTTGATGCTCTTGAGAAGTACCAAGACGAAGCTCGCAAATCTAGGACCGGAATCTGGCAGTATGGAGACATCCAATCTGATGATGAGGACAGTGTTCCGGTCAGGAAACCTGGTCGCGGGTAAGTGTTTTCCACCGGTGAATACTTTATGATCAATGTCCAAAGAGGCATCAATGAGGAAGAACAGAGAAGCATCGGTTTCTCTTTTTAACTAAGTTAAGAGCAGAGATGTTGCTTGCAGAGAGCATCAAACTTTTTGTAACGTTTAGAATTCTCATCTTTTTTCTTTTTTTAATCTTATATACTTTTTTTTTGGTTTCATAGAGTTTCCCAAAAAAAGTTTCTATATTTAGGAGTACGGGACGATGTTCTTGTTCTTTACTTTTGTTTTAGAAAAGAATCATACATAATAAGGTGAAGTGACTTCAGGTTATCAAGTCAACAACGTAAGACTTCGTAAATGAACATGCAATGGGCCATTAATAACGACTGTTATTGGCCTTTAATGGTCATTAATGGCCCGTTAAGGATCAAAAATAGGTCACTGCTGAACCACTAACAGACCACTAACGGGTCGCCAGCGGGCAACTAATGGGCCATTACTGAGTCACTAATGGCCCACTGCAGGATCGGTATTGGCCCACGAAAGGACCATTAATAGGCCAGTAAAGGATCGGTATGGGCTTTTGAAGGATCGCTAATGGGCTATTAATGGTCCTTTCAATTAACTAATAGGCCATTAATGGGCTTTTGAAAGGTCGGTAATGGGCCATTAATGGATCGTAATGGCCATTAATAGGCCACTGAAAGATCACTAATGGGCCATTAATGGGCCTTTTAAATCGCTAATGGGTTATAAATGGGCCTCTGAAGGATCGGTAATGGGCCATATATGGGCCTCTGAAAATTCAGTAATGGGCCATTAATGGGCCTCTGAAGGTTCAGTAATGGCCCATTAATAGGCAGATTAAGGTTCGCTAATGGGCCATCAATGGGCCTTTGAAAGATCGGTAATGGGCCATCGGTAATGGGCCATCGATGGGCCATTTAAAGATAGCTAATGGATTATCAATGGGCCATTGAAAGATCGGTAATGGGCCACTAATGGGTCTTTGAAGGATCGGTAATGGGCCGGTAATGGGCCTTTGAAGGATCGGTAATGGGCCTTTGAAGGATCGGTAATGGGCCGGTAATGGGCCTTTGAAGGATCGGAAATGGGCCATTTAAAGATCGATAATGGTCCATAAATGGGCCTTTGAAGGATCGGTAAGGGCTATTATTGGCCCATCGAAGGATCGGTAATGGGCCAACACTGGGCCTTTGAATGATCGTTACTGAGCCAATAATCGAAAGAACGGTAATCGGCCATTAATGGGCCTTTGAAGGATCGGTATTGAGCCAGGCCATTAATTGGCCATTGAAGGATCCGTGGTCCATTACCACTACTTCAGTGGCCCATTAGTGGTTTCGTGGGCCATTGAAGACCAGGAATGGGCCGTTATTTTGGTTACAATCACTTTCTTTTTCTTTTTTTGAGATAAAAAGAATAAAACAAAACTACAATTTGGCTATCAAGAAACGTCTCACTTACATATTCCTCTCCCTTTTCACATCTCGAAAATTTGCCTTCCCTCTCTCTACAGTAGGAAAACTCTTCTAATTCTTACGTCTTAGTTGCCCTTTGCGCGGTGGCGCGGTTTCTTCCTTCTTCTCCATCGTATCTTCACTCTTTGAGCTCTCTCCTACATCTGGTTTCTTCTTTTTTTCCACAGTTGCCGCCTATAACAGATACATTTCTTTAACTCTCACTTGTCCCATACTAAATAATAGACTTGTAGGCACTTAGGAAAGAAATGTCTGCAACCTTGTTCAAGAGGTCAATCAAAAGCGAGCTCTTTTACGTGCACTGCTAGTTGAACATAATTATTGGGCTGGGCCCATTAAAACAATTCAAGAGTCTCTTACAGAGACAGAGTCTTCTAATGATTGCTTTGACTTCTTTAATCAGGAAGTTGTATAGAGACGGCAGCTGCAGGTAGCACAAATCATTTTGTCAACATAAGAATTAGGACATAACTTTACTAAATCCAGCACTCTTCTTCACTTTCTTGTCTCTTTCCATCACTTCTCTAACCTTAACCACATCCTCCCACCTCTCTGCATTTGCATACATTTCCACCATCACTTTATACACTCCTCCATCCTCTGGACTCAACGTCCTAACTCTCTCTGCAGCTTTCTCTGCAACCTCTATGTTCCCGTGGATTCTACACCCACCCAGCAAACCGCTCCACGCTAAGAGTTTCTCTCTGTTTCCTCCAACTTTAGGCATTTTCTCAATCATTTCCGCTGCTTCTTTGATCAACCCTGCTCTTCCAAGCAAATCCGCCATACACCCGTAATGTTTCATCTCTGTATCAACATCATACAGAGATCCCATTTCGTCGAAAAGCTTCCTGGCTTCATCAACTTGACCAGAATGGCTACAACCCACTAAAACACTTATGAAGCTTACTCCATCCGGTTTGATACCAGAACTAACCATCTTACGGAAGTAATCCACTGTCAGCTCGCCGTTACCGTGCATCGCAAGACCAGTGATCATTGCATTCCATGTGAATAACGTTTTATCTGAACATAAGTTGAAGATCTCCATTGCTGTATCGATGAAACCACATTTCGCATAGAAATCCACCAATGCAGTAGCTAAAAACGAATCTATGAAAAGTCTGTTCCTTTTGGCGTAATTGTGAATAGCTTTCCCTGTTTCTAAATCCCCTGATTGTGCACAAGCTGAAAGAGTCGAAACAATCGCGACGTTATCTGGTTTGAAACCCAAAGCAATCATTTCGTTGAAGAGGTTGATTGCTTCTCTGTAATGGTTCATCTGCGCATACCCAGCAATGAGACTGTTCCACGAAACCAAATCACGAAAGGGCATTGAATCGAACAACTCTCGTGCACGAACTATCTCACGGGCTTTCACTAATCCGTCGATCAACACATTGTACGTAACAACATCTCTCTGGGGATTTTCGTCGAACAGCTGCAAGGCACTCTCTATTGGGGTAATCAACGAGTAAACCCGAATGAGAGTGTTCAACGTGAACAAATCAGACACCAATCCGAATCTCAACGCTTGACAATGCAGCGTCTTGACTAATGTAAGACTACAGTCCTTCTTCGCACAAGCCTTGAATACGAAAGGGAAGGTGTGGAAATCGGGAGGAATCGAACGACGTCGCATCTGGACGAAGAAACGGTGGGGAGACAGAGACGGGGCATGAAGCGTATACACCCGAATGATCGTATTGAAGCAAAACGTTGATGGGTTTGTGATGAATCTGAAAAGCGAAGTCGCATAACTCACGACCACATTCGACGCCGACGTTGAAATCGAATTCGATAAACTCAGTGTCGCTGTCGGAGACGGTGCGATAGAGGTGATGGCGAAGAGGATATCGGTGAAAACAGAGTTCTGGTTGAAATCGTTGGAGATTCGCCCGGAAGTGATGAATTGGGCATGAAACTGATGCAGATGTCTAAGGGTTTTACACAGCTTCAGTAAATTCTCAACTTTCAGGTTGAGATACACACAAGTCTTAGAATTTATCATTCAGCTGATCTTAAGAGCTTCTCCAGATTCTATGGACATCGAAATATGACTTCAAATGGTGCAAAGCTTTCTCTTTTAAAGGAAAAAAACCAGTGACGAAAGGTTTCTCAAAATTTCTACTAGAGAAAACTCTTTTTGGACTCACGAAACTACTGAAGCAGAACCAATATATTTCTCTTCTCAGATTCTCAAGTTACAATTCTACAGTCCAATGAGCTTCACCGACAACATAAAACCCGGAGAAGCTCAAGTGTTTTTTTTTCGCCATCATCAAGGAGTTGTCACAGTGTATCTGTGAACATTGCATTAGGTTCTTGCTGTCTAATCAATGGACAGATTTTTCTTCATAGCTTCGTAAACAAGGTACGAAATGCTTGCGGAAGGAATGACTTTGAAAAGATTGGGAAAGATTCCTCTGTAAAACCCTCTTAGACCTTCGCCTTTTAGCGTCTTCAGAAACTCTTGCCTCATTGTATTGTTTGAGCTATCAGCTTGCATTCTGATAATAAATTACTAAACTCAGTTCAAAAACGCAGACAGAAAACAAACAAAAAAAAAAGCTTATAATTTTGAGTTTCACCTTGTTCGTACGACTTGCAACGGGTAAACACACGATGCTCCAAGAGCTCCAGACGTCATTCCACATCCGAGCTGTATAAGAGGACCCGGCTCTGCACAATACAAACTGTTTAGGATCATGCGAAAGATTAAGAATTTACAATTTAAAGAAACTCGTAAGGATCGATTACTATCTAACCGTAACCGGTGTCATGATGAATATATGTTCTCGACAAGTCTTTCAGAGTTTCGTAAGCAGCAAGGTCGATTCCTGCGTAAGGGACAATCCCAAGAAGAGAAGGACAAAGACCCTTGTAAAACGCTCGAGGTCCTTCTTGTATCCAAATCTCCTTGGTGAGTTTCCACAGCTTTGGTGTCTTCCCAAGCTCACTCACACAAGTCTGTAACCGAGTCTTCACCAGATCCATAGGATAAATAGCGGTTTGGGCCACTGCACCAGCCAATCCACCAGACAAAAGCCTACCACTTGTACCAATGTCACCATCCGCTCCTCCGATTATTGGTTTCAGCATTTCATAAGCAGCAAACTTTATAGCACTTTCGGGAGCAACTTTCGTTACATTTAACCCGTTACCTCTGAAGAAACCCAACAACTTATCTTCTCTCCATATTTTCTTGATGGTCGGGACAACGCCTGCTTTTGTTCTTTGAACTTGCAAAACAACTTTCAGACGGTCTAGAGGCGCGGTTGCGGTTCTAGAAACAGCTCCGGCTAGTCCTCCCGCAAGAAGTAATTTGCTTCTTTGAGCGTGTGTACTTATACCATCAGGTATCACAACTTGCTCCCCGATGTCTATTAAGCATACTCTTTCCCAGTGATGATAAATGTTCTCAATTGTGGCTTCATGAGGGTGTAGCAAAAGAAAGTCCCTCCACTCTTCGAAAGTTATAATACCGTTGTTGTCCTTATCAACATGGTCCATAAAAGAAGCCAGTTCCTTATCACTAATTTCAATGCCTACAAGAACATAACTGTGTGGGTTATCTAGGTCGAAGACACTGTTACACAATAAAAGAGCTAAATTTGCCACTAGACTAACTGAGAGAATTTTCATGAAACCCAATAAAGCAACTCACAGCCCACGATTTTGTGAACAAGGACAATGGCAAAGGATACACAGATTAATATGTTGAATCGCCTGGTTAAGAAGTTTCTATTTTCAAGGGATCAATGAAAGATTTACACACTTCAATTTTCCTGAAACACAAATCTATCTATAACAGACTGATTAAACTATCTCATTCATATAAAAGCAAAAGATACCATCACTAAAAAAGCTCTTCCTTTTTTACTCAAACATTATCTTCGAGGAAAATCGAAGTTATGGACCTCCTAAAAATGGAAAGAATGATACCCAACAAACAGCTCGCATAACATAAGAAATACATCAAACAACCAACAAGGAAAAAAAAAACTGCTGCATATAAGGGTAAGCTAACAAGAACAGTTGAAAACAGTGGCATTTTCAGATTCAAGTCACCGAAACAATATAATACAAGTAAGTGGCAATTTAAGCACAAAAGTTTCCTCTTTTGATAGTTGAAAAGTAACAACAGGAGTGATGGAATAGTATGGGATCAGAATCACTGACCAGCCTTAACAAGAGCCTCCCATAGCTCATCTGGGCAAATGTCGCCATTGTGGTGGACATCAATGGCCTGGAAAATAATATAGAGCTCAAGCTCCTTAGCGTCCATGTAGCGACGAAACTCCTCGTAATCAACGCGACCATCTCGATTCACGTCGCAGGCCTTACGCAAATCTCTAGCGTACTTGTACTTTGGAGGAATCCGAAGCGAAGACAGACCTTTCTCGATCTGGGTGTCGTCTAAGTACCCTGAATTCGAATTGTCGAAGAACTCGAACAGATTGCGAATCCTGGTCTCTCTCTCCTCCTTCGTCTCGCGTAAGGCCAGGAGCACGTGATCCATCGTCGCGGCTCCTCCGGGCTTCTTACCCGGATTCTGGTTGGATTTTCCCGCCTCCATTGCTGATTAATGAAACCTGGATGAAAAATTCATAGCTTGGACGACTCTAGGGTTCCTTCATTCCTGGAAGAGTCCCTCAGTCCAGGAACAAGTACAAAACCAAAAGAATTCAAAATCAGAATCCAATAAGTATACTCATTGGACAAACTGTTGTCTCTGATTCGAACCGACTCTAATATAAATATGTAGACAACGACGATTGGAACGAAAACAATAACAACAATGTGTGTATTGTGTAGGAAAAGTGAGATCACAGATTTGACACTTTGTTGATGCAAAATATCTGCCACAAATCAATCTTCCTTGGACGGACTTGTCCATTATTTTTCCTCAACCACTTCGAATGCTTCCACGTAGACACAGAAAACACCACTCAAATGAAGCCGGCCTAGCTTGGACTTTAACAGTAACAGTGAAACCGGTTTAGTTGCTTTGAACCAGAACAATGAAACTAAACTTCCAAAACAATGAATACAAAAACATTGTTATTGGTTTCTTGAGGCCTTTTAAGATTAAAATTTAAGATTTCTTGTTGGTTTCTTGAGGCCTTTTAACCTCGTCTAATAACTTACAAAGTCCACAAGGCATTAACCAATGCGTCTCGTGTGATGCATATTGTATCCCATATTTGACAAGCAAACTTCTTAAACGTACACATTTCAGAAGTTGATATTACAGGAAGAGGACAACAACACCTTCTTTTATTTATAATCCTACGTCGACATATCACACTGAAGAAAAATATCTAGTCGACATAAGTTTTACTTGCTAAGTGATTGGTAACCATCTTCCCGGTTCTGTCCCCGGTATACCACGGCGGCTATTAGAACAATAACCGCCACCACCACCGTCACCGCAAGGAAGGCTAAAACGCTCACGCTTTTCGCATGTGCCTGCAAAGATATGAAAAATACTAACATAAATAAAGTAACCACATGGCATGTATCTCCAAAACCGTGTATGTGTTGAAACCGGTTTAAATAAACCGAGTTCCAGCAGCGGGTGGTTACCTGAAAGAGTGCTGGCAAGGAGCTCTCCGGTTCAGGTAGCTGCTGAGCAACGAGGATGTAAAAGAGTCCCATAACTCCGGTATGACCATGGGTATTACTGTAATTAAACTCCAAGGTCAATGTCTCTCCATTGGTCACTCTTACTGGTTCAGGGTAACAGGACGACATTCCAACAATGTAACCAGCTTCGTTTCCAGGTTCGTCTCCATTGCCATACTTTGGCATCGAAGAGCAAATTCCCTCACCGTCCTGATCAATCCACAACACACGGGTCTCAATTCAGTAAAAAGTTTCAATGTTTGATTCTTCTGCATTAACTCAAACTATATCAGATTTTATTACCTCTCGGTATAGAGCAGCACCGATACCACCCGCGTGCTGGTGAGCTACGCCGTAGACAATATACCCGTTGAATGGCATCATTAAGCTCTTTTTCTTAACATCCACGCATCCATCTCCATTGGCTTTGCACGGTTTCACCTCGTATTCCACCTGAAAAAAAGCATAAGAAACCGATCTTTTTGTAGAAAGAATGCTAAGTAAAGGTATTAAGCAAAGATGCGAAAGTTTTTTACTGACATGGCAATAATGTTCTTGGCTATCTCCTGTTGATCCTTGTGATCGTTCCCAAGAATCTGTAACATCGAGGATATAAACCTTAGCGGGCAAAACCGTGGTATCCCAATCAACCCATCTCACGGTATATTTCAGATACAGAGTTCTTGTTTTCTCCCCATTATCAAATCCACTTCTCACCAGACATTGCGTCTTATCGTAGCAGCAGTATAGACCTCCATTGTATCCGGGTCTTAAAGCTCGACCATACTCATCAATGGTTACATTATACAGATCACACCGGCACTCCGTGCAGCCTGATTTATCTACAACGCTTCTTGTGTCTATCGCGTGAATGTTTAGAAGCCATTTGAATTCATACCCATCAGGCCTTTCCTCAGGATTATCGAATTCGATCGCGTAAGGATCGGGAAGATATGTCGAGGTTTTGCGGGTTTCTGATCCTAACCCAAAGTAATGTCTTACACTATTCCTGCACAGCCCTCCATTTTTTACAAGAATATAATCGGATCTCGAACCAAGATTCCTTTCGGGATCTTGCCTCGCAAATCCGTGATTCCTGGGCATGTCTCGCTGTGAAAGCTCGAAACCTTTACGAACATAGTAAGGTTGGACAACCCAATGGTGAAGATATGTCTCGTGTAGAGGGACGGGATTGCCCGATTCGTCAACCACTTCAGCATCGAAACCTTTGAGGCCGATATGCCCTCTAGGGAAGTCGATGTCGAATAGGAAAGGATTTGCAACTGATCCTGGATTCATCACCAGTTTTGGTGATAAGAAAACTGCAGACTTTATCTTTTTCTCGGTCCCAAGAAAGCCATGGCTAGGCGATGTGCTCAATGCGACCAGAAGAAGAACGAAGGAAGAGATCCCGCGATAAAGTGCCATTCTCTCCTGTTTCCAGATCAGTATAGAGAGGTCAGAAATGAAATTCAAAATTCAACTAATCATTAACCCATAAATATCTCAAAAGTTTTGTTCGAAAATTTGAGCTAGAGGAAAACCCACTTTGACCCTAAACTTAACCAGAAGATTTCAGCACATGCGCATACTAAACCACCAAAATTTGAAAATTTTCCATCAACCCGTGACTCATGGAAGCCAGCAAAAACAGAGAAATCGGAAGCTCATTTCGTATAACCCTGAATTACAATCAAACTTTGAACACGAACAATCTAAAATTTCAGAACATCCGTAAACAGAGACACAGACAGGAACTCCATTTAATATGACTCCGAACGCATACACCACGGAACAATCGTTCCTAATCTCTGTGTCTAGATTTTGGATTCCAAACCTGGAATTCGATTGCGAAACTCCCAGAATTCGATCGCGAAAAATTTAAACACAGAGGAAAAAAGCCAATGACAAACAGAGTGAGAGTGAGAGTTTAAGTGGGTACGAACCGGATAAAGGAGATTCCCAGCAAACCGATGATTTTCCCGCTTCTTTAAACGTTTGTTAAAACCCTCATCGGTGTATCGGAGAAAAAGCAGATGTATTGCTATGAAGAGTGCCTACAAGGAACAATTCGAGAGTTATATATTTATTTATCATGTGAAATGCGAACGCCCATAAGCGCAGAGACGTAGGACGTTAGCTCCGGTATACGTGACACGTGTATCCAATGAGGTCATCGCTCTCGTCACTAACCCGGTTTAATTTACCCTCTTTCAATTCTCTTGCACAATAAAAATACTCGACATTTATGTGAGATGATAGATGACCACCACAGATTATAATTATCAACTAAATTTTATCCTCTACATCCGCACACGATTTTTTTTAATCAATTTGTAATATATATTTTTATAGATATAATTTTTAATAAGTGTTAAAAATTTGTTTTTATGTTTAGATATAATTTATGTTTTATATTTTTTTAGTATTATTATGATCACAATCATAAAAACATAATTCTAACCTAATCATTCTATTAATCGAAAAATAAAATTTATTATAAAAACATATTTATAACTCACTCATTCTATTAATCCAAAAAAAACTATAGTTATAAAACTATAATTCTAATCCGTCTGTTCATATTACTATATAATATAAATATTTCCTCATTTTAAAATAATATTTATTATAATATCTTGTATGTTTTGATAAACCAATCCACATAAAATCACAATTATAAAATAACATAACCCGTTCCATCAAATTACCAATAATATTAATATTTATTTGTTTTTAACATGTAAAATTTTAGTCTAATTGAATATGATTAAAAAATACAATAAGGTATTCATTAATTATATTTGTTGTCCTGAAAATATTATTTGGATTTCAATGTTAAACTAAATCTGATCTATATTTAAGAAAATCTAAAGTAATTTAAATTAATATTTATTTTTAAAATTAATGTTATTACAAAAAATAGTTTGAATTTAAATTAAATATAATGTATATTTAAGGAAATCCTTAGTTATCTAAATTAATATCTAATTTTTAGAATTAAATTTTTATATTAAAGAAAATGTGTTTTTTAAAATAATATTTAAATATATTAGGATAGATTTAAAACTGTTTAAAAAAGGTGTTACTGTTTTGATATAATACTAAATTTTAACCCCGTGCGTCCGCACGATAATATTTTATTTTTTATTTCTAATATAAGTTACATTTATCTTTTTTTAGATATAATTTATTTTTTTATTTATTTTTTTAAATTAAAAAATTGTTATCATATTTAATTTTAAACAGTAAAATTTGTATATTAGTAGAATAAGAGTATACGTTAATTAAGTATATATTGATCTAATGTTAATTATAAACTTTGTTATTATATGAATTTAGATTTACACATAAACAATCTATATATCTATGAATTTGCTAATCTATCCGTTTAGTTGTCTTAAATCATTTTTAATATCTTACATGTTTTGACAAACTAACCCGTATAAGACTATAATTATAATTGTATAACCCTATAAATATTTACTAATATGGAATATTTGGATCAATTGATTATAAAAAATATAATAAGATATTTATTTACTATTTGTGCTATTAAAAAATATATATATATATATATATATATATATAAACGGGCTAACTTGTTAGTTTAATTATCTCAAATCATCTTAATATCTTACATGTTGCAATAAATTAACTCATGAACCTTAAATATATATATATATATATAATTCTAATCAGTTCGATCATATTATTGTATAATATAAATATTTATTAATCTCAAATATTTGATATTTTAGACCGATTGTTTATGATAAAATACGATAAAATATTTATTTACTATGCATTTTAATAAAAATATTATTTAAATTTAAAATTTAAAATTAAATCTTTCTTGTATGTAAGAGATTTTTAAAGTATTAAAATTATTATCTAAATTTTTGTAATAAAATTTAATTATAATTTTTTTTGAATTTTTTGAATTTAAATTAAATTGAATGCAAAATTTTGTAACTAAATTTAATTAAATTTCTAATAATTTGAAATTTAAATTAAAGATGACCTAGATTTTAGGAAATTTAAAAATATCTAAATTAATAACTAATTTTTGGAAATTAAATATAAAAATAAAATAAAATATTATTAAAAAACTTTGTGAGTGTTTGAATGCAAACACTAAATGTGCTTTTGTTTTAATAGAATATGTACCGATTGAATTTGGATCCAGTTGGATAACCCGCTTTGGGTGTGAAAACTTGACCCGCTCATTTGGCTAAATGCGCACGTTAGAGACAAGTGCAACTTTTCTATGCGGACATTTTTCGCGCCGGATTTTTACGATACCAACGGCTACTCTTAACCGTATGATCAACGATCACTTGCGGGAGGATGGTTTGGTGGAAGCACGCAAGCTGTTTGATCAAAACCGGACATCGCTGGACAATTCAACATGGAACATGATGATTACTGCTTATGTTCAACGTGGTCTTATATGTTGGAAGCTCACCAGATGTTCGATCAAATGCCTGTCAGAGATGTGGTGTCGTGGAACACCATGCTTATGGGTTTGAAGAAAACCAGAGATCCAGAAAGTGCTGTTAGTGTTTTATAGCGATGCGGAGATCTGGGTTAAATCCAGATGAGCTTACCCTCCCTCCAATAATGGATGCAGTATTGGGATCTGCGTTTAAGGTTTCTGTTTTGCAAATTCACACGCTTGCTATTCGATTAGGGCTTAGCTTAAGCCCTTATACTGGGTCTGCTTTGTTAAGAGGCTACACAAGTTTTAGGGACTTCAGGGTTTAGAAAGAGCATTTGAGGATATTTTGCTCAAGGATGTGGTATGTGTTGATTATGGGTTACATGAAATTAGGTTTTGTGGAAGATGGTGAGAGAGCATTCGGTGAAATCCCAGACAGGAACATCATTACTTGGCACGCAATGTTAATTGTATACATAAATAACTCCAAGATCGATAAAGCTAGAGAATTGTTCAATCGAATGAGTCAAAAGAATGTCTTTTGATCAATGGCTACGTACAGAGCTATAAAGCTATATAATTATTTATATTGCCTGCCAAATATGAAATATACTACATGTCTACATCTGTCGTCAACGATAAAACATTCGTTGACAAAACTTATGGTATTATATGATTAATATTTTTATGAATCGTACTGTATTTAAAATGCCATCTGATCATATAAAACTCAATCATTTTAATACACCAACTCCAGTATACATTTCTTAAATGTTGTTACAAAATAAACCTTACACCCGCCCATGGGTCTAGTTCTTTTATTTATAGTTCTAGGTCGACATATCACACTAAAGAAAAATATCTAGCCGACATATAGTTTTACTTTCAAGTGCTAAGTGATTGGTAACCATCTTCCCGATTCTGTCTCCGGTATACCACGGCGGCTATTAGAACAATAACCGCCACCACCACCATCACCGCAAGGAAGGCTAAAACGCTCATGCTTTTCGCATGTGCCTGCAAAGATATGATGAATACTAACATAAGTAAAGTAACCACATGGCAATATCTCAAAAACCGTGTATGTGTTGAAGCCGGTCTGAATAAACCGAGTTCCGGCACCGGGTGGTTACCTGAAAGAGTGCAGGCAAGGAGCTCTCCGGTTCAGGTAGCTGCTGAGCAACGAGGATGTAAAAGAGTCCCATAACTCCGGTATGACCATTGGTGGTACTGTAATTAAACTCCAAGGTCAATGTCTCTCCCTTAGTCACTTTCACTGCAGGTTCAGGGTAACAAGACGACATTCCAACAATGTAACCAGCTTCGTTTCCAGGTTCGTCTCCATTGCCATACTTTGGCATCGAAGAGCAAATTCTCTCACCGTCCTGATCAATCCACATAACACAATGGTCTCAATTCAGTAAAAAGTTTTAATGTTTGGTTCTGCATTAGCTTAAACAAAATCAGACTTTATTACCTCTCGGTATAGAGCACCACCGATACCACCCGCGTGCTGGTGAGCTACGCCGTAAACAATATACCCGTTAAATGGCATCATTAAGCTCTTTTTCTTGACATCCACGCATCCATCGCCATTGGTTTTGCACGGTTTCACCTCGTATTCAATCTGAAAAGACATAAGACACCGATCATTTTTTTAGAAAGAATGCTAAGTAAAGGTATTAAGCAAAGATGCGAAAGTTTTTTTACTGACATGGCAATAATGTTCCTGGCTATCTCCTGTTGATCCTTGTGATCGTTCCCAAGAATCTGTAACATCGAGGATATAAATCGTAGCGGGCAAAACCGTGCTATCCCAATCAACCCATTTCACGGTATATTTCAGATACACACTTCTTGTTTTCTCCCCATTGTCAAATCCATTTCTCACCCGACATTGCGTCTTATCGTAGCAGCAGTATAAACCTCCATTGTAGTCGGGTCTTATAGCTCGACCATACTCATCAATGGTTACATTATACAGATCACAACGGCACTCGGTGCATCCTGATTTATCTACAACGCCTCTTGTGTCTATCGCGTGAAGGTTTAGAAGCCATTTGAATTCATATCCATCAGGCCTTTCCTCAGGATTATCGATTTCAATCGCGTAAGGATCAGGAAGATACGTCGAGGTTTTGCGGGTTTCTGATCCTAAACCAAAGTAATGTCTTACATTATTCCTGCACAGCCCTCCATTGTTGACAAGAATAAAATCGGATTTCGAACCAAGATTCCTTCCGGGATCTTGCCTCGCAAATCCGTGATTTCTAGGCATGTCTCGCTGTGAAAGCTCAAAACCTTTACGAACATAGTAAGGTTGAATAACCCAGTGGTGAAGATATAACTCGTGTAGAGGTACGGGATTGCCTTCTTCGTCAACCATTTCAGCATCGAAACCTTTGAGGCCGTAATGCCCTCTCGGGAAGTCGATGTCGAATAGGAAAGGATTTGCAGCGTTTCCTGGATTCATCACCAGTTTTGGTGATAAGAAAACTTCAGACTTTATCTTTTTCTCGGTTCCAAGAAAGCCGTGGCTACGTGATGTGCTCAATGCGACCAGAAGAAGAACTAAGGAAGATTTCAGCGATCTCCCGCCATAACGAGCCATTCTGTCCTGTTTCCAGATCAGTATGGTAAGAAATGAAACTCAAAATGAAACTAATCATTAATGCATAAATATCTCTAAAGTTTTGTTCGAATTTGATTGGAATCATACTATAAACACTAGAGGAAAAACCAGTTAGAGGCCTTGTTTAACTAGAGGATTTTCAGCATATGCGCATACTTAACCACCAAAATTTGAAAATTTTCCAACAACCCGTGACTCATGGAAGCTAGCTAGAACAGATAAATCGGAAGCTCATTTCGTATAACCCTGAATTACAATCAAACTTTGAACACAAACAATCTAAAATTTCAGAACATCCATAAACAGAGACACAGACAGGAACTCCCTTTAATATGACTTCCAATATCCGAACGCATATACTACGGAACTATCGTTCTCAATCTCTGTGTCTAGATTTTGGATTCCAAACCCGAAATTCGATTGCGAAATTCCAAGAATTCGATCGCGAAATTTAGACACAGAGGAAAAAAAACGATGGCAAACAGAGAGAGAGTTTACGTGGGTACCGGATAAAGGAGATTCCCAGCAAACTGATGATTTTCCCGCTTCTTTAAAGGTTTGTTAAACTTGACACTCTCATCGGTGATCGGAGAAAAAAAAAAAGTCTGTATTGCTATGGAGAGTGCCTACGAGGAACAATTCGAGAGTTATCTATTTATCATGTGAAATGCGAACGCCCATAAGCGCAGAGACGTAGACGCTAGGTCCGGTATACGTACTTGACACGTGTATCTAATGAGGTCATCGCTCTCGTCACAAACCCGGTATTATGTAGGTGTCCTCTTTCAATAACATTTATGTAACATATGATAGATAACAACATACGACAGATTATAATTATGTTACATGATAACTATTTAGCTATCCTCTTTCAATAACATTTACTTATGTAACATGATAGATAACTACAGATTATAATTATGTGACATGATAGATAACCAAAGATTAATTACAATTATTTAATTACACTTGTTTGTAGTTTAGTACAAATTGAATTTGGATCCAGTCTAATAACCCGCTTTGGGTGTGAAAACTTGACCCGCTCATTTGGCTAAATGCGCACGTTAGAGACAAGTGCAACTTTTCTATGCGGACATTTTTCGCGCCGGATTTTCACGATACCAAAGGCTACTCTCAACCGTTTGATCAACGATCACTTGCGGGAGGATGGTTTGGTTGAAGCACGCAAGCTGTTTGATCGAAACCGTACATCGCTGGACAATTCAACATGGAACATGATGATTACTGCTTATGTTCAGCGTGGTCTTATGTTGGAAGCTCACCAGGTGTTCGATCAAATGCCTGTCAGAGATATGGTGTCGTGGAACACCATGCTCATGGGTTTGAAGAAAACCAGAGATCCAGAAAGTGTTGTTAGTTTTTTTATAGCAATGCGGAGATCTGGGTTGAATCCAGATGAGCTTACCCTCCCTGCGATAATGGATGCAGTATTGGGATCTACGTTTAAGGTTTCTGTTTTGCAAATTCACACGCTTGCTATTCGATTAGGGCTTAGCTTAAGCCCTTATACTGGGTCTGCTTTGTTACGAGCCTACACAAGCTTTAGAGATTTCAGGGGTTTAGAAAGAGTTTTTGAGGATATTTTGTTCAAGGATGTGGTGTCGTGGAATGTGTTTATTACGGGTTACATGAAATTAGGTTTTGTGGAAGATGGTGAGAGAGCATTCGGTGAAATGCCGGAGAGGAACATCATTACTTGGCACACAATGTTAATTGGATACATAAACAACACCAAGATCGATAAAGCTAGAGAATTGTTCAATCGAATGAGTCAAAAGAATGTCTTTTCTTGGACTGTGATGATCAATGGCTACGTACAGAGCAGGGAATTTAGAATAGCTCTGATGCTTTTTCGGGAAATGGTTGAATCTTGGAATAATAGGCCAAGCCACTACACATTTTCGACTGTTTTAAAAGCGTGTGCAGCTTCTTCGTCGCTTCTTATGGGGAAACAAGTGCACTCAATGGTCACAAAGCGCGGAATGGCTTGTGACATAGTCCTGTCGACTTCGCTCATAGATATGTATGCCAAGTCAGGTGATATTACCGCTGCTTCACGTGTGTTTAAGTTGATGCCTTTGAAGAATCCGGCTTCATGGAATTCGATGATAGGAGGTTTCGCAAGACATGGATTAGGAGTGGATGCTTTAGAGGAATTCGAGAAGATGATAGAGTGTGGTTACAGGCCTGATCAGGTGACTTTCATTAACTTGTTATCGGCTTGTGCTCATGCTGGGCTAGTGGAAAAAGGGCAAAAACAGTTCATGTTGATGGGTAGGCTTGGTATAGCTGCAGAGAAGGAGCATTATGCATGTATGGTGGATCTATTTGCGAGGGCCGGTCACTTAGATAAAGCAGAGAGATTGATAAAGGGAATGCCTTTTGAGCCAGATGTTGTTATTTGGGGGGCTTTGCTCAGGGCTTGCGGATTGCATTCATGTTTGGAGCTCGGTGAAGTTGCTGCTGAGGGAATCTCGAGGCTGAGAAGAGAGCATCCCGCGGCTTATGATGTTCTGTGTAGAGTTCATGGCGAGAAAGGAGATTGGACAAGTGTTATGGAGTTGAGGAGACTGATGAAGAAGACCAAAGCAAAGAAGCAAGACGCTAGCAGCTGGATTGAAGGTCTTACTTAAATCTTCGGAAAGTAACATTTTTGTGTTTTATAGAGTTGTGAAACAGAGCTCTTGTAATATGTCAATATCTGTTGAGAAGAATCTGGAAGGAAGAAAGATTTGTCGCTGCAATTGGATTAAATAGTGAAATTAAAAGGTTTAAGGCTAATATGTGTTTTTGTCAAAAGTTGAAGGTTCCCATTAAATAATTTAGATCACTCGGCTGATATATTGAATTTGATTCCCTGCGGACAAGACTACTACAAACCGTACACCCCCAACACAACTAGGCCGAGGAAGAAGGCGATGACGAACAAGGAGAAAGCGCGGGAGAGAAGGGAGAAAAGGATGCAGGAGATCTCTCTCCTTCGAACCATTCCTTACTCTGACCGCCAGAGGTATGAATCGAACCTAATTAATTCGGCTGGTTTGTTTACCAATATCATTGCGATTTGCTCTGCGGAAATCTCAGTTTCACAAGCATTGTGCTATCATTGAGGTGTTAATCTCTACTATGATACTATGACTTGCTTACGTCCATTTCTAGGTTCCCGTACAGTGTTTTAGCTATAGTTGTCAAATTGTTTGATGAGTTTAGCTTTGTATTGTTCTGGATTTGGAGATAGAGATCGAGTGTTTATGTTCATACCATTGACTCTGTTTATGTTCATACCGTTGGTACTTATAGATATGGGTTAACTAAACCAATAGGTTTTGGAGAAACTGAAAAGAAAAAAATTATGTCTTTCATGCCCTCTTCTGATTTCTGATTAGGCGTTGAATGCTTTGTAGATGGTGGTCTTGTGAAAATGTAGCAGTGGTGACCGGTTCAAACCGAGGAATTGGGTTCGAAATCGCAAGGCAGCTTGCGAGCCACGGATTGACGGTTGTTCTTACAGCCAGAAACGTGGATGCTGGTCTTGAAGCAGTTAATTCCTTGAGGAACCAAGAGGGTCTCAGAGTTGATTTTCATCAGCTTGATGTCAGTGACTCCTCGTCGATTAAAGAGTTTGCTTGCTGGATTAAGCAAACATTTGGAGGTCTAGATATTCTCGTAAGATCCTATGGATATGTAATGTTAGAGGATAGTTCTTCTGTTTTTTTTTCTTTAGCTGATTATATGCATTCGTTCGTGTGACTGTAAAATTTCAGGTGAACAACGCAGGAGTCAACTACAATCTCGGCTCAGATAATTCGGTTGAATTTGCTGAGACAGTTATATCTATCAATTACCAAGGAACCAAAAACATGATAAAAGCTATGATACCACTGATGAGACCGTCTCCTCAGGGCGCTCGTATTGTTAACGTTAGTTCCAGGCTAGGTCGAGTAAATGGAAGACGTAATGTAAGTAAACCATTTCACTCTTATCTTTGAATTGTAATTGAAAGAAATTGCCGTGAAACTGCATGCGTTTTCCTGTGCAGAGACTTGCAAATGTAGAGTTGAGAGAGAAGCTAAGCAATCCGGATTTGCTGACGGAAGAACTCATAGACCGAACTGTGTCTAAGTTCATCGACCAAGTAAAAGACAAAACTTGGGAGTCAGGCGGGTGGCCTCAGACATTCACCGACTACTCCATGTCTAAGCTTGCCGTCAACGGATACACGAGACTAGTAGCTAAAGAACTTTTGAGGAGACAAGAGGGAGAGAAGATTTATGTTAATAGCTTTTGTCCTGGTTGGGTGAAGACTGCAATGACTGGCTACGCCGGAAATATGTCGCCTGAAGATGCAGCTGATACCGGAGTTTGGCTTAGCATGGTTCTCTCTGAAGAGGCGGTGACCGGCAAATTCTTTGCAGAGAGACGTGAGATAAACTTCTGAGGGTTGTTGAAAGTTTCGTTAACGTTTGAATAAATTATGTTGCTTTCGTCTAGTGCCATCGTTTTCGGTCAAAGGTTTTTTGAAACTCAATCCCACTTCATTCACTCCTTTTTGGTATGAAAATCAATCCCACTTGGTAAGTCAATGGTGGTGAGCTTCACTTAGAGTTCTCGTAATTATAAATTATGTATAATCAATAACGAATCAAATTAGTAACCGACCTTAGCTCAGTTGGTAGAGCGGAAGACTGTAGTGGGTTCTCCCAAAGAAATCTTTAGGTCGCTAGTTCGATTCCGGCAGGTCGGACTTTTTAACAAAAATCACTATTTCTCTACTAGTTTAGTAAACGGCAATTTACCTTTTTTCATACGAGGTTCCACTTCACGAGAAGAATAATTAATTTTTGCCATAGATAAATTCACTTCATTAAATTCACTTCATCTGTGAACACAACAAACCTATACACATAGAGAAAGATGCATTCGATTTCAATTTTCTCTAGAATGATTGAAAAACGTAAAGAGAACGAGAACCAATTTTGGCTCTTTTTTTTTCGTGGAATGTCAAACTCTCAAAAAGATTCTAGTTTCATTACAATGATGAAGCATTTTCCGTTCTACAGAACAAATAAAAAGAAGAAAAAAGGGTTCTGATTCTACAAAATACAGAAACAAGAAGAGAACAACCAATAACCAAAAGAATCAATTCTATCAAATTCCACCTCTCTTCTATCACCTTTGTCCTCACCAAGGTTTCAGATCAGCAACCGGTCCTGCCGTCCAGTTCAACAGCTTCTCACCTGGTCTAAGATACACATTCCTCTCATGAGGCAGCTTACGAGCCAATCCATTCAACACTTGATGAAACGCATCCCCTGGTTGAGCCGGTTGCGGGAACAGCATCGCCTGTTTCATCGACGGGTTAGCCAACAGCCTCTGTTTTCTCAGTATAACCTCCGGTGGGATCGATGTCAGTATTGTGTCCAGGTAAGGAACATCCTTCTCATCAACAAACACACCAATATCTTCCCAAGGGATCGCATCTGCAAAAGGTAGGACGATGTCGTCTGCTATGATCACAGGGATGCAACCGAAGATCACGGCTTCCACAAGTCTTGGACTCCATGGGGCCCATCCAAGTGGGCATAAGCAGAAGATTGCTCTCTGCATGTCCTCATAATATGTTGTCGGGTGCTCTGTTGAGATGTCGAACAGTGGATTGTCCTTGAAGTTTTCCCACACAGCTGCTCGTGCGCCCCTGTGCCCATTTTGACAAAGAAAATATCATCGCTGATTATATGAGCAATTCAGGGATGGTAGTAAGTCTATGAACCTTCATTGCATGGTTAAGCATTCAGATCAAATTACCTCGCATAATAACCACCCTCGGGGTCATTTCCCACGTCATAAAACAATCCTCTGAAATAAACGAAGATGGATCGAGGAGTTTTCTCGGGAATCAAGTGTGACTGCATCTTCTGCGGTGGAGCATACGGAGGAACAGTGATTGAACCTTCTTTTAAGCAAACATGATTTCTCTGACCAAATGTCTGCACCAGTGTAGCCCGTTGAAGCAAGGGTAGTATTCCTCTTCCTATTGCCTTCTCTTCCTGCCACAGTAGAAGAAAAACAAGAGATCAGTGCGTATTTTTTTAAGTTTGCAGTATAGCTGGAAAGAATCTTTGGTAGTCATGGCGGAAGGGATATATTACGGCTTACGTCCAAATAAAAGCTTTTGTTACATCAAAAAGGGCTTGGAAGTCAAGTTAATTGCCAATGTTAGAGAGTATAACACTGAGTATTAAGATTTACTCAACACTAGCTACGGACTTTTGGTTAGTTCAGAAGGAGGTACAGGGGGACATCATGAAACATGCACATAACTCAGCCCCAAAAAATATTCCAAACACAAACAGTATTTAACTGGATTGTCTATGATTCAGTTAAAATGTATGAAACAATGTTTTCTTCACAACTTGCAGAGCTAGAGATAATTTCAAACAGTAGCACACAATCATTCACAATGTGCATCAAGTTTTGTGCAGAAAGCATAGATGAAGCAGGGGCACATAACAAGAGATTCAGAGAAGATTATTTGGATTACCTGATAATGGAAGCAGGCTCCAAAGTCATGAGGCACAACAAAGAAGTGGTCAGCTCCTTCAGTGCGGTTCCAGTAAGGCCAGTTGGAAGCAATGAGCTGAATAGCACTTCTCATCATTCGGGGAGATTTAAAGGGCAGAGGAAGCCCGTTTGGAGTGAGATCACAAGTGGTGTACACTGGGACGTAGAACCAATCAGCTTCCTCAGGATTAAGTGTTCGAACTGGACTGGACAAAAGAAACCGTTGCATATAGATCTCAGCAGCAAACATGTGGGTGAGACATCTCGGGTCCTTCTGTAGTATCTTCTTGTTGTATTTGCTTGGAAGCTCATAAACAAAGACTTTCAGTCTTCCCACGGGATCATCTTCCAACACATCACCAGCACTACCTACACATCATAAAACAAAAAAACCACGCACACACTTAAAGTTCACGTGATTTTGATTCGAGCATCAAAACATGGATATCACTAAGGAAAGGCTATGGATAGATAAGTAAGAAATTCTACAGAAACTCAGAGATATTGCAAAACTAAAGTTAAAAAGATCAAAATGACATGATACTGGATTGGCTAACTGTTGAATGACTATTGTTTCTTGCATGACAAATCAATATGCATCCTGCTTTACACTATCCCCAGATTCAATTAGACTCCAAAACAATGCGTGAAAATGAAAATCAATCACAGAAAGACTTAGACCAAAAATAAACCCTAGTCCTCATTCGAGTCGCTGTGTAAGTTGATGACCACAGAGCTCACTACTGCTTAATCCAAGTAAAAAATTGGGGAAAAGCAATCATTCACTAAATCCTGAGATTAACATCTCTGCATGAGTAGATAGAACTCACCTGAAATTCGCTCGGTTGGTTGACTTCGGCTCAGACGGAAAGCAGAAATCGTCGAGACGGTAAGATTACAAACGAGGAAGATCAAAATCCAGCTCGAAAACTTCATTTCAACCTCTCAGAAAGTTTGCCTCCTCATACAAATAAGAAAAAAACTAAAACACACAGACTCCCAGTTTATCGGAAGAAAATATATGTATATGAAGGTTGGCTTAGCAGAAGAAGAAGAAGAAGAAGAAGAAAAGACAGTTGAAATATCAGAAGAAGAGGTAGTTGCTAGAAAGAGTTCGTCGAGATTGTGACTTCGAAAGTGGAACAAAATATAAAATTCGCTGCCGATTCCTACTAGATCACGCCCAGAATTGAAAGTGAGAGCACATCGAATTTTGTTTCAAGATGCGAAGAGAGGAGGAAGAAGGTTCGTGCGACGCTTACACGATGTCGTTTAATGCCACCCATTATTCGGAAAGCAAATGACAGAGAAGGAGCTGGGGTGATGGGCAGTCAACGTCAGCCAAATTTTGTAATACGTGTTCTGAATTAAAAACAAAAAAAACAAAATTGATTAATCAAAAATGAGATAGAATGCAATGGACTGGCCCAGATTTAGGCCCATTTCTCGTTTTTGTGGCCCTTGCGATATTAATTTTCACTAAACGTCACTACGAGTGGTCTGTTTTCCATTTAAAGTACTAAGCACAAAGCATAGAAAAAAGTCGAACTTTAAACGCTACAAAGTAGAAGTCGGCCCTGGAGGGAATCTTAAAGTTGTGCAACTCTAAACCTATGATATAACAAAATTACTTTGTTCTTACGCGTCTAATTCATTTTACAAATTATTTATTTAATTAGTATATTCAATTACTGAGTTATATTAAAATTTTGAGAAGATTATATAGATATTGTATTTTTGAACCGTTGACAATAAAAGAAAAAAAAATGTATTCAGTCGAGTTCAATATATATTTTTTAATAATATGAATTAATGCAGAAGAATAGGGTAGTAATAGAGGCTTTAGATCACATTATTCAATCTTTTCAGTTTCCAGGATTCTAAAACTCCAACAGTTAAATAACAGTGGTAAGAACAGTCGCAAGGCGCAATGATGAACATGATGATATATCATAATAATAACAATATTATAAATTATGTAGTAATGCTATATATTGATAAATAAAGTTTTATAGAAAAATTGGAAATGAAAGAAAGGACAAAGAAAAGGTAAGAGCAAGTCCACTAGTGAACCCCTTAGAGGGGTTCATCAGCATTAAAAAACTATATTTTTTAGTTGGGTGGTTTGGGAAGAACTCGGGTGAAAATAGGGGTTCCAGTAGTGAATTCCATTTTGGGGTTCATCCCGAGATTTATTTTTTTTTTTTGAAATTTAGATTTTTTTTTTAAACAAAAACACACATTTATTATAATAAAAGAAATACAATTTATTACACATTATTTTAGAACATACAATATATAAGAGTAAAATTTAATACAAGGAAATTAGAAACATACAATACATGAAAAAATTTAAAAACTTAACCAAACTTATTCCATATATTTTCTATTAAATCCTCTTTTAATCGTTGATGTATCTGGTTGTCACGGACTTCGTTTCGTTTTGCCATCATCAAATTTTGGACATTTGTAGACATACGGGTAGAATACGTCATATCGACATGCGAATTTCTGCTTTCTTCATCTTGATGGAAGTCTTCTAAATTGTATCAAATGTAGCCATGTCGTTCGTTTTCTACTATCATATTGTGTAATATGATAGAGGCCCGCATAATCTTGCCAATTTTTTCTTTATCCCAGAAAAGCGCCGGATTTTTTATTATTGCAAATCTGGCTTGAAGAACGCCAAAAGCCCGCTCCACATCTTTCCGGACGGATTCTTGAGTTGTTGCGAATAATTTGTTTTTCTCTCCTTGAGGAAGATGAATTGATTGTATAAATGTTGCCCATTTAGGATAAATTCCGTCTGTGAGATAGTATGGCAAATGGTACTCGTTACCGTTTACCGAATATCTCACTTTTGGAGCCCGACCATACAAGATGTCATCAAAAACTGGTGAACGATCAAGAACGTTAATATCATTTAATGTACCTGGAGGTCCAAAAAACGCGTGCATATCCAAAGATCTTGTGATGCAACTGCCTTTAAAACGATTGTCGGTTTTCCTGACCCGCGTGTATATTGTCCTCTCCATGCAGTTGGACAATTCTTCCACTCCCAATGCATACAATCGATGCTTCCTATCATTCCGGGAAAGCCCCGTTGCTCTCCAATGTTCAGTAACCGTTGAAGATCATCAGCTGTGGGTCTTCTTAGATACTCATCTCCGAACAAGGATATTATACCCTCAGTGAAATGTTCCAAGCATAACAATGCCGTAGTAGCACCTAGCCGGAGATATTCGTCAACTGCATCCGCTGCGGTACCATATGCCATCATACGGATTGCTGCCGTGCATTTTTGTAGAGGAGATAGCCCTAATCTTCCGGTGGCATTTCTTCTTTGCTGGAAGTACGGAACCTCATCGGCAAGTCGGGTGACAATACGCATGAACAAATCTTTGGTCATTCTAAATCGTCGTCGGAAAATATGTGGCGGATAAGTTGCATCATCACTGAAATAATCATTCCATAACCGCAAGTGACCTTTTTCACGCTCTCTTTCAATGTACGCTCTTTTTTTCTTTTTCATTTTTTCTTCATTTTGTTTTACAAACGAATTGAACATGGCTTCAAACTTCTCATCAAATGCATCATCTAATGCATCATCTAATGCATCATCAACTGCATCATCATATGCATCATCCAATCGATCATTGCTTGATGATGCCGCCATAGTATGTATTTAGAAATTTGTGGGAGAGGATAAGGAGAGAAAGAGTTTTTGAATATAAAAGAAGTTTACCAAGCTATGTAGGAAAGATGAAGTGATTGCAGATCAATATGAGAAAATGAGGAAGAAGGAAATTTGCTACGAATGAACATACAATAGTTATAAGACATATAAATAGACGGCTTAAAGTTCAAAGATGTGGCTACAATTCTACTTCGGGAACATATGGTCAATATTACAAGACAAAATATGCGGTTACAAGGGAAAACAACAACAGAAAATGGCCCCTCCTTGATTTGAGCATATAGTCACGGACGTGTCAGGGTTGTTGTACTGCCCAACTTGCTGTGACACTTCCTGAAAAAAAAAACGTGCAGGTCAGAAGCAAGTAAAATGAAATAGAAGATCATACCAAACATAAAACAACAACTTTATACATGAAATATCATATTCTAAGGCAAATAACAATCTCACTCAAACAATACCGAATGAATATCAATCTTTAAGCAAGAAAACACCAACATGAAATAGTAGATCATACCAAACATCCAACAACAACTTAATACATGAAAGATCGTATTCTAAGGCAAAGAACAATATGACTCAAACCATACCGACTGAATAGAGTTAAGGATAAAACAACAGCCACTAACTTGTTTTTCTGTCCAAACCATACCGACTGAATAGATGTACCCTAAAGACCATACACAGAACTGATCAACTTGTTTTTCAGTGAGATTTCAATCTCAGTTAGCGGTCCAGGCTTAGCTAAGAGGCTCTCAAGAATCCTCTTGTCCCTAATCTTGTCTTTCATTTCAAGGTCCTTATGTTTCATAGCTAAGATGGAAGAAAACTCTTGCATATCCTTGTTTTCACCCTTAACACCGCCTGCTTTCTTCGCATTGGCCTTCGAAGCCTTGACACCAGCAGGGCGAGCCTCAACTTCACTTTCATTCACGCTTCCAGGCATCGACGATGATGACTGTGCCGAGTCTTCTACTTTTCGTTTTTTGACAGATGCACCATCCTTTTGTGAGCTGGTCGTGCACCATTTCTGGTCGAACATCAGCTCTCTCCATGCGTGTTCGAGGGCAAACTTAACGCCGTAGTCGTTGAAAAAAATTTCATGTGCAAGCTTCATTACATCGTTTTCATTCTGACCGCTACTTTTTTCTTTCTGTGCAGCTGCGTATGAACCCACAAATTTACATACGTGGTCATTAATCCTTCCCCATCGTTGCTTGCACTGCGACCATTCCCTTCTTGGCAGATCTCCAAGCTCCTCGCATCCGTTGTAATAGATCTGGATCCTCTTCCAGAATGCACCGGCCTTTTGTTCATTGCCCACTATGGGATCCTTGCTGGTGTTGAGCCAAGAACTAATCAGGAGCAAGTCTTCCTTCGGACTCCAGAGTTTTCTCTTCATTGCAATATCAGGAGGACCATCAGATCCTTGTGTGCTAAACAAGGGAATGTCTGATGATCCTAAGTCTATGCACGGAGAGTACGATTCAGGGTTTAACTGACTACTTAGAAGGTGAACAAACCCTTCAGAGGGCGTAAATGAGTTCTGAGAATCCATGTCGATGAAAGAAAGTGTGAAAGAAAGAGTGAAGACAATAATGATAGTCACCGAGTTGGAAGAGTGAAGAAGAAGCGAAAGAGAAAGAGTGAAGAAGAAGCGAAAGAGAAAGAGTGAAGAGAGGCGTGAAAGAAAGAGTGAAGTAGATAAGTAAAGGATTTGTTAAAAGAGAGTAATTGATTTATGGTTGAATGTCTTTTAAGTGTCTTAATGGTAGTGGTTATGTGTCTTGTAAGTGTTGGTTGGGTGTCTTATTATTAGTTAAAGCTTTGGCTTTATTTTCAGAACATGTTTTGAGAGTTTTTGAGAACAGGTGGATATTATTACTACACCTAACAAGTCCTATCAAGCAATAAACACAAATATACCACGTTCCATCTAAACTACTCAGCTAAACCATTAAGTTACAGGAGAACTAACCTGTTTCGGTGGACCATACACCATCGGAGAAGATGAAGCCACGAAGCCAAACCCTTGTTCCGTTGAGTCCATATTATCCTCACAACAAAAGATAAAAAGAGAATTAAAACAAGTACATTAATTGAGCCGAAGTTAAAAAATTTAATGTTACCCTACTTAGTAATCAATCCTATCCCAGTTCTAAACAATATGATTAGCTAAACTATATGAACTCAGATGATTACAATATGATATGAACTTATGCAATATGATCATTTCATCTACTAATATATAGCAAACAACAAATGAGTAACCATTTCAACCAAAAACTCATAAGCGATTAACCAGTTCATATAACCATAAGAAGCCAATCATATAGCAAAATACCATATAGCAAACAACAAATAAGAAGCAAATGGCTTTTAAGATACACACGAATCTTGATAATGTATCGACCCTGACCCAGTTTGAATACCAACACAAAGCCCCAAATAAACTTAGTTCATCGCACCAATATTCAGATTTTGCAATCTTGAAACCATGAAATCGTATTCGAAATAAGGATATTACGGTTTTAAATGAACGAATTAGAGGCCAATTCCAATCCCAAAATGAAACCCCCAAAATTTATGACCAATTTCGAAAACCCTAAAATTTCAACGAATCTAGGGTTTGCAAATCTACTAAATTCGTACCGAATACTAGATTTGGGGTACCAAAGACAACCGCTAAACCCTCTAATCCACCGAAATCGAACAAAAAAACACCCGATTTCAACCCGAATTTTTTTCCCCCAAAAATCGCAAACCCTAGAATCGCGAAATCGAAATAAACACATAAAAATAGAAGGAACCGAAGCTTACCAGGACTATGGGGACTGAAGATCGATGTTCGGATTGCACCTCCACCGGGAATAATCGACGAAACACGCGGTGACGACGGAATCGCGAGAAGACGAACGAGAGAAGAAGAAAATCGGGGAAGAAAGAGAAATGTTTCTTTCTCTGGTTTTTTTTTTTGTTTTCCCCCAAAATGACGCGCTTTCCACACCCAACCGACGGATGCCACGTGGTTCGCATACGGAGTCTTCAGGGTCGACGGGATGAACCGCCCCTTCCGAGTTGGACCTTTTTTCTTTTTTTTAAAACCCAATTCGCATATGATACTGTGCCCAAAATAGAGGAAGACCCTCTACTGGACCTGGTCTAAGAGGAAACTGAGGGACTGAGAAGGAGAGGGGAGGATAGGGTGTGAGAGAGACAGTCAAATAAAACAGACTGAGCATTAAAATGGCAGACTCTCAGAACTCCGATTTGACCTGTCGTTTCCTCATTGGTTAACTTTCCACAGCAAAGTTTTCTTATCGGCTCAGTTTCTTTTTAAATCATTTTTTCTATCAAACGGCTTTCTTTTGTCCTTTTCCTATTCTTTGGGTTCACTGTTTATTGACAAGGCTTACTTAAGTAGGATTGTTCACTCCAATTAGTACGTGAACCACTCTGGATTTTACGATATTATTTTTGGTTGCTCTGCAAATGAAGAAAGCTTCATATTATTTTTGGTTGTATATTCATAATATACGATATTTGTTTACCCTTTTCACACTTCCAGATACTGAAAAGAAATTGTTTACCAAAAAAAAAACCAGCGGTAAAGCAATCAAATAATTATTTAAATGCTTGGTTATATACATACTAATTATATAGCATTTGTAAATCTTAAAGGTTATCTGGTTTTCTATAAACAAAGTTTTATATGTTTTAGGGCATAGATGTAATCATAAATCAGGGAGATGACAACACGTAAGTGATCGTAGAGAAGATTAGACCCCAAAGTTCGTGGGATTAGATAGACAGTGGACTGAAACACTCCTGACCCCTTCTCCTTCTGGGGTTTGCACTTTGCATTTATTACTTTTTGTTTCCTAAATCCAGATTAATAAAGGTTCATTCCTTGCAAATAAATACTCAGAATTTATTATTGCATTGCAAAAAAGTAAGTTTTTTTTTTTTTAAATGTAAGTTTTTTAGCTTTCCATTCAATGTTCATGAGATTTAAGTTCCGAGTTTTCCGACAGTTCTGATATATTTCTATCATACAAAATTTCTGTTGCCATTACAAAATAATAATAATTATTACTCCTATAGTAAAAGAACCTTTTACATGCCACCAAAACAAAAGTAAAATGTATTTTATTACAACTTACAATACAATAATTATTTATAAATAAAACGCAACCTTGATGTTTTTTATTTCATCTAAAAGTTCTTACAGAGCATTGAAACTTCAAATTACACAAAACCCCAACAAGGATCGAGATCACTCCAAAAACAAAGCCGACAGTTCAAAAACAACTCCCAAAATCAAAAACATAATCTATAGTCTATATAGATTCATTTAAGTTAAGTGAATGACATTACATGAAAATGTCAATACATATTACTTCTACGAATAATTATTTACAACTATAACGTATTTACACAATATTGCCAAATTTTAAAGAGATAAATCAAAAGTCAAAATTTTAAAAACTTAATTAGCTGATGCGGAATATTAAATATAACAGTTAGATCAATAAGAGAATCATTACAGTAAACAATCATAGAATTTTGTTTGACTGTTCTATCTGTTTCTTTAGGTTATCTTCGCTTATCTTAATTTTTTTTGTCAGGGCTGGTTCTTCTGTTTTAGTTGCTAGATACTAGATAGTTTTAAGTTAGAGTATCATTTTATTATTACTTGACTGCTTGCCTTTTAATATTTGTGCTGTTATTTATTGGTTTTGAGGTTCTGAGGTACTTATATTAATTTCTCGACTACTATGTATATATTTCACCCTGGCTTTATTTTGAGGGTTAATAATTTATGAGATGACAAAAAAAAAGAGGAGATCATCACAGTAAAATCCCTAATCATTTTATAATCTTACGTGTCAAATTACATATCGTCATGATTGGAAAATAGAGAAAGAATGTCGATGAAAGAAAAAGCACGACTTGTTTAGTCACAACTGTCAATTTCCCAGCAAGACACATATCTTCTTTATAAATTACTTACACATGCATACGCGCTTTATTGCAAAAACAACGATATAAAAAAAGAATATTTTGAAAACCTAGTATTTATTTTCTAGATTCTTTACTGTTGTATATATAGAAGTTGCTCGACTGGTCATTTTTACAATAAAGCAATCTGCTCACAGAGAAAAAAGAAAGAGAAAAAGAAAGTGAGAGAGAGAGAGAGATTATGGATCCTGAAGGTTTCACGAATGGACTATTCCGATGGAACCCAACGAGGGCAATGGTTCAACCACCACCTCCGGTTCCTCCTCCACCGCAGCAATCTCCGGTTACACCGCAGACGGCGGCGTTTGGGATGAGACTTGGTGGCTTAGAGGGTTTGTTCGGCGCATACGGAATACGTTTTTACACGGCGGCGAAGATAGCTGAGTTAGGTTTTACGGCGAGTACGCTTTTGGGGATGAAAGACGATGAGCTTGAGGATATGATGAATAGCCTCTCCCATATCTTTCGTTGGGAGCTTCTCGTTGGTGAGCGGTACGGTATCAAAGCTGCCGTTAGAGCTGAACGGAGACGATTGCAAGAAGAGGAAGAGGAGGAATCTTCTAGACGCCGTCATTTGCTACTCTCCGCCGCAGGTGATTCCGGCACTCATCACGCTCTTGATGCTCTCTCCCAAGAAGGTACATGACGTTTTACATACGTATTGTTAATCCCTTTGACGAATATCATATCATTTATTCAACGAACATCATATATATCAAAAAAAATATATCAGTGTTCACGTGACTATTAGATAATGATTAATGAATCTTCCCAAGCACATACTGGCAATCATTTATACATGTATGTGAGTTGCGAATTATGTTTGTGTTTGGAATTAAAATTGAAATTATTTGGAGGCTATACGCTTACAAATAATAGAGAAACTCATTGATGTTAACAAATATTTTGAATAACTCACATATACTTGTATAGTAGAGAGCTATTCTGTATAGACTTGTAGTCTGGTTTTTATCTATTAGTCCTGTCGCAAGAAGTACGAGGATTAATATCCTGTATAGAAATTTTTAAAGACTATAGGACTCTAATTAAATCTATAGAAACTTATTTTTGTTATTGTGACAATGCAATACGTAGATGATTGGACAGGGTTATCAGAGGAGCCGGTGCAGCAGCAAGATCAGAACGACGCGGCGGGGAACAACGGCGGAGGAGGTTATTGGGAAGCAGGACAAGCAAAAATGAAGAAGCAACAGCAGAGGCGTAGAAAGAAACCGATGGTGACGTCAGTGGAAACCGATGATGACGGAAACGAAGGTGAGGATGACGACGGGATGGATACCGGCAACGGAGGTGGTGGGTTGGGGATGGAGAGACAGAGGGAGCATCCGTTTATTGTAACGGAGCCTGGGGAAGTGGCACGTGGCAAAAAGAACGGTTTGGATTATCTTTTCCACTTGTACGAACAATGCCGCGAGTTCCTTCTTCAGGTCCAGACAATTGCTAAAGACCGTGGCGAGAAATGTCCCACCAAGGTATCTTTTTTTTTTTTTTTATCTTTGGAGATTTTATCCTAATACCGTCCATTTAATATTAATCTTATAAGATCTATATAAGTCATACAAAAATCAAAAAAGAAAAATAAAATTGGTGTCGGAATTTATGAGGTATGGTAGGGAAACCATACCCATAATCATGGACAGCTGTTATAAAGGAAATTTGACAAGTCACGAGATCAGGGTTTTCAATATGATTTTTGTTTTTCTTTGCTATGTCTGGCAAAAACTATAGGTTCTGACTTATTATTATTATTTTTTCTTTTTGTTTTCATCCTGTCTTCAGAATAAATATAGTTTGATTTCAAATTAAATTTTGTCAGTCACCGTACGACGACGTGTCGAGTTAGGGAAAGGATACAGTCGTTTTTTTGTTTTTGGCTAAAACGACATGAGAAAGTAAGATACGTTGTCCCCATGTATACAATTTTTTGCATGCATATACAGATATTGTTATACAAGACAATTGATAGGGATAATTGTTGTGTATGTATATATCAATACTCATCATGTGTCTATATATATACATATATAGAGAAACAGGCTATTGCTCAGCGGGTAATAAAGGGTCTCCTTACCTCTTGTGACGATAGTACAGAATCCATGAGCTCTGTGCCATTGCTTGTACAGACGCACGTTATTCAAATCTGAGGTTTACAGAAAACTTAAGCGAATAAAAGTCTTATTTTCTTTCTCAGCTTTTTTTTTCTCTTTAATTCCACTATATAAATTATAAATCTTTTTTATTTTGTAGGCTGTCTCCACTAACAAAGATTATCCTAACTTACGATATGTTTTTTTTTTTCATCATGGTGGACAATCAGTTCTTTGGATACTTTTGTTTGGAAATTTTCTTTTTAACTGAATTAGAGCTGACTTCCTTTGGTTAGGATTTAAGTAAAAATAGATATTTAGTTCTGACCTAACAATTTTTTTTAATCAATTTTATTCCCTATCAAAGAGGTTCAGAGCTGGTTTAAGAATTCCGACGTTCAGTTATTTTTTTTCTAGTCATATCCCATATAATTTAAAATAATTGTTTGATTTTTTAAATACTGATTTTTACATTTTGGAAAAAATGTAAATAGGTGACGAACCAAGTGTTCAGGTACGCAAAAAAATCGGGAGCGAGTTACATAAACAAGCCAAAAATGCGACATTACGTCCACTGCTACGCTCTTCACTGCCTTGACGAAGACGCTTCAAACGCTCTTCGGAGAGCGTTCAAAGAACGCGGCGAGAACGTTGGCTCGTGGCGTCAGGCTTGTTACAAGCCACTTGTCAATATCGCTTGTCGTCATGGCTGGGATATAGACGCCGTTTTTAACGCTCATCCTCGTCTCTCAATTTGGTATGTTCCCACTAAGCTGCGTCAGCTCTGCCATTTGGAGCGGAACAATGCGGTTGCTGCGGCTGCTGCTTTGGTTGGCGGTATTAGCTGTACGGGATCGTCGGCGTCTGGACGCGGTGGTGGCGGCAGCGAAGAGTTGCGATATTAATTTGATTGGGCTGTTGTGGTTTAGTTTGTTCGTTATCTTAATTAATTGTTTGTCTTCAATTTTCTTTTAATTATTAGTCTTTTAATATGCTCTAATCCTTTTAGCGAAGTTGTCTCTTTTATATTTGTCAACGGTTTTGGCTAGTTTGTTATACTTGCAGATTTATCATTACGTTAAGCGAATTTTTACCAAATTAGTCATTCCAGGCACTCGAATACATTCGATTTTAGAAATGAAAGTGCCCATTCGTAAACACTTGTCCGACGAGAAAGAAATCATAAGAAATGTTAGGGTGCTACGAGAAAACAATGCCAGAAAAAAGTGAACAAAAAACTTCAGGTTTTATATAATATTTTAATACGTCAAAAAAAAATATTTATTAATACATCTTTTGATGTTGGAAACCTTTTTGTGTTCGTCAATAATGGGCCGTGCTGGTTCGAGATAAAAAGAAAATGGATACGATGTGCTTGTTTAACTTCTCTCATTGTTTTGTTTTGCTGGGAACGGAAGAAAAAGGTGCACTTTGAGAGACTTGACCCACTTTGCATTTCTTCATGGAGAATTAAAGCCCAATGATCCAGGGGTTACGCATGTATCCGTATACCCAATGCTATTAACCAATGATAATGCACCACGTCAGTTTATGGCGCTTTCCTTTACGACGACTGTTTGAAATTCGAAACGAATGAAGAAAACAAATAGAATTGACAGTTTGAAAATCGAATCGTTTTTCTTCCGACCCTACAATGGAGTTCCCGCCAAGAGTGTTATACCCACGAAGATTTCACGCATCTCCAGCGAAATTCATGGCGGAGAAAAGTACTCTAGCAGATGCCGCGCCTGATCTCCGAGATAAGCTCGCGACGCTGGTCGATCGCAACAAGAAAGTGAAAATGGCGTACCAGCAACTCCAATCGCAGATCGCTTTTGGCCTTGTCGAAGTAAAACATACATCCTAGAATCCTCTTATTTGATAGATTTGATTTCTAGGTAGATTTAAGCTTCAATTGAACGACTTCGTGAGTTTCAACGAATTTGAGTGAGGTTGTCGTATTCACTGGTTTGGTAGATTCGTTTATTGAGTAGATTCAAGCTTGATTTGAGCGATTCGGAGAGTAGCAACGAATTTGAGGCAGATTTTCGTATTCTAAAGGCAGGGGAAGTTTTCGATTCTTTGGCGATCCCTTTGATGAAGCTAGTTGGGCTAAAAACGTCGGAGATGGAGAGCGAAGGGAGACTCTCCACGTTTATCTTCAATACTGTACGTTAATTTAATCACGTTCTCATAGAATCATGCATCTATTTTCAAAATAAAATTCAGTTCATTTTTTTTTTCAACAGGAAAGATATCATATGGATACTGCCCAAAATGGATCTCGGTCTGGTGATTTGAACAATCAAATTCGCCGTTCAAAGGTAATATACATATGATTCTTATAACATGTGTATGCCTAGGTCTGATATGGAATGAATGCGAACCAATGAGTATGATTCTGAAACTGTAATTTGTCTAGTCAACTGTCATTGTGATGATATGTATGCCTGTGATGCTGCTATAGATTGGACGCAATATTGATTTTGAAACTGTGATGTTTCCTCGCAAAGCTTGATTCTGAATGATTGCTTGCTTAGTATTCCTAATTGTGTTATAGACTGAATTCGAACCAATCGATATTATTCTGATGCTGTCATGTGTCTAGTCAAGTTTCCTTCTGGTGATTCCGTATTATATCTTTTACTTAGTTCTGCAATAGTTTGATTCCGAACCAATTGGTATGGTTCTGATGTTATGATTTGTTAATGGCCTCACAAGCGGTTTGACAAACAATATCTACTTATATATGGATTTTGAACTCGCAGTTGATAGATAATATCGTCTACTCCAAGTGGATTTGTTCCCCAAAAGTTCACTTGCAGTATTCTAATTCTGTAGGAAGAAAACTACGCTGCTAAAGCCGAATCAGCAGGGAAAGAGATCTTGCACAAGCATAAGGGGCAACTTCGACAGCTAATCCTTATGCTTAGGCACATTGAAACACAAGTGAATTCACATCGGGAAGACATTCTTGAGATGATTGACGATCGCAGAAACTTCTTCCAAGAATTCATCCAGAAATCTCTTTATTACCTAAGCTCGGTTCACAGCCAAAACAATGACACTTTCCCTGTCACAGTGAAGCTCCTTCGTGTCCTATTTAATAACATCAACGAGGTGCTTGGTTCCGTAGATAGTGGTGTTAATGATCTCATGCAGGCTTTAGCAAAGAATATGTGTAAGCCGATGACCAAGTACGTAGGAAACTTGGCATCTGAAATAAAGCTTGGCCCTTGTGTACAACTGATGAATGTAGTGAATGAGATGGAGAGAGCAAACGCAGATACAAGAAGGGAGCTGCAAGACGCTAGAGAAAGGATTAGACTAGCAGAAGAGACAAAGATCGAGGCTTTATCAAGGCTGAAAAAAGCTGAAGATCAAGTTCAGAGAATGACAAGACCTGCCAGGTCTCTTCTACCCTCAAGTCAGAAGAAGCAAGCAGAACATTCCATTAACGGAAAGGTAATTTCGAAATCAGCTTTTTGTTTGTAAAGCTCAATGTTTAGCTAAACACTAAAAGGTTTCTTCACCCTTTTTTTGTCCATGTAGCGTAAAGGCATAGAGGGAAGCCGAGAAAACGAAGAGAAACTACTTTGGGATCTACTGAGCAAAAGAAGAAAGCAACAAGAACCAGAGAGTCCAATGGGACCCAAAGAGCTCATCATACAAGCAGAGACGAAGCAGAAGCCATTGGTGTACAATCGACCAAGGACTAGGAACCAAACAAGGTTAAGTTCTCAAATGGCGCGTCGTGATGCTTTGATCCCACTTGGTGTGTCACCTTCTGCTAGAACAGTTATTAGGAGGTAAGTAAAGCAAGCACAAGTTTACACGCATCACCTTAGAATATATCTTCACTATGCAAAATAAACAGCCTGATCCAGTAGCTTCATTATTGCTTAAAATCTTTACCACTACTCTTTTAATATGTCATTAGTTGTACTTCGATGACTTTGGTTGTTATTGAGAAGATCAAGTTGAGCATGACTAGACAACTTGACTCTTGATATGCTTGTAATTTTCAATACTTGTTCTATAAAGAAGACGATTTATCTTCAGAAATATTTTAGTCACCCTTAAAGTAACCAGCTACTGTACGTACTACTTTTACTTCTTCGAAGCTTAAGAAAAAACATCTTTGTGTAGATGAACATGTGTTCCAAGGGCACCCAAGCCAAGCCAAGCGACTTGATTCAAATTCCAGAAGTATTTTACATTTCATATTATAGAACAAAGAACACTTCTTTCGAACTGGAATATGTCACTGTTTTATACATGGATCCCTTTATACATCAATTTTAGGTTTCCATATCTATACAACTTTATCACTCGTTAGGCCATCCTTCCGGCAGCTTCATAAAGCAGAATCAGTAACCGAATCTTCCTTTCTTCACAGAATCCGACCACACTCTTCCAGTCACCAACATCATATGGCATCACCACACATATATTAACAATGTCTGGCCTCTATCTAAATTCACAATTCAACTCAAGGAAGACAAAGGCAGCTGTTTCGTCTCTTACCTCTCTTGCTAAGGTCTGAGATTGACCCACAATACCTTCAGGTCTCTGATTGAATCTGCAGCCATAATGCCATAAGAACTTTGCTCTGGATAATTTGACTTCCTTCTGCATTTTCTACAACTCATTCTTTCATTTTCCCCCATCGAGGAGTCACCAAGCTTTCTATTTCTGAAATTTTCCAGCAATGCCACAACTCAAGGATGTTTACAAGTACCTCAGCAGCAACATTCGACTGAAAAGAGTGAAAAAAGTACAAAAAAACACTCCATTGATATCACATTTGGTGATAACACTCCTAAAGCTTGTTCCAGAAATGGCACGAGCTGAATATAGCTTACATAGATGCAGTGAAGGAAAACTAGAGAGATCTAAAGCTAGAAGTTTGCACAGGATGTAGTTACGTCGGAAAAGCCAAACTTCTCATGGAATTTCCTTGTGTTACAGTCCAGCATTTCTCTAAGGCTGCAGTCCATTTTGTTCTTTTTGACAAGTTTATGCCGTGATTCCACCTTCTTCTTCAATCCATGCTGAAAGAACTCAGGGTAAGTAGCCACTTCATCCATGCTTCTTCCCATCACCTCCACTAGGAATCTGATCCTAGGTTCTAGTGAATTCTTGATACTCTTTATCAAAATTGGTGGATAACCAGTCACCATGGCTGCAATCTGCCCATCTCCAAACCCACACTCCCTCAGATAATCATAGTTTGGTTTGAGGATCTTGTTCACGTCTCTGCACACAACCTGTGGAAAATTCATGACCACTGACTGAATGCCATCCTCTCTCAGACCAACGGATGATTTCAAGAATTCAGTGGTAGGCCGCAACCTTTTATCAACACTATACCCCATAAGAAATGGGTGCTTCACCAGAACTTTCCCAATCATCCCATCTTGGTCAAGGCCAAGACTAGCAAGAAAGCTGACGATCACCGTCAGCTTACTGTCGATGCTGTAGCTGATAAGCCTCGGGTTAAAGAGTATCATTTTGCCAAGTTGAGTCTCAGGCACACCCAATGCTTGAAAGAAAGCAAGAAGAGGACAGAGTTTCTCCTCGACGCTATGAGAGAGTATGGGAGGAAACTTGGTAATGGCGGAAGCAACTTCCCGAGGCTTCCTTCCAAGCGAGGAGAGGCACTCGACCATGGGGATGAGCCTCTCATCGAGACGTAAAGTGAGGATTTTGGGGCATTTGGAGATGATGTAAGGGAGTTTTCTCTCTTGGATACCAACAATGTTTCTCAGGTAGTCCCAGTTTTCAGATGCAACATCGCTTTGCGCCTTCTCCAACTGCTTGCACTTTCTCAACATCTTGTCGATACTTGTTTTATCGAAACCTTTGTCCATGAAGAACCACATGATACTGCTGGTATTTGTGACCTCCATAAACGCCACTACAACGAGAACCCAACAAAAAATTAAAAAAAAAGACAATTTTTGTATCAGCGAGGGTCTATGATTCAAGCTTGAACAAGGAAATAGAGAGGAATGATGAATACCTTGCACAACAAGAGCCTTTTCGCCTATTCAATTGAATCGAGGGTGAGAAGCTTGAAGCTTATCCGCAGAGATAGAGATGGAAGATGCGTTTTCTCATATACACTGTACTGTATTGTCTTACACAGTCAAATGACAACTATACCCCTCAAGTCTCCTCTTTTGGCTTCGTGCTAAAGCCGCTGCCTTTCTCTCCCTGATCAATCCGCGACAAACAAACCCTTGGAATCACAATGACAATGGTGCCCTCTTCGAAAGCCTTCGTTTTTGCGAGGCAGATGGCGAAGAAGATTCGTGTTACGACGCCGTCGATGTCCGTAACGCGCTTTGTCTCAACAACGGGAGACAACAGCCAGCAACAGCAGCAGAACCCACCAGAGCCTTTACCCAACAGACCCTTGAGAGGGGAGAGAGGTTCCAACTCAGCTAGACCTTCGCAACCGGCCAAACTTTCTGATCATGACTTCCTAGAACAGTTCAAGCTCGGAGTCAAACAGGACGATTCACGGAAGACGGAACAAAAACCCCAGCAGGAAACAAGCCCGGAGCCCTTACCGGCGCCTGAAGATTCCGAGGAGATCTTCAAGAACATGAAGGAAGGAGGTCTCATTCCTAACGCTGTCGCCATGCTTGACGGGCTCTGCAAAGATGGGCTGGTACAGGAAGCCATGAAGCTTTTCGGGTTGATGCGTGACAAGGGTACAATCCCTGAGGTCGTTATCTACACTGCTGTCGTTGAAGGCTTTTGCAAGGCTCATAAAATTGAAGACGCTAAGAGGATTTTCAGGAAAATGCAGACCAATGGGATTGTCCCAAACGCCTTCAGCTATGGTGTCTTGGTTCAGGGATTGTGCAATTGCAACATGTTAGACGATGCTGTTGATTTCTGTGGTGAGATGCTTGAGTCTGGTCACTCTCCCAACGTCTCCACTTTCGTTGGATTGGTTGATGCCTTGTGCAGAGAAAAGGGCGTCGAACAAGCCCAGTCGGCTATTGACACCTTAAACCAAAAAGGGTTTGCTGTTAATTTGAAGGCTGTCAAGGAGTTCATGGAAAAAAAGGCTTCATTCCCGTCTTTGGCTTGGGAAGCCATATTCAAGAAGAAACCAATCGACAAACCCTTCTAATTCTCCTCTCACTTAAGCACTGCTGTAACTGTTTTTAGATATGCAATCTCCATAAGATGTTTACTTGACTTTACAAGTACTCTTTTATTATGTCATTAGTTGCACTTCAATGAGTTTGGTGTTTATTGAGAAGATCAAGTTGTGCATGATTCCTAAATAGACTGAAGACACATAAAGTTTACTTGATCCGGAAGTGATTCTGCTTTAGATGAACATGTGTAGTTTCCAAGGTCACCCAAGCCAAGCCGAGAGACTATTCAAACTCCAAAAGGTATTTTACATTCATATTATAGAACAAAGAACACTTCTTTCGAACTGGAACATGTCACTCTTTTCTAAAACAATTCTAGGTTTCCATATCTATACAGTTTTGTCACTTGTTAGGCCATCATTCCGGCAGCTTCATAAAGCAGAATCACTAGTCGACACTTCCTTTCTTCACAGAATCGGACCACACTCTTCCAGTCACCAACATCCTATGGCATCACCATACATATATATTAACAATGTCTGGCCTCTATCTAAATTCACATTCAAGTCAAGGAAGACAAAGGCAACTGTTTCGTCTCTTACCTCTCTTGCTAAAGACTCACGATGTCTGAGACTGACCCACCGGTTCTTTTCATGAGCTATGCAAATGTGTTCGCCTGCTTCATCACAACCAACCTGCATCACATCCCCCATATACTGAGACTGTAATACAGAAGACCAACAACGGAAACATTTGCGACCCTGCTTTCAGAACTTTACCATTGACACAAGCCGATATTTGGTGTTTGGTTCTAAGCCTTCGTAAAGCCTGCTGATATCTATCTCCCACTCCAAAGCCTTCGTGGTTTCAGTTATTTCTTTTTCATTATCACTCTTCTCCCATTCTAACACTAATGATGCAAGCCCCACCAAACACCAACATTATTTATTATAATCATAATAATTGAAATGAGTACAATGAGATCACAATCACGGTGATCAAAACTTACCGATTGTGAAGATAGGTGGGCATCTACTTATAATGCGATGAACAAAGTTTGTCTTTCCACAGCCTCCTGTTTTAATGTCACATAACATTTTATAGTCCATGCGCATTACCTTAAGGATATCCACAAACTTTATATTCCCAAAAGTACACTGCATATATATAAGCACAGAAACAACTTTATAAAGGCACATACAAGTTTCTGTCGGAATGACAAAAAGGATAGTAAATGAAACATACCTTCAGGTCTCTGATTGAATCTGCAGCCATAACAATGCCATAAGAACTCTGCTCTGGATAATTTGACTTCCTTCTACATTTTCTACAACTCATTCCTTCATTTTCCTCCAACGTAAAAAGGCGCGTCACCAAGCTTTCTTTTTCTGAATTTCTCCAGCAATGCGACAACTCAAGGATGTTTACAAGTACCTCAGCAGCATCACTCGACTGGAAAGAGTGAAAAAAAACTCTTGAGCTTATTGACAAGAAAATAATAATACCATCCTTGGAAGTTTATGTTCTTCACACGAACCATGGAAAGAACTTCTAAAGAAGCAAGTAAGTCGCTCAAGATGACACTGTAGACTCCCTCAGTTTTTATTTCCCCTGACACAACAGCAGTAAATAAATTTTGTAGCGCACAGGGAACTTGTTCTTCCATGTCGTCATGAAATGATTGCTCAATGTGTTTTAAATCTTCTTCAAGAACGTTAATGTTCAAGAGGGCCTGCAATACGACGTTTTTGTGAACTTATCAAAGCGAATAAGGAGGTAAAAAGATATGGGATCAGCTGACTCAGAATATGACAGTTTAGGTACTGAATCTTGTTTTTTTTTTTTTTTTTTTTGGGGGGGGGGGGGGGGTAACTGGCTTTACCTTTACAGTCATGTCAAGAGCTGGATTGTATCTGGCTGCAGCTCCTCCAAGCATTGACTCCAAATTTACCGACATTGAATCTTCTCCAGGCATGTTTTGCATATCTTGAAGATGGCCAATGAAAGAAAATAAGAACTAAGAATAAAATAAAATAAAAAAACAATTCAAATTATTCTTCAATTGAGAAGCCTTTATACAACTACCGTCAACTTTAGTAGCTTCCACTTGAATGTCAGTGTTGGATGAAATTTCCAATCGACCATCTTCTGGTTCCATAGAATCTTCCTCCGGTGTAAGGTTGACAGAAGGTTCACTGGAAATGTAGATACAAGTTTGCTCAGAGAAAACCCGAAAACAATTTATAAACAGGCAAAAAAGGGCCCTTGAGGTCCTTACTGTTCAACAATCTTATCAAGGGGACTAGACATGCTCGTTGAAGTTTTCTGTTGCGACATGAAGACCATTCATTCTTACAATCGATTAACCGAAAAAATCAGAGACGCAAATAGTGAATTTAGAACTTCAAAGACCTCGATGCTTTTAGTTTTTTTCTTCTTCTTCTTTATCTGTGACTTCTTCTCCTCGTCGCGTAAAAGATCTGCTTCTGCTGCATCTGACTTGGCTTTGGATTCCATATTTACAATTTCATTCTAGATGAGACGAGACAAGAAAACATATAAGAAACAGTTCAAATACCAATTCAGACGGAAAATGAATCTCTCTGTATATAACCAAAGTTTCAAACCAACCAGCAAGAATGGTTTCAGCAGTTGAAGCATGTAAGAGCGGTTGTCAAAAAAAGAAAGTCCCGTGAGGCTGTTTAGCAATCTAATCCTTGAATTATCAATCAGCAATATATTTGAATCGATTCGCAAAACCTGCAAGCCATGTAGATACTTTTAGACGGACAGTTTTATGTTATTTTGTTGTTAATGAATATTCAAATCATGAAATGAACCTTGTAGGTGACCACTGCTTTCAGATGATCTATTGATTTCCGCACTATATTGTCGCTGAGACTTTTACGCTTACGTATAAGATCCAGGCAATCTTCTAAGTCGGGGTAGTCAACTGTCGGATAAGATGCTTGTTCGAAAACATCTCGTACTGCACACAAGAATAATTTCGTAAAGAGGGAATTTCCGGGGACTATCTCTTCACATCTATCACATAGAAGAGATGCATAGCTGTTCCATTGATCTTCCGGAAGATTCATTCTTCTTTCATCCTCTCTCATACACAAGTTCTCCACGACAGTAAAAGCTGCTTCATAATCTAAGACCTGCCTTTTATTTTCATATCCGGTTCCCAATGCTGTACATGTGAGCTGAACAGCTCTCAAAACCGCCACCCAGATATCGAGATTGTGTTCCCTGATAGGTTTGGGAAAGCTTTTATCGACTGAAGAGTAGTCAACTAACCAGGATATGATATCATCTCCCTGAGCATCTGCCTTGGCGTAGTGAACACTGGGATCCAAAAACTTGATTTTCCCTTCATCATCGAATGGAGCCTTACTTCTTTTCAACAGTCTTTTATCAAGAAGTACAAATGAGAACTGAGGATCAAAGTCGATCGTTTCTTTACATTGAGTACGACCCAAGAAACTGTCCACTGCTCTGCAAACCAGCTCTGTACCATCCTCCCTTTCACACTCGACGACGTTTAGAAAGTTTAGGATTTTATATAATCCATGAAGATCCAAAAAACAGATGCTCTGAGGTGTTTTCAGTAGGTGAGAATCAATAAGACTCTGTCTGGAAACTTCAAGTTTCCCAAGATGCTCAAGTGGAATTCGCATCAGCCAGTCTCGAATGCTGCAGGAGAGAATTTGATGGTCACAAAACTTAACAAGGAGCAAACGGATTTCCTTGAGTAAATTACTGCGATCTTCATCGGCAGCTAAAGGCCATTCTTTGGACCATCCATTCTTAGATTTTGATGTGAACGCTATCACATCTGCGAGCTGATTTTTGATCATTTCAACGGCAGCAGCTGTATCAACTGGTTCCCAAACCTCAGCCGATATCTTACGAGCCCAGTCTTTTCCTATCCTCTTGACCATACAATTTTCTAAAGAAGGTTTAGAATCTGCAGCATGTTGTTCTTCAAGATGAGTCTTACATTCTTCAGCACTAGAAAACTTCATCGAACAGATAGTTCGACACATCCAGAATGTCCATTTTCCGTCTTTCTTGGCAGAAGCGAGAACTTGGTCCAAAGCATCTAATGCCTTTCTTTTATGCACTCCCTCGAAAAAATTTCTAAGCTTTGCAATGTTTACTTTCATGAAATCCCTTTTGATCTTAACATCCAAACCCATCCAATACGACCTCAATCCTTTCACAGCAGCCTCAGGCGGGTCCGGACTTTTCTTCGGCTCCCAAACTTTCAGCTCGCACTTTTTTATAGAACTAGTCATGGAATAAGCAATCATGGTCTCTGCATTTTGAATTAAGCACTCCAGCCCTTTCGTATCTAAGGCGCTTAGTATTTCCTTTAGCACTTGACTAGCAGGATCCGAGGCATCTGGGTGAGGAACAGATAAACCTTGTTTTGCTTTGCACACGCAATTCTTGAAGTAAAATACTGACCCAAGAACTCTGGCCAGTTTGTAGAGTGCATTTGCACAAGGTCCTGATATCTTCACATCTTCCGAGAAGCATCCTACAGCACCCAACAAGTATACGACCTCCATATCAGTTTTCTGCGCTTTTCCCGCTAGTTCTAAAAATACTTGACCTTGTTCGATATGAAGAAGCCACGAGTTCCTGTCTTCGCTATGGACTGAAATCAAATCGTCAAGCATCTCTAAGGCCTTGTTGTAATCACCATTACGGAAGAAAGCTTGAGCCTTTCGGTAGAGTTCCATGCCCTCGACATCTTCAAGGAAAGTAGTCACCATTATAGAAAACGATTCTCAAAAGATTCTTGCGGCTTTCTTGGGTCTCGAGAGTTTTTTTTTGTTCAGAGAGAAATGTGTTTACGAGAAGAAGCGGGAGAAACAAACGAGTGTAACAGAAGAAGCGTAAAGAAGACGCTGGCCTCTATCACGTGAGAGCCACGTAACAAGCCTGGGTGGAAAAGAGACCCAATTTTTAAGCATTGGGGAATTCTTTCAAACACCATGTGTGCATTACCCGTTTGGGATTTTCCCGGGATGAATAAACAAAAACAAAAAAACCATAGTTAGTGTGAACCTTCGACTTTGGCTTAAAAGTAGAATGGTCCTCATGTCTAAGGCCCTAAGATAAACGAAATCCGTGAAAATGGTTGGACTTGAAAGATCAATACAAGTGAGTCGATGATTGGAAAAAGGCTTCTTATAAAAAT